ATCAGGTTAATGTCCCCGCCGCGCTGGGGGTGTTTTCTATCGGTTTCTATCTTTGTGCAACTCCCCCCCCCCCCCCCCCCCCCCCCCTTTTTTTTTTCCTGTAAGTTTAGAAAGAGACAGAGACAAAAGAAAAACAGACGGGAATGGGAAGTCAAGGAGTGAGACTAAGGAAGGAATAGGCGAAAGGGGAGGCATGGGGAGTGATAAGGGGTTAGATTGTGACTTTTAGGGGGCTTCTTTCCTAAGGGGTGGGTATTCAGTGCTGTTGTCTCCTTACGGGTACCTGTTCTGCTGGTCGGTTGGTACGTTGTACGAGTAAGTTGGCTTGGGATGAAGCGAGTATGAATGTTCGGTGAGGAACCGATGGTTTAAATGTAATGGAAACATCTACCCGTTCGTTTAATTATATTATATGGTTCGTTCTATCACTCCTGTTGCCTCTATATTTCTGGCATGTTACGGAAATCAACGGCTTAGTATACTTTAGGTAATCTTACTAGTTAGTGACAGCTTTGAAGAGTTTATAGTCCCATCATGAACTTATATCAAGACCGTCCCCGCCCAGGCCCTAAACGCAGCCAAAGTCTTGAGAATGAGGGATGATGTGCCATATAAACCCTTTGGATCGTAGATTTTGCCGGCGGAGAGATCGAGGATTGGGCTGTCGTCGAAATGGCTGCGGAGGGGGATCTGCACGAACGGAAATAAGATTGAAATACGCACCTAACCTGAGGCACCTACATACCTAGGTAGGTAGGGGGATATATCAATATATCATCTATTGCGACAACCAAGCTCGCCACATCCTACTATTACGATTGGTCAACGGTGAAATCCGCCCTTGTAGATGGCCAAGAGCTCGTAGCCTCCAATGATAAATTTGCCGGTCGGGAAGCGCCAAGGTGACCGCAGAAAACGCCCCCGGCTCACCTCTTTCCACGATCCCGACCCATCTCCGACGAACATATTTGGCCTCTCTCTGTATTCCGTATTAGGTACCTAACACAGGCAATTTCCATCTGCCGTGCACCCTGTGGAACAATGGCGTTGGAGCCGTCTCGACTGATACCGGCTATATCGGTTTCAGGGGCCCTTCTTCAACGAGCCCCTCCAAGATATCGCAAAGCACGCCATCCTGTAGCTGGCATGTAGGTACCTACATACGAGGTAGGTAGGCATACGTAAGATGCCACCACTGTGATCCGCGCTGTGCCGGAGATGGAACGGCTCAATGCCGTAGGCTGGAGAGAGTCTTGGGGTATTCCCCTCGTTTTTTCTTTTCTTTCTTTTTTTCAGCACCCGTGTGTATCTGTGTTCCTATAAAGACTTCTTTCTGTCTGGTATCCATCCTAGGTTAGATGTATATTTGATCGAATCAAAAAAAGCTCCCTGTAAGATCTGTTGTCGGTACAGATAGGTAGCAACCAGCCCCTTGCCTTAGCCTCGACTTCCTGATATTATATATATATATCAAAGCAAAGCAAAGCAAAGCAACAATGGTCTCCCTGCACCCCCTCCTCGACAACGGCATCACCAAAGGCGACCCGTCCTTCCCCGGCGGCGTCCTCTACTGCCAATGCGCGACGGACCCCGTCGCCGTGACGCTCACCTCCAACGTCGCGCACAACCACGCGTGCGGGTGCTCCCGGTGCTGGAAGCCGGCGGGCGCGCTCTTCAGCATCGTGGGCGTCGTCCCGCGGGCGCACCTAAGCGTAACAGCGAACGAGCCGAAGCTGCGCGTCGTGGACCCCGGCGCCACCATCCGGCGGCACGCGTGCGCGGCGTGCGGCGCGCACCTGTTCGGCCGCATCGAGGCCGACCACCCCTTCAAGGGCCTCGACTTCGTGCACGTCGAGCTGGGCGCCGGGAAGGGCAAGGAAGGGTGGCAGGAGCCGCAGTTCGCGGCCTTCGTGTCGAGCATCATCGAGCAGGGCTTCGACCCGGCGAGCATAGGCGGGGTCCGGGAGAAGCTGCGCGAAGTCGGGCTCGAGACGTACGATTGCCTCTCGCCGCCGCTTATGGACCTTATTGCTACGTATACGGCGAAGAAGTCTGGCGCTCTTAAGTGAATGAATATCGCGAAGGCCAGACGGACGAAAAGGAGGAGAGGAAAAGAAGAGAAAGAGCATCGGGATTGTGCTGGGGGGTATGAGGTTAGGTTAGGTACCTTGTATGTGTATGTGTGTATATGGCCAAATCGATGAAGCCACCTACCTTGCTAAACAAGGGCTTCGCTTCAATTGCATTTGCCAATTGTAACTACCTAACCTAGGTTAGGTAGACATGTTTATATTTACTCGCCTGTACGCGTTGGAAGGAGATGAACGAAAATAAATATGCCATACTCTGTTATACAAGCAGGTAGTGTAGGTAGATTTATATACAAAAGAGCCCCCCTAGACACTCGGTGTCCATCAAGGTATCCATCTCGGCGTTCTGTGTTGTACCAGTGACCCTGTCCATTGGTCAGGGGCTTACTAGGTCCCTTCGGTAATTGATATTCGAAGAGAAGTGTACCTCATCGGCGGAAACCCCAAATCTTAAGATGTCTGGTACGCGAGAAATAAAGCATTGGTGATAAAACTAGGCTAAAATTACCCAAGGAAATAGTATCGATCGGGCGTGAAACTAGATGGAATAGATTTGATGGTATATGATAGCATAACCCCTATATATAAGTGCAAGGTATCCAATTGTAACTTGGGCTATGTATTTCTAGAGGCTAAATATTATCCAATTCACCTGAGAGCAAGCAATGGATGCGGCCGGACGCTCGAGGTTGCGGTTTACAGAAAATGTCTATTTCGTTCTCGCATTCCTCCAAAATCAATGAGTGGCGCCAGTAGTCGGCCAAGTCATCAACAATTCATGTCTACCTAGGTATTTACGAGGCTAGATTTGTATCGCCTCGCCACTGTGATATAGTCATTCAGAGAGAGAGAAATATATATATAACTGTTTCAGGCAGAGATTAGTCCAAGCCGCTGGATTTATAGCCCACAACGCCGCCCAAATGCCATGATGCGAGCAATCAACCCCAGGAAGTTTCACCGACAGGCTTCTATGTCTAAGCGCCTAATATATACCCTGGGTGCGGTATTGGAAAGTATCATAACTATGCATTGTTAGTATGTCACTGGCCTCGGTTAGGAGTAGGGAAGGGAAGGGAGGGGTGAGTATTACAGTCGTGTATAGTAGCTACCAAGAGACTTCGTAATGAGATCAGTCTCCACGAAATTTTCGGCTTCATCGGCACTTAGGTGTAGCTGGAACCGTTGCTTTAATGTTGCCGTGGCTTGCGTGACACCAGCCGCATAACATGGCATTTTCGAGTCCAGACCCATCATTCTGACTAAATCGACAATTTTGTCTGCGGAGCGGCGTAGAGCTGAAAAAGCGTTAGCGATCCTGTTCCCCGGGTACTCAGTCGAATTAGACTTACCTTGGAAAGCTTGCTTGCATAGCGTTTTGAAGTCTTCAAAATCGGGAGAATCAACTCCGCCCAATACGTCCACGTATTCCCAAGTGAGTTTGAACGGAGCTGCTTCGAATCCAACCGAACCGGGCGAGTTAGAAAGCATGAATCCAAAATCAATGTGGATAATGTGCCCTTCGTTATCAATGAGCACATTGCCATTGTGTCGGTCCTTCAACTGTAATATATACGATATAATGCTATATGCCGCAAGAGAACGCTTGAACGCATCCACAGCTGCTTTGTAAGGCTCGCTTCCAGGCTGGCCAAATGTTTTAACCCAGTGGTCCTTAAGCGTAGCAAGGCGACGTCGAGGATTAACGCCTGATTCGATCGATGCTAAAGTCAAACTCCGCTTGAGCGAATGCAGAGAAACGCCGTTCGTAATTGTTTCGACAAGCCCCGAAGACTCCCCAGTAACTAAAATTCGCATAAGCTTCACCCAGACGGGGACGCCAGCATCGACCCAAATCCTATGGCAGACTTGAATGAGTTGGCACGCAAACGCTTCTTGCCGAAGATCATCCCCCGTTTTGACGATAACGCTGACCAAATCCCAGTTTTTCATCCATCCGTACGGCGACGTTTTTCGTATCCGCTCCTTTTTGATATGCCACGCCTCCCCAAATACTGCAGCACTGGGATCATCACGGTCACCTTTCCTTTGTACTCCTCCTGTCATTGCGTCGTTCTCCATTCGAGCTGCACCAGCATTCGGATCGCTTGTTGGGTCAACACCTTCCTCCAAGTCTGCGTTTTCGGAGGCCTGGGCGGCCGCGCTTGCTTTCGCCATAATTAAGTCAAACGTGGGACCTTGGCCATCATCAAGGTCAAAGCTTTGTTCCTCAAGGCTTTGCATGCTTGCAATGATTTTCGACCTAATAGCCGCAACTTCTTGTCTCGGGCGTTTACCATTGGTAGCATCAAGCTGGGCTAGCATTTGCGACGCCGTTCTCATATGTGTAGCGAGAGCCGAAAAATCGGGTTGCTCGCCAGACGTATTGCGTTGACTCGGCAATGTTACCCTCCTCAATGGGCCAGGAGGACTGCTTGATCTCGACGTTGACGTTGCTGACGTACGCGGTGGAGTCAGGTCAGCCGTAGATGCGATTGCCAGGCCATTAGACAGACCCTTTCGAGAACTAGGTGGTTTCCCATTTCTTTTGCTGAAGGACCCATTATCATCGAAGGGCTTGAGCATTGGTGATGTTCCTAGGTCCCCCGAAGTTGGTTCAAAGACACTATCTATAGTCTCCAACAAAGGCTCGGACACCCTTTCGGTAGCAGGTGTTCCTGGAGAATCTGATAAATCGAAGATTCGCTTGCGAGTGCCTTGCTCAGCTACGAGGTTACTAAGTAATCTTTGGTTCTCCCCCGCGCTAGGATCGAAGGTAAAGTCATCGCGAAGGATTTCAATCATGAGCAAGTACGGTACCTTTTCAGCACTATTCAAAACGGTAGCTTCGGCAGGATTGACCCTGACAATACGGTGATGACGGCTCTTTGAGGGTGAGCCATCTACTAGAGTAGGCGGACATATGATGGGTATATCCAACTCAGCCGGTAGGTCTCTAGCAATTAGCGCAAGCTCGGCGCGCAAAGCACTAAGACGAGCCGGCTTGGGCACTATAACTAGTCGATTAGATATATCCTCCAGCGCCGTCAGAAATGCGGTTTGACAGTGGAAGTAATTCTGTCGGAGCAGCTTCGCCTTCTGGGTGTCCGTCATCTCTGCCAAACTTGCCAGAGTCTTCACGTGGTGAGAGTGCCTGCGCGAGATCATATCTGTTGGTCGTGAAAGACCGGCAGATAGTGGAGCTACTGGTCCTGTCATCGCCCTCGGAGATCTCACTTCGGGGAGAGGAAGGGATGACGAGCTTAAACGAGCATCTAACAAGGTGCTATCGATATAGGTCGGTTTTCGCGACTCGGCCGTGGAATCTCCACGTTCGGGACTCGTCGATATATGAGTCACAATATGCGGCGGCCTTCTTGATGATGATATAGATTGTTTAGAATCAGGAGCACTTCCTCCTCGGACTAAATCACGAGGTCGGCGTGATCTTGTTGTATTTGCGGTCACAGTCTGACTCCTGGTGACCTTAGACATATGGCTTGGCTGGCTTGGTTGAGTCGGCAGGCTTGTTTCCGATATAGCATCGGACGATGGCTGCGACCTCCTCGCCTGCGCGACGGCCAAGGGGCCTGCCCATTGTGGAAGCGTCGGAAGGCCGATGCTGGCCAAAACAAAACTCGCTAGTACGGTAACAGGCAAAATGTTCTCTTTAATCTTCTCATGTCTTGCGCTGTCTGAGAGCCCAAATACAATATGCTGCACCTTGTTGTAAACCCTGCGGCATGTCTTGAAGGCCTGAGACTGCGGCGTCAAGGCAAGATCGTGAAGGTAAGTTTGGAAGAGCCAAAATGTAAGTAGAGCAGCAGTTACGGATTCTTCGCAAAGGTCCAGCAGAAACTCCTCTAATGCCATGGAGTCATTGTCGACGCTTATTATAAGGTGGCATAGTTGAGGTAGGAAGAATTCGATGTCCTCGTAAGGAAATTGGCGGAGCTTGGAGCACAGAACATAGTGGATTCCGACATGGTCTGCATATCGACTGTATAAAATGGGTCAAAAAAAAGGTTGCGGCGATAGATATCAAGGCAAGGCTATGCAGGAGGGGGGATTCGCTTACGATAGATAGGAAACAGAGAGAAAGGGGTCCTGGTTGAAGACATCACTCTGGATAAGGCGCTGGAGTAGATCCCACGACATAGCGAGCTGTCTTTTTAAATAGAAGAGATCGTGAGGCCCGATGCCTCACCTATGTTCGACATTAAATGATTGTACCGAATAAGAAAAATAAGCTGTCATGGCTGTCGGATGCAGCAAGGCATAATAAAGGGGGGGGATTAGGGTTGGTGAACGTGTCGAAGTTGCTTGGCCGAATATTTGAGGGTTTGGTTGTCGGCGCGCTGCTTCTCACAAGTCAATAACGACACAAGCGCCGGTTCGAGGAATCGAGGAATAAATGTCCCTTTCTGGCCTTCTTGGCAGGTACATGTACTTACGGTGGCCCACTATGTCCACTATCTTTGAGCTTACCGTTTTACTATTGGCTGATGTTTTCTTAGCGTGTTATTTAGTACACCAGGAAAGTGTCAGTGCATGTCCAGTACCTCCTACCTACATAGTAGGTAGACTGATAGGTAGCCTCTGACGGTAAGAACTCCCGAATCTACCGAGAACTTCTATCAACTTTAATAATTCGCATATCAGATTGGACTTTGGGTTACACAGCTCACCTTAGCTTCAACAACTACCTATACTACAGGTACCTACTATAACGACTGAGATTTAATTACCTATTGTTTACACTCTAAACACTCTAAACTCTGATAATATGTATCCCTACTACCAAGCTCAGCAGACTGACTCAGTTACATCAGACAAAAAATGAAAATTCAACTCCTTAAAATAACTAGAACAAAGAGTAAAAAAATAAAATAAAAGGGTAATCACTGAAGAAAAGGTCATATCACGATACGGACAACAAAGACGTTCTTATTGCCATAGTCAGGCCTATGTTCCCTTGCCTAATTATTTTGTACAGTTGTGATTGGTATTCGTGTCGCAAAGCATCTCGCAAGCCATCCAAAAACCCGTCTCCCAATCATAAATTCAGGGTAGCCCCTAAACCTCCAACGCCGGTATAATGTAATGCCCCTAGGTATTGAACGCCAGCGGCCTAAATCATTCATCGTGACCTCATTGCTGTCGTGTAGCCCGTAGAAAGAGAACCAAGATGACACGTTATGAGTTTATGAGTTTATAAGCCAATGGCTGACTACGCCGGTGCTTTCCTCTTACGCCCGCCTCTTCCCTTCTTCTTAACCTCTCCCGCATCCCCTTCTTCGTCACTATCGCTCTCGGCTTTGGCTCTACCCGAGCTCTTGCCGCCTTCTTTTTCTTCGCCCACCTTGGCGACGATGTCTTGTAGGAAGTCCCATTCGTTAGCTGAGCCTATTGCCTGCTTGAGCATCGGCGCCGTAATCCTCTTGGAATTCCTCTCCCTAGCCACCTCGGCGCTCTTGCGAACGAGCTGTACCATGAATAGCTCTAATGCTTTTCCGACCGCGATGGGGGTTTGCTGGGCAACCTTGCCAACTTCTTCGTCGGCTTGCATTATACGCTTGATGCGCGCCGTGGGAAATTTAGTCCTAACTGGAGAAGGTTCTATCTCATTCTGCTTCGCTGCCGGAGCGATCTTTCGTGGCGGCATATTGTTCTGCGGAACTGACGGGTTGAATTGAATAGGGGCGACGGGTGGTTGTGAGGTCTGTGAGGTCTGCGAGGTCTGGGGTTGGGAAGGCTGCGTTTGCAACTGCGCTTGTAGTTGATGGTAGGCAACCGGTGGTGCGGATTCGGAGTAGGACGGGTAGTAGGACGTAGGATGATGATGATGGTTCGGCGGTTGTAGAATATAAGATGGTTGGTTTGTTTGTGCGAATTGTTGTGTTTGTTGTCGGGGAGAAAGGTATTGTCCTTGTTGTCCGGCGCTGCCTTGGGGCGGATAGGTGCTGAAAGCGGTGTTGTTGTTGTTATCCCTACTGCCACTAAAACCACCGTATGCAGGAGCACTGGTAGGCGGTACAGACGATTGATAAGTGCTGAATTGGTGGGGCTGTGGCTGATTATATCTTAAAGGAGCTCCTGAACCAGCTCCTGGACCAGCCCCAATTCCAGGCTGAAAGGAATAACCACCTGGAACGTTGTGGGCCTGAGGAATGTCAGATGTTGAGCTGGAATAAAAAGACGAAAGGTCAGGCGACTTTGGCGCATACGAGTTGTCTTGGGTGGACATGGCCTGAAAATTAAATGATAAAAAAATTTCGCAATGGACAGACCGTAGAAAACTGGGGATGGGAAAGCTTGGAATGGCGGGGCAACTCTTTTGAGACTTTGTCGCAGTGCAGCCAGTGCAGCCGTTGTTTTATTGTGGTAAAATATTTGGGTTGGTGTAGTGTGTGTGGCTGGTCTAGGCTGGGGTAACCTCTTTTTATCTAGTTCGCGACCAATAGTTATAAAGTACCCAAGGGATGTACAATGTACAGTACAAAGTACATGCAGGTAGGTAGGAAGAAGGTAAGGGTGGGGACTAATGCAGGAGGTAACCACCCAATGATCATACGCACAGAATGATGCAGGTCTGAGGTGTGTGTGTGCTTGCGTTGTATGCCTTTAGTTAGTACCTACCTAGGTAGGTACCTAACCTAGTAAGCCTAAATATGTAGTCCACCGCCTGGGGCAAAAACAAAATTCAATGGCTTGGTTACTTTTTTGTTGTTCGTACCCGAACCATAAAATAAGAACACAAGGAAACTTGCGACTACTAGGAACCTAGTAGCCTAGTTGTAGCCTAGTTGTGACTTCGTGACTGCGAGATAAATAAAGGACCCGTAATGAATTGAGTTGAACCGAATTGAATTGAATTGAATTGTACAGTACGGTCCAAAATGTAAATCCCTGCCCGTTTCAACTTTGCGTTGTCTTGCTGTGAGTCGGTACGCGGAGAATGAAAAACGACAATAATAAGGTAAAAGCTGCGTCCTAGCTTTGTAAATTGCCGGGCAGTGAAGGTGGGGTGTTGACGATAAGGTCTGTGCGTGATTGGTGATTAGGGGGAGCCTCGGGTGCGGGTGACGGTGACGGTGACGGGTCTGCTAGAACCAACGCAGCGGGTTCAAAATTCAGCACCAAACTTTGGCAGCACGGGGCGGCGAAAGAGCACTGGTTTTATATCCGCAAAGACCACCAAAACGGCGAAATCAGATCAAGGGGCTCCCAGTAATCGCGATTAGCACCGCCACAGCATTAAAAAAAAGAACTGGGAAAAAAACCTAAAATCTATCACGAATTTCAATGTAACATTATCACCCTCCTTGTACAATACATAACTCACCGAGCATCCTATGGGAACATCCGTCCTATCTTTTTAATGACGAAGGATACCACTCATCTTCTTCCATCTACACGAATGTGCAGATTTATTACCAATTACATGTCTAACTGTCTCAACACAGATGAATTATTGTAATCATCTATTCAATCATTTATTTACGATGATCTTACTACAAATGAATTCAACACGTGTGTGTCGCCATCGACAATAAGAGGATCCAGCTTTTTTTTTTTTTTTTTGGTCATGCATAAGCCGGTCTCGTCAAGGCTTCCGCAGATCTCTCTAGGCTGTAAAGACCAGGGGATGACTTTGTAAGGTAAATGACTCTTTCTCAGCCTTATTGATTTTTTTTTTCTTCAACAGAATTATCCAAGATTCATCTGACATTGGCTCGGACCTCTTTTTTTAATCATCTCTTATTACCGTTTGCCCTCACCTGTGTCCACTTAGTATACAGCCTAGTTACGTGTTGTTACTTCAAGGATCAACTACCTAAATGTACTTCTGGTAACTACCTCCCTACCTACTTTTGCCCCGAGAAACGCCTTGGCGTGTCATGAATGATGATAATTATGCAAAGAGCTTTGTCCAGAGACTTCGGTAATAACTCCAGTTTAGAAGCCGAGTGTATATTATTTATCTATATGCTATGGTCTCTTTCCTGCTGTGAGGTTGATGATGGCATTACTTGATCTAATCTGACATGACATCGGCACGCTACAGATTACACTACAGACTATAGGTACCAAACAAACTCACATGAATCTTATGCCAAGTTGGCTGCGTCGCTGCTATTAGGTATAGTTTAGCTCTAATGGAATATTACATTGAATTTCCTCCACCAAAGGCTTTAGTCCCTTTTTTCTCTCACCTGGCGAACTACTCAGAAATAAGCTGGCTACTGGCCAAGCATGAATTCCTCCTTTTTCTTCTCTACTATGAATTTTGATGTTGTTGTTTCCAAGAAACTTGACGAGAGATGAGATGTCGGACGCAAAAACCTCTTCGGCACCATAAGCCACAAATATACCTTTTGAGGGTGTTGCATGCTTCCACCACGAGACGTCTCTGCAATTCCCTGGAGATAAAAGCGGATCATTGGCCGAGACGTTCTCCCCAGCATACTGCTGCGCATATCGATGCAAGTTTTCGGTGTTAAGGTAGTCACTCGCGGTATTTTGATGCTTGCTAGAGACCAGCGTCACCCAAGGCGAGATAAGCACTGCCATTCTGGGTTTTGCCAGTTGCGAGGCACCAATAGTTCTGTTCATCTTTTCAAGGTGGCGGCTGATGTTGGCAAGATGGAGCAGCAAGCTGAGCACAATAGTAGCACCAGCTGAGTCTCCACTGACACAAATCCTGTTGGCATCCCGCACGGTTGAAAGCACATGCTCGTAGCCGGCAATAGCTTCCTCCAGCTGTGTTGGAAATTGGGCGTCGGGAACTAGCGAATAATCCAGGGCGAAAATAGCTGGGTTTCTATACCCGCTGTCATTCAGCAAGCTTAACCATGTGAGCAGAAACTCGAGGTAAAAGTATGCTGAGCCCATCGAGAATCCACCCCCTGGGTTGTTGTTAGTTACTCCTAGATCTCATAGTAGGTACAGTTTAGATTTGCACATTATCTCGTACCATGCGCGTAGAATATACAAACGTCAGGTTTAGTTGTTGGATCTTCGATGATCCATATTCCCTTAAAACGCTTCTGCAAAAGTATTAGCAAACGGCCCCGATGTTCTCACACTTGCTAGAGTCAAGAAAATCCCTTACATCTTTATGCTCGTGCCAATAGATGGGAGATCTTAAATAGCCATGCCGCAGCATTCTAAACTTTAGGAATGGCAGGGCAACCTGCTTGGAAAAGAATACCCTCCCAACCTTGGGAGGTATGTTTGCAAACGCATAGCGAACACACCGGATAACGAAGTCTTCAAAGGGGGGTGCTTTCCGCACGAATGGAGTTTTCTGCTCATGTCTGACAAAGTAGCGTTCGTGGATAAACTCGAAAGGCAGTCTGAATACTGTTGATTTGATACGTTAATATTTTTGATGTACGCTTCGTGAGATACCTTAGGTATGTATGTATGCTGAAGTTTTCGGTTCCGTTGATTTCATCTCCCAGACTTACATAGAAACGGCAAGCATTGTAAACCCACTAACACAGTCTCGAGCAACCCGGCGTGCATGATTAGCTGCGGTGTCAGGAATGCGCAGAAAACGATGCAATCCACGTACGAGACAGGACCTAGAATCATTATGCCGGATAACAAGCGTAACTCGACTATACGAACTACTTATCTATCTCATCCATCACCCTCAGAGAGAGAGAGAGAAGAAAAGAAGAAGAAAAAAAGGAGAGGGAACTAAAAAAAAGACGCTCCGTGGGACATGTACATATCTATCTCACAATAAGATAGGTAAAAGAAGCGGTAAACAATCCGATGCGACCAAGACCACGTGCGCGTCTCCCGAGAGCAATAAATGAATTGATAATGACACCACGGTCTGCTCGATGCACTACTAGTCGCGTGTTTCTCGTTGCGCGCTAGGGACTTGCGAATTCACGTAGTAATTAGTTTGCAAACCGATGACGTCGTCGAAGATTGTGGGCTCATGTTTAATGATGTTTTAATGGGAGACTGAGCCACACTCTCACATGCCTCGGATTACGAAAAGGGGTCAGTAGTTAAGACCTCATGTAAATATATGAGGAAAACTTTCGAGTTTATAGTTGAATAATAATGACACGTAAGAATCTATTATAATTAGATTAGTTAGTTACTATATCTGTCAATAGTATTAGTATTAACTATTGACTTAGATCTATATTGGATCTTATATTGGTCGCATTAGCTTACTACCTATACACATATAGGAATATAAGAATATGAGAACCCCAAGTGAAAAACATCGCCTGCTGCATTGAGTAATGAGCTTAAGCTGACACTAACTAAAGTACATGGCTGGCTTAGGTACACATATGAGATCTACTCAGGAACACGCTAAATCGCAATCACCTGCTCGGGTATAAATACCTAAGATATTATCAGCCTCCTAGAACATAAGCTTTCGCCTAACCTCACGTACCTGGGTAGGCACCTAACCCTAAGGTTTAGGTCGGTAGGTTAGGTTAGGTAGTTAATTATGCGCGACCTCCAGTATCTTATTCTCCAGCTCCTCGAACGCGTGCAGGACCTTGCCGTACTTCGCGAACTCCGCGTCGCGGAACCCGTCGTCGACCTTCTGGACCGCGTCCTCCTCCCTCCATCGCTTTCCGATCAGGTCGTCGAAGCTCTCGTCCGCGTCGCGCCGCTCGAGCGCCCACAGCGCCTTGTACGCGCCCCCGAGCGCGCACGCGTTGCCCCCCACGTCCAGCCGGTACACTCCGTCCACTCCGCCCAGCACGTCCCCGAATACCCGCGCGATCGCCGGGTTCAGCGACCCGCCGCCGACGAGGTAGATCCGCCGCGGCTGCGCCGGCAGCTGCGGCCTACCGGCTGGTTTTGAGACGAGCTTCTGCGAGCGCAGGCGCATCGATAGGGCTTGGGATTCGACGATGATGCGGGCGTCTGCCTCCGCACCCCAGTCCGGACTCTCCTTCAGGTCCGAGCCGTCCGTGCTGTTGCATGTGTACCGCCAGGTGCCGGCCTTGATGTTGGGTACGATCTCCGGCAGCGGGAAGTACAGGCCCAGCTTGGCCCTGTCGCCCTCTTTCTTCACGTCTAGCGGCGGCGTCTCCAGCACCTTCTCGTTGAAGTTCTCCCAGGGGTCCGGGCCTGACGGCTTAGGGAGCTTGTCGCGGACCTTCTCGCGCGCTAGGCCGCCGTTCTTGTAGCACAGCATGAACATGAAGTGCCCCTTCGTGGTGGGGTGGTTCATGAAGTGGTACGAGGGGTCGGGCTTATAGCTAGGCGTATTCATGAGGAATGTGCTAGATGTGCCCAGCGAGACGATCGCATCGTGCGGCCGCAGAGGTAAGGATAAGATCGTCGCGGGGTTATCGCCCGTGAAAGGTGCGATCTGGCAGTCGGGACTGAATCCGTATCGTTTTACGAAATACGAGGAAATTCCTCCCAGACTACCACCGCCGTCTAGTGGTACATCACCAAGCTTCTTCCGCAGCTCGGGCACACCCTCCTTAGTTGCCGTCAACTCTAAGAGTGACTCGTTCCACTTCTCACCGGCGATGTCCCATAGATTCATACCAGTGACATCGCTTATATCTATCGGCGCAATTGCTCCCAGAAACAGAGAGGCTAAAAATGAAGAGGCAAGTGAGATTCGAGCAGTTTTATTGTAGACTTCAGGGCGTCGCGTTCTCATTCTTAGAATTTGCGTGCCTGTGAAGCGCTACTTCTTGTTAGCTACGCTTGATTTGGCTATATTACAAAGTAACTTACATGATGAGCAGCACTCCCTGTAGCATCAGCCAACTTCTGTTTGGAGCCGAGGTGAGCATCAAAGTGATCGCATTCAGTCTGGGTACTGTGGTCCTGCCAATTCGGGGCGAATTCGTAGGCGAAGGCATTGTGCAGCTGGTTGATTAGGGGCTTCTCACTATCAAGCGACTTCAAAGTGGACTCGGCATGTTCACTCCAGTAGACACTCGAATGCTGTTGACCAGAGCCGCTAATGCCTTTGATATGCTCAACAGGACATCCTTTTTCCTTAAGCCGAGTTAAGACGAGGTCAACGGCCTCAACCCACATGGCCACAGGAGCATACACTTCACCTTCATCCTCGTTGGTCCGTACGCCCTTATTGATTTTATACTTGGCGGCAAAATCGGCGTCGAAATCGACTTTGGCCCCGGAGATAACCTTGAGATCTGAAGCAATTACAATTGCTGATACCAAGTTAGCAAAACTCTTCTAGCAAATAGTTGGGAATGTCTATTGGTTCAACCTTTTAATTGCTGGGTTGAAAGGTCAAACCCGAGGTATAACGGCCCTGTGCTCATAATTGCTTTGCTAGTAAATCAGTAAAGCAGTAAATCGATACAAACGTATATCAAAATTAGAGATTGTAAGGATTCGTAAAGCTCTAAACTCTATGCATGGAAATGACGCTCTAAAAACAGAGGATTAGTCTAGTAAATTTGGATTTGGACCCTCTTGGGAAAGTTGATCGGAATTATTTATTAAGTTCATGGGAGCTTGTTGATGCAAGATTTACAGATCATACGTCTCATAGGTGCTGCTGCTGCTGATATGACACCAATGACCCAGATCTCGGTATCGCGGGGCAATGAAGTCCCTCTATCAATTTAGGCTAAAACGTCATTAGTCCCTGTCCTGGCGGTCTGGAAGTCGAATGAGCTCTAGAAGACCGAAAAGGTTCAGGGATGTCTTGCATGATGTACCTAAGTAACTTGCTTCCATTGGCTTGGAAGGTTTCGACGTTCTAATGTACCTTAGCTCCGAACTCGCATCTATATTGCTATTATCAATGCCATGGTATGTGCTATATCTAGCAAGCGCGTAGCTAAACTCAGGTCCTTATATCTCCTGAGCTTTGTTGATATTCCCCACTATCCTTGCTTTTGCTATGTTCATGAACATGCAAGATACCTCTATTGTTAGCAACATTCAGTGCTAAGTTTTTCTGAATGCCATCTATCCGATGGTGCAGGCCGAAGATATAGTACACTCAAGCTTTCCCTTGAGTACCTCGCCTTTTATACTCTGTGATATTTTGGTATCATCAAATGTCGACCGTCCGAAATGCCTACAATGTAGCCAACGCCTCAACGCCCAAAATGATTATTTCTTCTATATCGTAGTGTTACTTCGACTTGCGGCCTCCATTGCCGTTATGGTCATGGGTGTGGTTATGATTATCGTCGTCCTCGGGCTCCGGGCTCGATCGAGGGCTCACATCACCAGGAATGAATTCGTCAAACTTGGGAGGGACAATGTCTTTAGGTAGGAAACGAACACGGACCCTGCGAACACCTCGGACCTTGCTGCCGACCGCGGTTCTAATTCGGTCTTCAGTCTCGTGGATAGCTTCTACCGTCCAATCTCCCGGCACAGCTACCTCCAAATCGACTAGGTAATTCTGACCAGACTTGACGCCTGAGACACCACGGAGCTCTATTTCATGCCCCTCAGGAATATCCGAGAAGACCCTCTGGGCATGTTTCCGGACTGAAGCTTGCACTTCACCATCGATAGACTTATCAGTCAATTCAAGAATTGCTTCCTTGGTATTTTCCGCTCCTGCCTTCACAACCATCAGGGATATTAGAAGACCTCCAACGGGGTCTAGCCACGCTGCATTTTGCATGAAGTTTGCTCCTAAGACCACGGCCAACGTAACAATACCAGTGAGACTATCGACTCGATGGTGGACAGCGTTCGAGGCTAAGACCGATGACTTTCGTTCGCGGGCAACTTTCATAGCTATAGGGAGCGATTGGTTAACGGCTGGAATTTTTTTATCACCAGAGTTTGGCGTATTAGTTGGAAGACTTACTTGCATGGTACAACCACTCCTTAACGGCAACTGTGCCCGCAGCTAACCATGCAGCATGCAGACTGGGTACTACGTCGACACCATGTCCATGATCATGGCCGTGACTGTGTGTATGGGCATGTGCTAGTAACTCCGCTGCAGCGGTTGGGTCGAGGAAAAAGTGTCCATAGAGCGTCAAGAGACTACCGTAGCCCATATAAAGACCTCCTATAAGAAGCATGCTCGACACACCCAAGGATCCTAAACTTTCAACTTTTCCAAACCTAGTAGGGAATTTATCGGTCGGGGGCCTCAAACTCCAAGATATAGTGGCCAAAGTCAAAATATCGGATGCGAGATCTGTTAAACTATGAATTGCGTCGGCCATCATAGCTTTGGAACTAAACAAGTAACCTCCAGCTCCTTTTGCAATTGCCATGCCAAGATTTGAATATAGGCCAATTCGGGTAATGCGAACGCCGGCGTCGTTTTTATTCTGGGAGGTAAGATAGACATTATCATGATGGTGATGGTGTGCATGGCTATGCTTGTGGCCGCTATGGCTACGCGTCTGAGAGAGCGTTGACATGATAGGAAAAAATCGGGTGTATTGCCGGTGAATAAATCGTGAAGAATGAAGGAAGGAAAAAGAATGTAAAGAAGAAGATTGAACTTGTGAAGAAGGATAATAAGCAGTTTGAAAGATGCGACGTGGTTGTGTTTGGACTGGGTTATGTGTCCAATAAAGATGGTGATGATTTATTAAATGCTGTTGCTGTCGGATAAAGCTTAGGCTTAAGCTTGGGCTTAAGCTTGGGCTTGGGCTTGGGCCTGGGCTTAATCGGTTAGTTGATGTTGTAAGCTCAGACCCAGCTGCGACAGCCTGGCGGATACTGGGTACGCGGCCTAAGCATGGCCAGCTTAATTGGCCTTGGGGAAACATCTGAAGAAGGAAAGTACGCCGACTTGTGTAATAAATGTGGTAATGTGTAATGGACGCCGGTACCTATGGAGATGGATGCCGTATTGGGGACCTGAATTTGATGATCTAACCGAGTGACGCGCGTTACTGTCTGGGATGGCCAGGTGAAACAAAAAAAAATAATTATGTATATCTAAAACGAGAATCGTCGTTGTAGTTTGCAAAGGAAAAAATTAAAAATACTTGCGATGCGTGCGCGTTCCTTGAATTGCGACGACATCGGATGGGTCGGCGTGGGTGAATGGTGCCGATTAGAAGCCAATTGGAACTTGACTGATTTGAAGCTTCTACTATGTACCTAGGTAGGTTAGCTAATTTTTTATAGAAAAAAAAAAAAAGACCCTAGACTGAGAGCTGCGTCAGCTGCTGCCGTAGCTTGGAATAATGGAACTGGGAAAGCCCCTAACCGACCCCACGCTTCAGGGGGGAAGATTCATCGGTATCATCCTCTATATCCATATGCTATAGGTACCTGCTGGCTACCTCTATGAGATAGGTAGAACATTTGTAACAGCTTACCTCATCTTCTCTTTTGATGGCTTAACTTGTTTATCTCTAAGGTAAAATGCCGAATAGGTTATGACTTCACTTCACACAATATCCCAAACACAACCTCTTCATAGAATAAAGAATCATATAACTTTTCCGTATGGTCAATTAAGAATTACATTTTATTGAAAATATACCTACCTTTTTAGCACTTTAGTACCAATAACACAATTACACAAATAACTATATCTATCTCATCATCATACGGTCTACACCTTTCAGAATGCGCAAACCATATATGCGCATTCCGTATACGGACATCTTACCGTCACCTACCACCATCCCGCGAACTGCCACTACCCTATCAGGAGCAATTGCAGCTCTACAAGAGTTCTTTGGTGCATCATCAGCAAAAGGTGCCCCTTCTACCGTCGCTCTTACTGGGGCTGGTATATCTGTAGCTAGCGGACTGTCGGATTATCGAGGGCCCAATGGTACATATCGAGTAAATAAGACATATCGACCCATCTACTACAGCGAGTTTATTCAGAATCACGAGGCTAGGAAACGGTACTGGGCTAGGAGTTTTCTTGGCTGGACCACTCTACTGAAAGGAAAACCCAATGCTGGTCACTATGCTGTAAAACACTTAGGCGACTTAGGACTAGTTCAGAATGTGATTACGCAAAATGTGGACTCGTTTCATCTAAAAGCTCATCCTCAACTCCCCACGATCGAGCTACATGGATACTTAAGATCATGCATATGTACATCATGCCACCAAGAACTGTCGCGAGAGACATTTCAGCATGAGCTAGCTAGGTTAAACCCTGCCTGGGACACCTTCCTGCAAGAGATCTTAGCATCCGGCGCCTTGGATACGGAAAATCCAGACGAAAGGCGAGCTAGGGGTTTGAAGACGAATCCTGACGGTGATGTTGATCTTCCAGGTGCACCATACACGACATTCCGCTATCCTGCTTGTCCCACATGTCTTACATCTCCACCTGCCATCGCAGATGGGAGTCTAGCCAAGGTCGAAGTTGATACAGATGGCGCGTTGATGCCAACTAGCACAGCTGGAATCTTAAAACCGGCTGTTATTATGTTTGGGGAGAACATTCGTGTACCCGTCAAAGCTGCGGCAGAGCAAGCCATCGAAAATGCCGGAAGCTTGTTGGTCCTAGGCACATCCCTAGCGACTTATTCCGCATGGCGACTGGTTAAGAAAGCTAAGGATCGGGGCATTCCCATCGCGATCGTTAACCTTGGAGGGGTAAGAGGGGAGGAGACCTTTTTTGCTGACCTCGATCCGTCTCAAAAGGGGAACCAGGGAGCAAGGATAGAGTTGTCTACCGATGAGCTGTTACCTGCTCTTGTAGAGCAGTTGAGACAGTCTTCTAGAATAAAAGCTGCTGTAGAGGGACATGACCACAGGTCTGAACAGCATGGTGCCGCAGTTTTCAAAGATATGATGTCGTAATAGCATATCTAGTAAGTCTTGTTGTATATAGGCATATAACCTGCCATAATTCGGAGGCTAGAAAAAATTCGAATAGCCTCCAGCCTTTGTCTTTGGATGTTCCCTAATTTCCGTAACACCAGGACTACTACTAGATTCTGTCTTTATCAAATCTGTTGTAGGTTGTTTTGTCTTTTCAGATTTCTTCGTATTCTTGAGGATATCATCCCGCTCAATTTCTCTTAATACTTCCTCCCATTCTTTCTCCTTTTCAGCATCCCCAGTGCCTAACGCTTTCTCGACATCAACTTCTTCACCTCTCTGCAGCTTCTCCACCACCTCGCGCAGTGTCCCGATGCGAACTTCGGACCGCCTCATAAATGTTTCAAAATCCTTCTTCAACACAATCATCTGTATAGCCATGGATCCAATGAAGAGGAATATGATGATGTAGAATGTTGCTGGATTCCACTCCTTTGACATAAACCCCTTGAGCGTACCACGCCGGCCCACGGATCGTTCTGAGCGTCTAAAAGGTTTCGGTACCAAGTTCTTCCAGAACGATGTCTGCATTATTGACGGAACCGTGCTAGCATGTCGGACGAAGAGAGGCTGATTGAGAAATATTAGCCGCGGGGCTACAGGCCAGAGGGGTGCCGTAGCTATCGCGGCTTTGCGCCATATCAACTTGTCCATGTTGGGAGACTTGTTGCCATGTGAGTTGGAAGGAAAAAAGAATGAAAAAGAAGGTTTTCGGTGTTAGTGAAGTAAAATCGTTGGAGTACCTATTGTACATTGTAAAGTATTTAGGTACGTACCTATCTATCTGCCCAGAAATGATAACGCACAGACCTTTGGATAAGTTGGGACTTAGGTAAGTGAATTGGAAGTTTTAGGTACTTGGGTACCTATCGTTTGGGTTGCCTGGCCAACACACTTAGTATGTTTTCACTCTAAGTTTAGCTACCTAAACAGCCTCCGCTCTTGCATGGATTCAACATGGGTTCAAGGAATACACATCCACTTTCCCTATCTTCACAAGTCTTTGCCGTGAATTCAACATATCATCAAAGTCCACAAGCTTCAGCTTACGACGTAGAAGTATTATACACATTTCTTCTAAGCCTTGACATCGCCATTCTATTAGAATTTCTTTGCTCTTTTTTTTTCTTCTTTTAGTTGGCATGAGATACGGTTTTTGCGTACTTTAACTAATCGCTTTCCCAAGCCCTTCATTCTTTTCTGCTTTATGACGATATGAGTAAAAGCTGGCAAATATAACAATTCACCCCTCATGGAATCCATACAATCCCGCGTCGACTCTGTGCGAAATGCTGTCACTTCGGTTTCGACATGCACTGCTACAATCTCAGCTACCGTTAAAGAACTTCTCCAAGACAACGACGCGAATAATGACGCCTCAAAACCAGCTTCGAAAGCGCGATCGACAAAGTTAACAAGAGCACCGAGTAGATCAAATACTATGTCAGGAGGATCGCGTACACAAGGCAATGGAGGAGGCTTATCAGCTAAAGAAAAAGCTGTCCTGGCCACTCAGATCGTCACCGCCAGTCTTAAAGCTTTGGGAGAGGCAGCAAAATCTACGACAAATTCCACCCCGGATGCGCGCGAACCGACCAAGAACGATCCCTCTAAATCCGCATCCCGAAATGGTCTCAGGAGATCGATGTCAGCCCCCACGAAGCCATTGTCAGTCCGGTCTCTGAACAGAGTTGTGACGTCGCCTGTCGTTTCGAAAACGTCTCGATCACCCATACCAGCTACTTCTTCGATAGGATGTCTATCCCTGATAGAATGCGCGCGTGCGGCATTTTCGGCATTGACACATCTAGAATCGTCAAAGGTTGTCCATCTTCCCGAACTGCAACTGGAGGCAGGAATATCATCATTTGTCAGCAAGCTCATCGCGTTAAATCAATTTGATATAGCATTAAGAGAGCTTAGGGTATTAAAGCGACGGTTAGGGCGTACAAATCACGAAGAGGCTAAAAACGCGACGGCACGCTCGAAACCGGAGCTCAATACGATATCAAAATCCTTTCCCGAATTACTAGATTTCTCTACGGTCGCCGCATCTGGGCCGTTGCTTGGGTTAATTATCACCACTCAACTTCAGACCCTTCGGATCATACATGGTCTTAAAAAGTCGTCACATCTCGAGAGCGTCTTGCCTTTATTAAGGGAAACCTGCCCCTCTTCTCCTATAAATCTACTCTTATCGTCCCTTAAGGTTGCCAACCCGGATCAGACCAAATGCGCGAGACAACTGGAGAGTTTATCTCAAACTCTGCTTTCTTTAACCCCCAGTGTAGCGGCCAAGGATGACGACTTTGCCGTGGAGCCAAAGCTGTCCCCAAGCCCTGAAGTGGCATTGGAGGTACAAGCCCTTGGCTTGGCTACCCGTCTACAGTCATGGAGTGTATCTGGACATAGGGGGGACGTTGATAAGGATATCTTATCCCCTCTCTCCAAGTGTCTAACTGCTTTCATTAGAAGGGCAACCCCTAGCCGCTTTTCAATGGCTGTCACCGCTTTCTCTCAGGTCTGGAAACGTGTTGAAAAGCTAGGGCTGAGGCCAACAGAATCATCTCGATCTCCCTCAGCCACGATATATCAAGTACTCGCGACTGCGTCTCAAGAATCGGGAAATACCAACGAGGCGAAGAAGTGGTTGACTAAGATCAAATCCTTAACCAACCCAAGCGAAGATTCTGCTGCAAGATGTTGTGCCGTTACTGCTAGACTGTTAGCACTCTCTCTCAAGCAGTCCTCTCAGGTTGATGAGAGAGTACTTGTGGAAGTCTTGGACGGGTTACGAGGATCGCTTGGTGGCACAAGCGCAGAAATGGACGACCTGCTAGACAGTGTATGTCTCCTACGAAAGTCTATGGTGAATATAATCATGGAAAAGAAGGATGGCTCTTCCTCACCTTCACACGGAATGAACGAACTTCTCGGAACTTTCATCTTTCAACTACCACGATTCTGTCTGAGATGGCTGGGTAAGCCACCGAGTTCGACCAACTCTGCCAAGGATTTTATTCGGTTCGACCAACGTCGGGGGTTGTTGTCAACATATTTACCACATATCCTTGACTCAGCTCTCATGCTTGCAAAATTGCTGCTAGACAATAGCCGAATAACCTGGGATGTTCTCGATTCTACCCTCCAGGATATCTTAGCCCTTCTCGAAAATATTGAAGATTTAGCTCGATTGGAAACCAAGAACAATCCATCTCCCTCCTACCATATCAAAATATCTCATTTATACTACCAACAGCACCTTGCTCTACGAAAAACTCCCTCAAAGGAGACAGAAATTATATCTCTCAAAGCGCTTCGAAAGTCTATCGAGAGCGTGAAGAATCGGTCCAGAGCGGAGCAGACCCGAGCCCAGCTATTAGTCAAGTGGGAAAGATTTGCCGAATTATGCAGAGCCTCGGGCAGATTGGAGGATGCTACCGATGCCCTCCGCTCCATTAGAGACCATCTTGTTCGGCAAGAAGTCGTGTCGAATATAACTGCTAGCCTTGCAACAGAACCTTGGTGGGTAGCATGGAAACAGAACTCTGATGTCGAATTACTTTCAAGGACGGTCTGCAACCTCGCGAAGCTTGATCGGAGACATAACGATTGGACTTGGCTGCTTGTTGGCCAAGATAAGGCTACAGCTCTCGAACACGATCTCTACGCCATCGTTTGCAAAGATCAGAAGTTCCGCTACGAATCGGACTTGTCAAGCCCCATGATAAAGACTCTACTAGAGTTTTATTCTGTTGAGAAACATCCGATTCGCAGATTGAGAACCTTGCTGCAGCTTCTCACTATCCACATGGGTTCACAAGAGGGGCTTGTCGACTTACGGACCGAGATGGAAGGGGTTCTCGAAACGATCAAGGAAGAAGCCCTAGCGGATGATTGTGGCTTAATTCGCTACATTCCGCACCTTCGAGCCTCTGCGACGTGCATATTGGGATTGATCGACTCGAACATAGATTCACCACAAGTTAAGGAAGCCTTGGTTCGATGGAAACAGATCGTCTCCCAATGCCAATCAACTGAACAGCTACTAGCTCACGTTGACAATCCTTCTCAGCTGCTCACGAACCTGCAGTCTCTCGTCGATTTTGCCCGGATCAAGGGTCTAGAAACCCTCCAAACAGAGATCCTCGAGCTCTCGATGAGCCTCTCTAAACTTTCAGGAGATTGCAGTCCCGAAGCGTCGATAAGTCAGGGCATCACACTTTGTCTGCAGCATTTGAATAATGGCTGGTCATCCAAAGCTGAGAAATTCCTCGTAGACAACCAAGAAGTAATTTCTCGACCAGACATGACCAGAGAACTTATTGTGAGCTTTCACTTGTCTGCCGCAGAGTATCACCTGTCCTTGGGAGCCCTTGACAAGGCTGAGCAGCATTTGAGTAATGCTCGGAATGCTGAGATGGGCCTATCGTCTGAGCCAGAACAAAGGAGAGGGAAGAGTACCAACCGAAGAATAACTACAGCGTACGCGTATTTCCTGTACTCGAATCTCGAGCTCGAACGTGGCGACTGCTTTCACGCACTTCGCTTTGCCAAAACTGCTGTCAGGAAACTCTTTCATGATTGGTCTAGACTGGACGAAATGAGGACCGCTGCCCCCGATATTTCCATCGAGGAGTCTTCGCAATCGGATGCTTCAGATAAAGACACGAGCCTCAACAATTCTTATATGGAGCGCTCTGATCTATCCCGTGCCAGCGCTGGACCGGAGTTTTGGACATTGGCTTACCAGCTGTTTCGATTTCTTTTACAATTGTCTTCTACTTACTCACATGTTGGTATGTATCAAGAAACTCTGTATTATGCCGAACAAGCGCAGAAAGTAGCGAAGAGTATGGAATCAGCTGTGTATATTTCTCAGTCTCTTGCTTGGCTGGCACGAGTGTGGCTTATGGCTGGCAAGCTGGAGAAGGCGGTAGAGATAGCAGCCGAAATCAAGCCTATAACTCTAGGCTTAGAGCCTACCTACCAGAATGCGAAGGTGCTGTGTCGTCTAAGTTCGATTTACGGAGAAATCAACGACGAAGAGGCGCAAGAGGAAGTAATAGTCAGGGCAGAGGCCATGCTCAAGATCTTGAACAGCACTCACAATGCGAATAGCTCGGTTGTGGAAGTACTAGAATCAGACATGGCAGGACTGAGGATTGAAGAAAAACCTATTGCTAAAGCTGCGGTGCGCCGCACCGCAGTAGCGAAACGGCCCAGAGCTCCGACTAAGACCGTCCCGAAGAAACCAGCAGTAAGAAAGGCGCTGCCACCACCCGAAACTCCGGTACAGGATAAACCTGAGGAAACACAGTTATCCTTCTTACGCGCCTCGATCCTCCAAATCCAATCGACACGCCTGCTTGATGCCAACGATTGGGCAGCGGCAGTATCTACCCTCCGAACGGCATATGAGCTTTCCAAGTTGCCCACAGATGTGTCGCAAGCCAGCTTCTTAATGGGTGTGGCATTGATTGGGCAGAGTCTAGAACAGATAAGCCAAGACGCCGTGTTTTCCGTCATTCAGGACTCGACTCTTTCGTTCCCTTCAGTAGCGGGATCTTTTAAGGACAGAATCGCATCTGATCGGTTATCTCCAATAAAACCAATGGCTCCTCGAAAGGGTCGCGGGCCGGCGAAGAATGCACAGAACACGCGGTCTTTCGTCGAGAAATTGCGCGAAGCACAGGGACATTTACTAGCGGCACACTCTATCGCGAGTCTTAACGGCGATGGTGACTTGGTTCATCGTATTGCTACAGTGCTACAGAATGTGGTTATTCTCTTATCGAATACGAACTCGTCCAAACCGGCGGCAAGCCATCCTGCTCACGCCACTTGCACAGTCGAACTAGCACGCAACCTCACCTGGCGACGCGAGCGCAAGACCCTCCATTTAGAAGCCGTGAAGGAACCCAAGTTAGATTGGCCTGTGCTGATCAACGATAGCCAAGGTAGACGTACCAGCCTTGGCCTTTCCCTGGATATGGATTGCTTTCAAAGAGATTATGTCGATATCATCCCCAAATCCTGGAATGTCATATCTGTATCTCTAAGCGATAACGAGCACGATCTCTGCGTCACTAAGCTCCAGCCAGGCCATAATCCCTTCGGAATTCGGCTTCCGCTTGAAAGGGCTAGCTCCAGAGATGCAGACTGCGAAGTATTAAGCTTCCACCAGGGACGAGCGGAGTTACTCAAGATTATACAGATGGCTAATCGCACCTGTCACGATGCACGGGACATGAGTCAAAAAGGCGCGAAGTCCGCGTGGTGGTCTGAGCGAGAACAACTCGACGAACGGTTAAAGAACCTTATGGACTGTATCGAACAGTCATGGCTAGGCGGATTTAAAGGCATATTTTCGCATCACCGACGACGAGAAGATCCACTTGTCCAGTTCCAGAACAGCTTCGAGGCCATCCTTGACAAAAACCTCCCCTCGAGGCGCAAAGTCCGCGGCAAAAAGACGAAAGCAGCTCCTGCGACACAGATCAACCTCGACCCTAGGATATACGACTTATTTATCGGTCTAGGGGATCCGATAGCTCGCGAGGGCGACCTTGATGACGCTTTGACAGACTTGCTATATTTCGTTGTCGACATCCTACAGTTCCACGGCGAGAGGAATGCTTACGACGAAGTCAACTTCGACGACATGGTGGTGGAGACCTACGACGCCCTACACGCGTATCACGTCGCTGCCAAGAGTGCTAAGGACGCGGACGAGGCCGTGCATACGATTCTGATCCTCGACAAGCCCTTACACGCTTTCCCCTGGGAGTCTCTGCCGTGTCTGCAGGGCTTGGCGGTATCTCGCGTCCCGTCTCTCGACTGCCTACGCAGGTTAATTCTGGAGGCCAACCCGTGCAGCCCAGACAAAGACGAACAAGCTAGCAGCAGTTCTAGCCAGCGACAGGGCCACTACGCGTCCATCAACTCGGGCACGTATATCCTCAACCCGGGCTCCGACCTCAAAAACACCCAAGCGACCTTCGGCGGCGCGCTATCGTCCCTCCCTCCGGCGTGGGACAGCGTCGAGATGCGGGAGCCGACGGAGGCCGAGTTCGAGTCGGCGCTCGCGACCAAGGACCTGCTGCTGTACTTCGGGCACGGCAGCGGTGCGCAGTACATCCGGGGGAGGACGATCCGCAAGATGGACAAGTGCCGCGCCGCCGCGCTGCTCATGGGCTGCAGCTCCGCGTCGCTCGCGGACGCCGGGCGCTTCGAGTGCCACGGTCCCGTCTGGAATTACATGCTCGCCGGGTGCCCCGCCGTCGTGGGGACCCTCTGGGACGTGACGGATCGCGACATCGATCGCTTCGCGGGCAGGGTGTTCGAGGAGTGGGGGCTGCTGCCTAAGGGTACGTTTGCCGAGGACGCGGGCGCAGGCGCGAAAGGGAAGAAGGTCGCGCGAGGAGGAGCTGGAGGTGGAGGGGGGAATAAAGCGGGTGCTGAGAAGAAGAGCAAGGCAGCGCCGCCGCCGCCGAGAGGAGAGGGAGAAGAAGGCTGGGGTAAGGCGAGCCTCGTGGAGGCGGTTGCTAAGGCGAGGGATGCGTGCCGCTTTAGATACCTCACGGCGGCGGCGGTGTGCGTCTACGGCATCCCGGTATATATCAGCGATCGTTGATATGGGATGCAATGCTATCGTATCGTATGTGTGGCCTTAGGTTGGTGGAGATGAAGATAGATCCTTAAGGGGTAAGGGAGAAAGAAGCGACTGCCCCTTAGAGTAGAGCAGAGCCAGCAGAGCAGACTTCGCTCGAGAGATCGCATTCAGACAGGGCAGCGGCATTTCATGTGGCGTTTTGGATTGAAGGTGGATAGATTAGAGCTCTAGATACCTTTGTTTGTTGTTATTGTTCTTGTTGTTGTGGTTTGTGGTTGGCGTTGGGACTTCCCTACTACTTACCAGGCGCGTTGAAAGCCAGGATAACTCCCTAAAAACTTGCTTCTTCTTCTTTTTTTCAGAGTATTATGTATAATGTTAAGCTAATGATTCCTCAGAACAAACATATTGGTGCTCTGGGTTAGGTATGGCGTGCTAGCGGTGATATTTTTTTGTGAATATGTACCTCCTACCTTGTATGCTGTTATTCGAGTTTATTGTTTTGGGAACATTGCTCACTACCTCAAACTTGGAGCTTCGTGGTTTTCTTCAACGGCACTTGTAGATTAATTTGCATATATAGGTACCTACCTACCTATGTAGGTACGTGTAACAACTGTATACACCAATGTACTAGGTAGCTACCTAGCCTCTTGCATATTCAAATAATGATTACAGGTTAGGTTAGGTACTGATAGTAGATTTAATAGAATATCTTAGGTACCTGGTATGTTAAGAGGTATCAAGACCAGTGCTACGGAATCGAGCCTTGTCACGACTATAGGCATGCACCTAATCTAACCTGCCTGGTGGCGTGCATTGGAAGTGCCTAGGCTTTCAGGTACCTAATCTAGGGGAATAAGGGCATGCACAATACGAAGAGTAGTAGTAACACCAAGCATACCTAGGTAGCGGCCAATAGACCGCCATCGTCTTATCCCTCTGAAGAACTGACATGTCAGTGAGGACGACGAGTCTAAAAAAGAGTAACCGTAGATGTTTGTTTACAGAGTTGTCATCTCGATCTCCAAGTTCTTCATAGTCCTCGTTAGGGCCTCTCCTCTGGTACGCATTTTTTTTTCTAAGCGACAAGATCTCGTGTGAAATCCCGCTGTCGCTATAGGCTCTAAATCAATATTACGACAAGTTTTCCTCCTTTACTTTAGGTACCTACTTGTATTGAACTCATTACGCGTTCTTCCTACCTACTCATCGACGACACGTATCCTGCAGTATAAAAGCAATGCGATCCGTGTAATGAATCAATCCTATTGCCTGAGCCTAGGCCCGTCCGTCCTGTGGATGCAAGAAAGGTTATCGTGATACACGTGGTGAATAAGTATCTGCTAATGGGCCGAATAGTGGGAGGGGAACGGAGACGGGGGGACGGGGACGGGGACGATGAGCAAGGACCATATTACTACGACTCTCGACAAGAGATCAAACTGAAATACTGAGGGGGCAGAGGATGCGGTTCGTAATATCATCGTCATAATGTGTTTGCGTGCGAGCGTACGCTGCTGTGTAAGAATCGAATATTGCTTGTTCAGCCATTTATGTTGCGTATCCCCTCGAATACTGTAAGATCTAATTCAGGTACCAAAGGGGGGCAATGGGCAACACGAGACGCTCTCTCAGGTCCAGTACTTTTTACTCTTCGCACATTTCAAGGTGATACCCTCTAGAGTTCTGGCCCTGAATCTGGATGGGACGCATCATCTCTGTTGCTAGACAATGGATGGTTCGGCCGGTGGGGAGTAGTGACACCCTCTTCGAACTCCTGTCAATCGTGGAAGTGAACGGCTGTGCTCTATTACACAGTTACCATGTCACAACATAGCCGTCGAGTAACTCCTTCCTCACCTACACGCAGACGTTAGTACTAGGTATATCGATTCACCCTAGATCTTGCTTAAATTACTGGATGAAAGTCGAGATGAGTGAAGATCAAATCGCACGGGGACGTCCTTCGATTTCCGCATAGCAATGAGTTAAATCGAAACCTGCTCTGTTACTACCTCTTAGTGTGGTATTCTTCTTCTCTATAGCGAGGTACGGTTGGCCAACCGAAGCGCGCGTTCAGGGACGGTGAACGAACGTGCCACGGAGATCGCCTCGTAGCCTAGTGCAGATCTTGAGGGTCCACGTAGCATCAAGTTGACCGCAACCGTATAGGATAAGAATAAGGTAGTAAAAAATTAAGATACAAGATAGAAAAATTTCCCCTTTCTCTATGGAGATGTGTTGCATACTTTACCGTCTGACTCTTTCTTTCCTCTCTATGGAGAATCTTGGTAGTCCGGGGAAAGCAAGGCCTTGCGTGATTCGATCGACTCTTCGATGTAGAATAGATTATATGACTGCTACTTTAGATAAATAGCTACTATAGATGCTATAGGATCACACCTATATCGCGTGGTATTCTGATATGCGACTTGAGAACTGATACATGGGATTAGACATGTAATAAGATGATATAAACCGCTTATTCTTCAACAAAGAGGTAACTATATCTTTTTTTCTGCTTCCGAAGTCGATCATCTTGGTACCTTAGGTACCTAGGTAGGTAGGTATGTAGGTAGATATGCATTGAAGGCCAATAGTTCTCCGACCCTGGGTTAGTGGAAGTTGGAGGAGGTCCGATACGGAGCAATATATCCCCATGGGGAAGCATCGCATACTACCCAAGGTAAATATATAGATAGGCAGAGTATCTTAATGATGTATCACCTAAGGTGGATAGTGTAAGTCCTGCAAGTCACGCAAGTAACTCAAGTATTGCCCTCCTGCTGAATTGGGGGCCTTTGCGGTTGTTCATCCGCCTTCAATGGGTAGCAAGGCTGCGGCGCCTGAAAATGCAGGTCGCGCAACGGAACCAAAATAGTAGACGGCTAACATCGCCAAGCACGCTGGGGGCTTTTATTCTCCCATCTTATCCAATTCGCTACCGAAGTTCGCAACCGCAATATGTTGAGACGTCGGGAAATTCGAAGTATTCCATGACCATTCTGCGCAGCTGGATGGATGCATGGATGGAGGGGTGAACGGCGGCAAAATACGTATTGCCCACATTAAGCGGAATGTGCAGGGGTTCCCTCCCCTTTTCGGTGTTTTCAAGCTATAGCTGGAGTCGCTTCTTCTCGAAAGGACCGAGTCCATGTATGTATGATGATGTCTCGGTCCCCATCCTTCCTTTCCTTTTCCTATTTTACTTTACTTTCTTCGCATTACTTTCGGCCGCTTTCATTACTGTAGATAGCTGTGCCACGAGACTATCTGTAACGTCGGTTCGTGGATAAGTCTCGGCATCAAGACAAGAGATACATGATGCAGTGAGACCTCACCACAAGGCGCATCTCGCCTCGCTCTGGGACACGTCAGGAAGCTTAATCATCGAGACTCCAAGCTTTGATTGCGTCCCTATAGAATAAGGCAAAGTAGGATAGTTGTCAATATATGTGGCAAGGATATTATGTAGCTTTATCAACGCTGTTGGGGGGTTAAGATACCTAGGTAGCTACGTAACGAGCTTGGGCAAGCGCATTTATTGGAGTTATATGATGAAGCGTCTAACGAAATGCTCTGTTGGCTTCCGCACCCGGAGTCCCAAAAGACATGTGCCAGGAGACTTCAGGCAACGTAATCGTAGCTTTGTATTCCGTTTTGTAATATCAGAGGGGGTTCTAGCTGTCTGGTAGGACAGAGCTGGTAGGGATGGATAATTTTGAGTGTATGATATATGAATGACAGGCAGGAAGGAGAGGCCGATTTCGCCACCCCTGAGTTAAGAAGATGTATGGTAACATTCCGAGATATATATGGTGCCGCCCCCATACTGTAAGTAACCTGTGGATAAAGCTGATCGACATGCAAGTAAAGTTGGCGCACGAGTATTTGATAGTGAAAGGAATAGAGTCTCTCGGAACTTGCTCGCTCTTGCGGATGCAACGGTGTTTTTTGCTGGGGTTAACATGAACGCGCGACTATTTGTCCTGCGGGTTTGCGTGACCTTTCGTGCAGCTAAGCCATGATGCAGATTTTTTGTCCGGAAATTACTCAAGATGAGCGAAACTAGCGTAAAGATATGGGCAGGGCAGGTAAGTATCGGAAGGTAGCTCTCCAAATAGGAAATGAAATAATATGCTACATCATAGGTTAAGGTAAGAGGTAACTACCTACCTAGGTGACTATCCTTTGAATAATGGATTTTCCATCAGGCCGGATAGCTACCTAACCTAACCTGTTTCACCCATGAAATAACATGGGAATAAGCTTTTGTAATCTCTGAATCAGTTCATTACTACGTTAGCCGTCATGATTTACGTCGAGATATTTGTCTGGCGACCTATCTAAGCTTTCGAGTAACATTAAGTAACGGAGACTTGGATGATCTTTTGAAGGGTATGTTGCTTCGATAGTTGAGTAGCAATGTCTTCTAAGGTTTCTCTAACGGTTATAACCATCTGAGGTATGTCAGACGACGTAGTTGTTGGATGTGGATGCTGGAAATGATACTGCATTGAGGGATCTTCGAGAGGTCCCAACGACCCGAATCAGGGTAAGGAGTGTGGTGGTGTTGAAGTGAAGTGTGCCTGTTTTATTGACATTGCGATAACATGGAGGATAGGTATTTACTTGAAGTGCTAATACCTATTTGAAGAATATATTTGAAGGAAAGATACTTTAGGTACTTACATACAACTTCACGGCCGAAAACGCATGGCATTGCAACGCAAACGCAGGTAGGGACATTATGTAATTGACGACCGGCCATTTTTTGAATATTTTATGGCCGAAAGCAAGTACCTAAGTACAATACATAGCAGTAGTATGTATAGTGAATAACCAATTAGAATTAATAGAATTTCAAGGTCTTGAGCCCACTTCTCTTAATCCCTAAATCTCCTATATTCTTAAGCTCCATAGCGATGTGGGTACTAACCAAATACTTTATAGCGGATATCCGATCTTATTATTTCCGAGGTTATGACATGAATAATATAAACGAGGGATATCTAGGATAGCACTTGATTCCTCCAAATCTATAGCGTACCTACCCTCCAGCTGCCCTAGGTAACACGTATAGTGTATCCTGTATCCTGTAAATAACGCGTTCTTACCCCGAGGAAATAGAAGCAACTAAAGAAAGCTCGCGCCGATAATCCTGCAAGTCGTGCGTTGCTGACCTGGCTTAGCAATCCTGGTAAGCCAACAGAGGATCTTAACTGTGCCAAGAATATATTTTGTCTCCACACGCTAATGATACCCCGGAGGCTCCAATGCGGTAGCCTGTAGGTACGAGGCGGGGAGTACTTTAGAACCCACTCTTATTTAACAATCGAATGGGTTAGGTGGTTCCGATAGTTACCTATATTTGAGTAAATACCTTAGGTAGGTACCTAGGTAAGTACATATTTTAGAGTTGCAAACCGTTCCGTCCAACATCGATTGCTCATCAATATCGTTTCTAAAATATTGGCTTGAATGGAGGGAACGAGATTTGCTTTATTACCTCTGGGTATGTACAAGTAGAATTGAGAATAAGTGCTGATGCGGTGTGACGACATAGGCATTGGATAGATCCAGTTTACTATGTATACTGTGATCGGAACGACTTCGAGGGATGGTTTCCCCTTCGGGTATATTGGAATCGCCGGACAAGTATCATGATTGTGATTGTACTGCTCGTTTCTACTCGCCAAGAGGTCGTTTGGTAACTCTGATATAGCATAAGACCCGTTTGAAGTTATAAGTAAGGGAGGACTAAGCAGGTCTGATCAGTGCAAAGTCGAATAAAGTTAAGGGATAGTCTTGGGTTGCTTGCTACTGCTGTTTCAGATTGCAGTTAAAGAAGCTATATTATTATAGTTTCGTATGTGGATATAGCATACGCTAGCATACCAATATGTATAGACTTACCCAATCTTATGGGGAATATGTAGCTGAGACACGAAGCGTTGGTAAATGAGCTCTAACTACCTATAAGCACAACTAAGAGTAACTGAAGCACCACACACTACCTAGGTATATAACTTAATGTAAATAACTACCTAGCCTACCTAACCTAGGTGATCTCTTACACTATACTACGTACTAGCTATCACAACTAAGGTGCCTCGTAGATTGCATAGGGGCCCGGGTCGTGGATCCCACTTGTATATAAACCCTAGCATTTTAAAAAATGAACAACTTCCAGGCTAGTAAGTTTGATATACCTCAACTGCTCAAGCGGGGGAAACTCGGGATCGTAAGCTAACAGACGTAAATGCACGATTAAATGCTTGTTCAATTTGAAATTAGCAAAGTCTTTTATCTTAGCAAGGTCACGCACGCATGGACTTGAAGCTATTCAAATGTTGCAATCCTTTTTCTCCTTGTTCACCCATCGCGACCTAAGAGGTAATGGAGTATACATATTAGGTATGTAGATATAGGTATTACTTTCTTTCAATGCTACATTAACTACCTAGGTACCTATACCTAAACTGATATAGCTAGCTGTACATGTAACTATGTGCGTGACATACCTAAGTTACCATCTTTACCAAGACCCACTTGAAGTTTGTCTTGTTCAACAGATCCTCAGCAGGGCTGGCTTAGTGGCTGGCTGGCTGACAGGCGGGACTGGTAAAACAGGTACTCTGCTGTTGGCATTGGCCAGAAGAGTCTAGTTTATCATTTGCTGGATGGAGGCTAGGGTCCTCAGGATAAACTGACCGCTACTCGCCAATAGGAGGGTCCATATTGACTTTCTATCAACCGCCACCTGTTGGTATTAATGTATTTACGACGTCAAGTGATAGATCAGTATAGTATCTAACATACCTGAAGCTTATTGCTGAAGACTGAAGTGTTGTTTTTTTACCCTCCGTTTTTTATTTTATTTTTATTTTGTTACAGGACTGTGCGGACAATTAATCCGTTTCTCAGAATACCTATTTGATGCATGTGTTAGCCGTAGGTACCATATAGGTACCGCTCCGCTGCCTTTATCTACTTAGCTGCTCAGGTACTATATGAGGTAGGTTAGGACCTTAGTTAGGTACAATACAATATCTAGGTACCTCCTAAAGTACCTAAGGTTAAGTACTACCTAACCTCATACACCCATGGTATTTCTGAAGGTCCTACCCACATGAATGCTCCATCAGCTTAAACCGTACTGGTTAGCTTCATTACCCCACAATGCTAGCTCGAACATGCATGGAGACCCATACACGAAGACCCACTGAAGGCTTGCAAGGAGAGCGGTTTCCAATCTTTCCATCTGTCTCAATCGAGTGAATCTGCAGTTTTTTTTTCCTTTTTTTTTTTCTTTTCTTTTTTTATGATGACAAGACATTTATCTAACCGGTTGCGCACCCCGTTACACTGCCTAACTAATAACCTACCATCTTCCCAGCGCTGTTCTATACTCGCTGTCGTATGTATACAGACTTACCTCCACTTTCAATCTACGGAGGCATCCTCCTTCGCATTACCTTTCCTGTCCGTCTGTCTGTCTGTCATGATAAATTTCCACACGGCGCTGGCATTCCTGTTTTCTGACACCAGGGCCCGCTGAGGGCGACGTTAAAATAACCGGTCGCGCGGGGCTGTAAGAGCCTCTCGTCGCTCGCAATTAAGCTTCCGTAGGAAAATAGTGAAAACAGAGAAAATATTAACAACAAATTCATCGATTGCTAAGAGTAACGTTGGCCGTCGTTGATCTTTCCCTCTTTGCGCGGCCGTGAATGGCCGTCTAGCCCCCGAAATGTCACCTAGTCAATCTCACCTTGACGCTCAATCCTTCCCATCCGGGAATATTGATGGCTCCCAACCCGTTGTTAAATCAGAAGCTCAGCTCAGCTCGATTGAACCGGCCGACCTCAATGGCTTTTCCTTAGATGACCACTACGATGACCTTTCGAATGACACAAACTCGCACGGTCTGATCGACACTTCACAATTTTCAGACTTTCACTTCCCCTTTCAAGACATGCCCGAAGCCAACCAGATGATCACCTTGGAAGATCATCCGAACGACCTATTCGCTACGCCCGGGCACGCCTCAATTTCGTCGATTGGCGAGCGGAAGGATTCGACCGCCTCGGGTCCTCACAGCGCTACTTATGCCATGGTTGATCCTTCGCAGCAGAATAGACGACGTAGCATAGATGCGTCTGATGATGGGAGCCAGGAAAGCGTCCATGTCGGCACTAATTCTTTGGAAGACAACATGTCGGATGAGTTTGGATTAGCGACAGGCGGGCCTGGCGACGGTACCGATTTAGGAGGAAAGCTCAAGGAAAATAAATCTGATCCTGCACCGGCCTGGAGTGAACTAAAGACCAAAGCGGGAAAGGAAAGAAAAAGACTACCCCTGGCATGTATTGCCTGTCGGAGGAAAAAGATACGTTGTTCGGGAGAGAAACCGGCTTGTAAGCATTGTCTTCGGTCCCGAATCCCTTGCGTATACAAAGTTACTACGCGGAAGGCAGCCCCGAGGACGGACTACATGGCTATGCTAGACAAGCGATTAAAGAGGATGGAGGACCGGATTATCAAGCTTGTACCTAAATCAGAGCAGGATGCCTCGGTCACCAACGTTGTCCGGGGCGTGGTAAAACCTGCCATTCCCGGAACCCTTACTACAGGGAAGCAAACAGCAAAGAAACGAGGAGCAGACGAGGCATTCGGCTCGGAACTGGATCATTGGGCTAGGAATGGCCCCAAAGCTAGGCTAGAGGGTTCCGGTAAGCCCACTTCACTGCAAGTACAAGAAGCCGAGGAGAGTAAATTGCTATATGAAGGCGCCGAGGCGTTACCACCAAAAGATCTACAAGAACATCTGGCAGATGTCTACTTTGAAAATATCTATGGCCAGGCCTACCATCTACTTCACAAACCGAGTTTCATGAGGAAGCTTAAGTACGTCTTTTTATTACCCTAGAAGCATACCTCAACACTGACCATTATAATAGAGCTGGCACATTACCCCCAGTTCTAGTGCTCTCCGTTTGCGCAATTTCTGCTCGCTTTTCTACCCATCCGAAGTTCGCGATGACGAACAATTTTCTTCGGGGAGAAGAATGGGCGGCCCCGGCTCGGGATATTGTGACGAGGCATTATGAATGGCCTAATATCACGATTCTTACATGCCTCCTGCTTCTCGGCTTGCACGAATTCGGTACATGCCATGGAGGGAGGAGTTGGGCGCTAGGCGGCCAGGCTACGAGAATGGCTTTTGCATTGCAGCTGCATAAGGACTTAGAGTACGATCCAATGCGCCTTAATCAGGCGAAGCAGCTTAGTTTTATCGATCGCGAGATTCGAAGACGAACAATGTGGGCTTGTTTCTTGATGGATCGCTTCAACTCTTCCGGAACGGACCGCCCTATGTTCATAAAAGAAGAGACGGTTAAGATTCAACTACCGATCAAAGAGAAACTATTCCAGCTCGATATGCCAGGGCCTACCGAAGATCTTCAGGGCCAGGTTCCTCATCCGGTTCCGACGGATGAGGGACAGCTCTCCGACGCGAAGGATAACATGGGCGTAGCAGCGTACATGGTTCGCGCAATCGCCCTGTGGGGAAGAATAATAAGCTTCTTGAACCAAGGAGGGATGGAATCGGATAAGCGTTCGATATGGGAGAGTGACTCCGAGTATGCTGTGCTGCTTAAACAGGCAGAAGACTTTGCCGAAAAGCTACCGGATGGGCTGAAATACAGTGCTGAGAACCTCCACTTACACCAAACAGAAGGGATGGCCAATCAATTTTTATTTTTACATATCTCCATCCAGCAGAATGTCCTATTCATGAACCGATTCGCCGTGTCTTCGCCAGCTGGTTTATCGAAAGTAGACGTCCCCAATACTTTCATCACACAGGCAGGATCAAAAGCGTTTGCTGCTGCGAATAGAATGTCTGAGCTACTAAAAGATGCTGAGCACTATATGATCGCGGCACCTTTTGTGGGTTACTGTGCATTCCTGTCGAGCACCGTTCATATATTCGGCATTTTCTCTGGCAACTCTACCGTGGAGACAGCCGCAAAGAAGAACCTAGCTATCAATGTGAAGTTCCTCTCGAAGATGAAGCGCTATTGGGGAATGTTCCACTTCATGGCAGAAAACCTCCGCGAGCAATATAAGACATGTGCTGATGCTGCACGCCAAGGTACTCCAGCAGGCGATAACTCGGCATCCTCGCCTATATTTCAATATGGAGACTGGTTTGATCGATACCCGCATGGCGTATCTCAGCCAGAATTTGTCGAACCGGCTTCTTTCAAAAAGAAGGAGACGGGCGAGGATGCCGTGCTCGAGCAGAAGTCTGAACTTCACACCGTTGAAGAATTCTTCACCCAGCTCTCACCACCGCCAAGCACAGGTGAGGGACGTGAGAACAACGGATCCACCAGGCCGCCCTTAATGAAACGGAAGTCGGTAGCAAAGAAAGGCAGCATCTCTTCGCGTAGCGAACAGCAACAGCTCGAACCCCTTCTTACCGATCTCAACGGCGCTAGTATACCCGAACAGATCCAGCGCATACAACACGCGCAACAACAGAGAGCCCAGGCACAACGTAACTATTCTCGTTTAGGCGGGCAAACCAGTGGGCCGACCTCCTTCAACCCCAACTTCGCACACGCACGCTTACAAAATGCAGCAGCGAACTATCATGCGCTGTCGCCCATTAGCCCTGTCGCTATGGGCGGATTCCGGCATGGACATGGGCATCAACACACCGCTTTCTATAACCAGGATCTACTTTCGCTGTCCCTTTCAAGCAACGCTGCAGGCATACTCCCACAGCTGGACCGCCAGCTTGTCTTCAACGCGTATGGTCAATTAGACCCTTCAGCAATCAGCGGACCTGAGGCTATCATGGACTGGGACGCGTTGGCTGGTAACGGAAGTAGCTCAAATAGAGGACATAATGCAAATGGATCTCACGCTGGCTCTGGTGATGGTTCGAGTAACCATCATGAAGGTTTGCCCGGTGGATTCGTTGCCGACCAATCTTCTGCATGGTTCATTCCATTCAACATGGAGCCGCCAGAACTGAGCCAAGATTTGGGTGGCTTAGGCGGCGTTGATGGATTTGGACTTTTCAGCCCTGGGGTACACACTCCTGGTGCCGGATTAGGCCTCCGGAGAGGAGGTCGATAAGACGACCGGGTTACCTCGATATCGTTGCGTTGTTGCGACGCCTCGTTATACCTGGATAATCTGCCTTCGTAAGATTCGACACACATATTGTGATGTGTCACAATACGAAATATCTGATCTTCTTTTGGTATCTTGGTTGATATATAAGGTACCTTAGGTACCTACCTAACCCACTTACCTAGGTACGTTACTGTAGTATAGACTTTTGTGCTTGGAGGGCGAAGAAGCGATAGGGTACCGGCGGCTTCATGTCCTTTCAATGGATGACGCATACGTATCTTTTTTGTAAAATTTTGGAAAGCATGTAAAGGGTTATGTCCTTATGAGCGAATGGTATCTTGTAAAGAACGGGCCGGAAACGGTGTAACGGAGTTGAAAGGTAATCTCTTTCTTGGGATGATGGGTTGCGAGCGAGTTCCAAATCTGAAGAAGCGCCGGCCTACCTCGTTCTTTCGGCTTGCTGGCTTTGCGCTTTATGTTGTGTCTATACGTGCTTATACCTTTGTTACGAGATGGATTCTTGGGAAATATTAGGACGGTCGGGATTTTTTGAAATACCTCAACGAAGGAAAACTCAATTTGTGATTCCACGTGTATGTCATATGAGGTAGCCAGAGCTCAAAGCCAGAATGTGGGCAAGCGCCGTTATCGTTCGAGATAGACATGATATGATATGAGCATGACGAGAAGATTATATTGAGGCGGCATAACGCAGACGAGAAAGAGAAGATAAAACAAACTTTTTGAGAGATCCACGTAGGTTTATATATAAGTAAAGCATATAAGTAAGGTACGGCACATACTAGCTATATCCTTGCCGGGTCGGGGTCTTGCGCCATGCAGGTGGTACGATGTCTGGAACCCTATCGGGCCACATTCGACACGGCAACTAGGCCCAGCGGAGCAAAAGCGCCAGCAGATCCCGCCTAGCTCGGAATGCGGGAGCGGGACATGCATACCTACCTAGGTTGGTAGGAGGTATGTACATTGTAGGTAAGGTGCCCCTTGACAGCATGCCAAATCAATATGAGCTTTTTGTAGGTAGTTGGTAAATTTTTAATTTGTTCCCCTTGCTTCGCGCGCGACAATTTTTAGATCTAGGGTATCAATCTACTATCTACCGAGATTCTCTGCCGAAAAGAAGAAACCCAAACCGAACCATACAAAATTTTCTACGGATAGGGGGTTAGGGTTAGTATTGTACATCGCGTCTACGCTGCATCCACTGCCACATCCTCCGCCTCGTCCGCCTCTCCCTGCTTCGCGCTCTTCTTGGCCCTGGACCGCTTGCGCTTCTTCTTGGAGCCGCCCTCGATTATATTACTGCTACCACCATTTCCGTTCTCCGCCTCGAATTTCTTCGGCTTCCCGCCGTCGTCGCCGCCGTCCACGAAGCTCCCGGGGTTGAACGCGGGTGGTTCCCTCTCGAACTCGGGGCCGAAGGTTTCCCTGCGCCACTGCCTTAGACGGGCCTTCTTGCCGAGCCGCTTGCGGTCTTTCTTCTGCTTGTCCTCCGGCCGGAAGTGCGCGAGTTTCTTCAGGCCCGCGAATTCGTTGAGGTCGGCGTCGGACGCCATGAGGATGTCGCGCGTGGTGAGCCCGAAGGACTCGGGTCGCGTCTCGCGGTAGGCGAAGCGCGCCGGCCCTTTGCTCGTCGACGAGCTGCCGGCGAGGATCTCCGGGTCGTCGATTTCCATCTTTGCGTCGACGAGCGCCTCGAGCTTAGCTCGCTCTTGCCGTGCTGCTTTTTGACTCTCGAGCTTTTCTCGCTTGCGTTGTTTGCTAGTCTTCTGTCGCTTAGCCGATGGCGCATCTTCATCTTCATCTTCGTCTTCGTCTATGTCTTCTTCCTCGTTGCGCTTCTCGTCATCGGTAAGAGTAATGTTGGGGCGTTCCTCATCCTCGAAGTCGGAAACAAGATCCTTGATATCGATATCATCGTCCCACTTAGGCTTTTTAATCTTCTTTGATTTCTTCCCTTCGGCGTTGCCTTCATCGTCAGATGCATCTTCCTCGGCCGCAGCGTAATACTGGTCGTCAAACATCTTCTTCAGTTGCTCTTCCCATTTGTCATCTTCCCAGGCATCTTCAAGTAGCTTCTGCCATTCTTCATCCTTTAGCGTCTTGCCGGACAAGCCCGCAGCTTTCTTGATCTTTTTCAATTTTTCTTCGGCTTCGTCGAGTTTAAGGCGACGTAATCGCGCCTTTTCTTCTTTCCGCTTCTGTTTCTCTTCTTCCTTCTTCTCACGCTCTATTTCTCGTTGACGTTTTCGCGCGCTCTTTTCTTCTCGTCGGACTGAGCGCGCTGCGACTACATCACGAGCATATGACTTCAAAACTTCGTTACTCTTGTTAGGGTCTTCGAAGCGCAGATTAAACGCCGCCTCCCACTCATCTGCTTTGTCGTCTTCGCCTTCGTCGGACTCAAACGCTTGCCAATTAGTTCCGTCTTCTCCAACCCAAGCGCGGGCAGCCATAAAGTTTGACAGAAAAAGCTCTGGGTCCTTGTCCGCCTCCGAAAGGTCAGGTTTTGGGGGCTTGATCTTGGCAGCCCTGGATGGGTGAACGTCTTGTTCGGGAGCAGTTTCGGTCCTCTTTTTAGCCTTGATGAAATCCTCGTCACTATCGCTGTCTTCTGCGCCGCCTTCTGCGCCAAGTTGCGCCTTGATCTCATTTTTAATGGACTGCTTCAAGTCGTCCTGCTCTTGCGCATAAGTTCGCGGGGGCTTTTGCTCCTCGTCAAAATCGGCTCCGGTATCTCCGCGCAAGATTTTTTCCCGGTGGTAATCTTGTAAGAAAATAGGCTTTTCTTTCTTTTCTTTTACCGTAGCGTCCTTCGGGGCAGCAGTTTCGTCAATTGGCTCGTAGAACCTAGTCTTGCCATCGTATACACGAGGATCTTTATTCTTGATTGCCTGAAGCGTGGCAGAGATCTGAGCATCAAGGTCTTCCGTCGCTAAGAAACCGTTTTCATCTTCTTCTTCGTCCGAGGAGGAATCGGAGTCATCATCATCATCATCTTTTGATTTGTCACCATTGGCCTGTTTAGACTTATACTTTTCCTCCACTGAAGATGTGTTAGTTAGAAGTTGTTAATAACTACGAAGGTAACCTAGGTAGGTTAAAGTAGAGGATAGAAAGAAGTAAAACTCACGTCTTTGTAATTCCTCTCGTTTTTTATTATGCTCAAATCTTTTGGCGTATTCGGAATTGATTTGCAGCTTAACACCTCCATCCGATTCATCGTCGCTGTCATCAAACAAAACTTTCTTTTGGCTATTAGAAGCCGCCATCTTGAAATCGTAAATTGGAACAAGTTTTGTCTTTGCGTTTTAACCGAATACAATTTTGGTCGAAGGGTGGGTTGCTGATTTGCGACTGTTACTGCGACTACGACTGCGACGCAACGTGATTCCGCTGCAAGGAAAACACTAAGAAGCTCCAGACTCGTGACAGCTGCAAAATAAAATAGAAGCAACTTTTTTTTTCTGCCGGTTCTAAAAAGAGTAGGAGGGGTCTCAACTTTTTGGCGGTGTCGGTCCGCTGATGTTCCGTGTGATAGGTACCTATGTACCTACCTATTGGACAATCAGGTGCCTGCACTGTCTTAGTGGCGTTTCTCACTAACGCCTGCGGGTTGGACGGGCAGACGGTGGAACTCCTCTAATGCGTCGTCATTCCTAATTCGATACGTACTTTACCTTATTTTACTTACCTTAAACAACTAACCCACCTACAAACCCACCTACAACTGTTGCGATTGCTTCCTTTTAGATTGTGAAATAATCTATACTCGCTCGTCCTTCCTTATATCATCTACAGAACCCTTCGAACCGAATAGAAACCCGATTTTTTGACGCAATCCATTCAATTCCGCATAGACATTCCAACAAAAATGGCCGATTCAAACGCTCCGAAACCGAGCAGTAGTGTCAAGCTGGTGTTGCTTGGCGAGGCCGCCGTAGGAAAGGTATTACTTCTTCACGAAGCCGCATCACATACAAACAATGTACTAAATCATTGACTTACAGTCTTCCCTCGTCCTACGGTTTGTCAATAACGATTTCCAAGAAAATAAAGAGCCCACTATTGGTGGTAAGTAACCAGTAGTCTTCCGACACACAAGGAGCCCTCCACTCCTATCAGTTCCAAGCTAATACCGTAATACCGTACAGCCGCCTTTTTAACACAAAAATGCAATCTACCTACGAGAACGATCAAGTTCGAAATCTGGGATACCGCTGGACAGGAGCGTTTTGCTTCGTTGGCGCCCATGTACTATCGAAATGCCCAAGCTGCGCTCGTCGTCTACGATCTTACGAAGCCAACGTCGCTCATCAAGGCGAAGCACTGGGTAGCGGAGTTGCAAAGACAAGCATCGCCGGGAATCGTAATTGCTCTTGTCGGTAACAAGCTGGATCTTACCAATGATAGCGAATCCGGACAGGCCGACAGCGAAGGAGCCGACGGGGAGGAATCCGGGGATGCCCGAAAGATCTCCACAGAAGAAGCTAAGACTTATGCCGAGGAAGAGGGCTTGTTATTCTTCGAAACGAGTGCGAAGACAGGCCACAACGTCTCGGAAGTTTTCACTGCGATTGCTAACGCCATCCCTGAAACGTCACTGAAGAGCACGAGGGGTCCGGGAGCTTCTAGCGCGGTGAACCGAGGTGGCGACGAGCAGAGGGTAAATCTAAATGGACCCCGAGAAGCAGCCAAGGAAGGATGCGCATGTTAGTTTCGCAAGGGATCTGGTGGTGGGAGGTGTTGGTGAAAGTTTCCTTACGATCATGATTACATTTCACCTTGTAATATGGAGCGATGGTTCATTGGGACTTGGTATCTGGACTCTTTGCGATGAGTATTTTTTTCCCTTTTTCTTTGTCATTTGCGAGCAAGATACAGCACAGGACCTATATAGCAAAAGCCCTGGAGTGGGCAGACTCCCTTTGACGAATAATAAGTCCAGCCTTTATAGAGTAGCACGCGAGTCGGGTGCGATCCCTTTCCGCCTACGCATTTCCGTAGCATCAGACTATGTATGTTTTTCTATATATGCGCTAGTAGAATTTGTTGTCGCGTGTAATACATTACATATAACATATGATTATGTTGTGTCGTCTCGGGTGGAATAAGATATAATATTTTTACCTCCTACACGTCGGAAGATATAAACCAGGTACTAGGTACGTAGGTAGGTACCTAACCTATGCAATATAGGTCTATGTAGATAAGTTAATGGCTAATTCCCGCTTGAATAAAAACATAAACTCTATCGTTTATCTAGAACAATGGGATTGTTTGGTACGCATTGTCGTGGTGATCTGAATGCTCTGTAATATAAAAAGCTAATAAGAAGAAACACTGAAGAATTTATAGTTGTTTCTCTGCATTTTTACTTATACTCGCTTTGTGATTACGTATTCTGCACATGCATAAATTGTATTAGCATAAAAGATAGCCCCACAATAGACCTGAATAAGAACTGATAAGAGCATGAGAGTTGTCTTGGACCCATTAAATCTAAACTCTAAAGTACCAGGTTTCCCATATCAGGCGTTTGCGCGTAGTTGTGCAATTTTGCTGAGGACTAAACATCTACAACCTCCGCCCATTTCGTCGCCAGTATCTATTCGACTTGTATTAACAACCGGTTGTTATTCGATCTGTTGCGAAGCGCGACACCCGACGGGTTTTATTCCCTAGTGGTCTTCACGTCCCCGTCAAGCTAACTGATTTCTAACCTATTCATACGAAAAAAAAAAAAAAAAAAAACTGTTTACCTAGCGCTTTCTTTGCATCGTTTCTTCAAGAGATCCCAGAGATCACTGCCACATGTACACGAAACTGCGTACCTGCAACGCCTTCTGTGTTCGACATGGCGGCGCTGACATCAGCTCAGATTGAGCTAGCCAAGTACGTGACATTTCAGATAAACTCCCTCGTTGGGATTGAGAAAGCTGACCATTTCAGTTCCCTCACTCCGGCCGAGTTGCCTACTAAGCTACGATGCGCCGTGTGCAGTAAATTGGCCGTAAACGCTTTCAGATTACCTTGTTGCGAGACTGCTATATGCGAGAAGTGTACGTTACATTCATCCCCTTTGTTTCGGTTCTTGGGTAATGATTCTAATGATAACCAGGTCAATCCACTCTGCCCTCGGTTTGCCCGGTCTGCGAGCACTCTCCTGTTTCCGCCTCCGATTGTACCATCTACAAGTCCCTTAGAACCACCATTAGGGTCTTTTTGAAGACAGAGGAAAAGAAGCGAGAAGCCGCCCGACCTAAAACCAACGGATCTACGCCGACTACGCCTGCGCAGGATACACCGACCCCAACTCAGACACGTACTCCCACCGAACAACTTCCTACGAATAATGTTTCCGATGTGCAACCTAGTGCGGAGCCTAAATCTGCGGATCCCGTGCCAGCTTCTGGCGCAGTTGATGCCGAGGCGCCCTCAGCCACCGAGCCGAAACCGGCGGATATTGATGCTCAGCCTAAAGAGGTAGGTCCCAGAGACTTTTCCGTGGTGAGAAACTAAACTATGGCTAACAAAAATGTAGGATGAGTCCGCGAACGAGCCAGCCCCAGAGCAGCCTACAGTAGAAGATGAGTCCGAAGCCGTCGTCCCCCACGACCAGGAAGGCCAAGGCCAGGATGGAGCAGCTGTAGAGGAAGTCCGAGAAGCAGACGAGGAGGGCGATGGCAAGGACCAGTTAGTGCAGCCCGGTATGGGTTCTAGCTTCGACTCTATGAATGGAAGTTTTAATATGAGCTTCGGCAATGGGGATTTAAACCAAATGCAGATGATGATGGCCATGCAAAATGGAATGAACCCAGCCGCTTTCGGTTCTTTCCCTATGATGGGTAAGAACTGCCCTGCCAAGTATCGCGATCTGATAGCTAACTCTATAAAACAAGGAATGATGGATCCCATGGCGATGCAGAATATGATGATGAATGGTGGTTTTGGTGCGCAGGGCATGGGCATGAACGGCATGAACATGAACATGGGCATGAATGGGTTCAGTGGAGGCGGCAATGACTGGAACGGACAACAATCATGGAACATCGGCCAAGATAATTTCAATCCAAATGCTCCTGGAATGGGAAATGGTGATTTTGGCAACTTTAATGCTGGCTTCCGTACAGGCTTCAATTCAGGTAATTTTGGCCACCACAACCAGTTCAATGATTACCGCCGAGGGAATTACGGATACCGAGGTCGCGGCCGTGGCCGTGGCTTCTACGGAGGCTACGGTCGTGGTTACCATCATGGATATAATAACGGAAACCAAGGATGGGCCGGGCAGGCTCCTCAACTTCCTGGCGATAAAGATGACCCTGGCGTACAGGATGTTTCTCAGGTAGCAGAACAGGCTCCCGGCAGTGTGGACGAGTTTGGCCGAGCACTACGAGCAGAGCCAAATCAAGACGCACAAGCAGCCGGTGAGAATGGGGACGTCGAAGCGGGAAATAGCCGTAATAGTGTCGCTGCTAATGGAACCGACAAGCTAACACTGGGGAACACTGAAATACCTATGGAAGACGGGTCGCAATCTGCGCAGGGTAACTCCGCAAATAATAAGGGTGATGTATCTGTATCCTCTAGAGATCAGCATTCAGCACCTCAAGGTCCTCGTGGAAATGCTGGCCCATTGCGTCTTCAAACATCGGTACCAGACGTGCCGTTGAATGCACCTACTGGGCCAAAAGCCATGCGGCAGGGCCTTCCTAACACTAGCCTTCTCAACTTAAGAGCCCGTGGTCTCATCACTGATGAAAAGAGTCCCAGCTCACGTACTAATCAACCTCCAATCGTGGCAAGCCCAGTGGAAGATAAACATAAATCACGGAGTAGTTCTCCACAGTCTTCCAGGGACAAGGAGCGTCGACATCGTGAACGTGATCGAGAATATGATGAAGAGGAAAAGAGTAGGGGGCATCGCCGTGATAGAGACCGTGACCGTTCTAGAACGTATACAGGGTCCAGGAGTCGAAGTCGCAGCCGCAGCAGGGATCGTAGGGAGTCCCGTAAGCATAGACGACATCGTTCCCCGTCTGTTTCTGAAGATGATCGCGATGGTGGTCATCGCCGTCGCAGACATAAGAGCAGAAAGCAATCTACTAGAAATGATGACGACTATAGAGGTCGATCAAGAGATGAAAAGCACGATGAACGGTCCAGATCGGCCTCCCCTGCGGATCGCGAACATAGGCGTTCAAGCCACCGGAGTCGTCGCGATAGAGATGAGAAACGTCGAGACCGCGATGCCGAAAAGGATAGCGACTACGATCGGCATCGAAAATCTGGCCATAGATCCCATCGGGATCGAGACCAGGACCGCGAACGGGACAGAGAACGAGAAAAAGACCGCGGTAAGGATCGCGCTCGCGATTACGAAGAAGATCGGGGTCATCGCAGCAGCAAGAACTCGAGCGCCTTGCCGACACCGATAGAACCATCCGACAAATCATTTAATCCCCCTACAGGACCTCGAGGCAGCTTCTCGATTAAGGGGGCTAGTAGTAAACAGGCTTCAGTATCTGATAGCAAGGGTACTAGCAGCAAGCCTTCCAGCTCGAGCAGACGCGAAGGCGAGTTATCTCGCCGTGCCTCCCAGTCGTCGGCTGCAGTTCAGAAGCCTGCATCCAACGCAACATCGAAAGACCCTCATACACTAGAGCGTGAGGCCAGAGACCGCGAGCGACTCCTCAAAGAAGCGCAGAGAATGGCAACTATCGGTCGTGGTAGCGGCGTTAAGCGTAGTCGCGACGGCGGAGAAGACCGCGGTAGTCGCCGAAAGAGCCGTCGCAGCGAGGCGGTAAATATGGAGGATGAGGAAGGTCGCATGAGACGCTTAGAAGCAGAGCGCGAAGGGCGCCGCTGGGACTAGTATGCGGCAGGCATTACCTCGAGCAAAAAAAGAAGAAGGCGTCGAAAAAGACCGGAGGCACAGAGATGGTCGAAGGTCGGAAGTCACGGTATAAGAGATAATATTACTTTGAGGAGCTAAGCCCCTCCCAGATCTCTCCAGGGTCCGAATTTCGATGCCGGAGAGGCTTAGCACGAAGCTTTTCTCTATTACGAGTTGTTTCCCCGGGGGGCATGAAGTAAAAGAAGAAAAACTGAAGCTGTTGTTTTCTTGATTTCATTCCAAGCTGTACCATATTGCATTCATGAGCGAGGGGAGGTCCACTACACTACATACATGCATTCTTGTACTCGGGCAAAACAATAGCATACCGTCCATAGGAAGGGGGGGCTTAGATATACTATGGGGTTCGAAAGCATTGGGCCTAGAAGAGACAAGTGTTGACGGTTGAGAGTGAACAGCGAGTCTAACTATAATAACGAAGCAATACGGTCTTAACCGAGACTCGTACTTACCAGATAGTTAATCCAAAACGCGTCTTTGCCGATGACTTCAGGAGCAAGACTATGGGTGATATTCAGCATTTGTTTTATGTAGCTGCGTACCTAGATTAGGTAGTAATCGTCTTCTCTCCGACTGTTTACCATTTATCCATTGGTATAGGTACATACACCAAGCGGTCTTAAGCCGTCCTGTCAATATCCAATAACTCCTTTATGCTACCCATGTATATGATGTATATGATATATATGCATCCTTCTATGCCAGAACCATCTATGTAGTATGCCCAAACTCAAGTCTTTGATGTTATATAGGTACGCTCCTTATGCGTTATATCTGTTATCGTAGCGCTAAATCGCCCGTACTCTCTTTGTTCTTTCTGCCATTAAATTTCTGCCTGGTGTCATGTTCCTGCTCTAAGCTGTATTCCTTCGTGGTAAGGCTGGTCAACAATGCCACGCCACTAACCACTGTCATCAACAGCCAAATAACATGTAAACTATCCGAGTATGCTTGTTTCAAGTCCGTTTTCGAGGTTCCGTCTGGTAACCCTTTGATAATACCGACTAGTGCAGTGGCGTCCTTGCTGTATTGTGCCGCAAGAGGGGCAAACTCGTCGTAGTTCTGCAGCTCGCTCTGGAGCTGATTCTGGAACGCGACACCACTGACAGCAACACCGATAGCCTGACCGAACACACGAAGAAAGGAAAAGAAACCGGCGGTATGGCCAGAATCTTGGGGACGAGAGGCCGCTTGAGTTCCAAGACTCATCGCGGGGAACAGAATTCCAGTTCCGATAGAGACGAGAAAGTTGAGGAAAATCCAACCGGGAACGGACGTATCAGGTGAAAGGATGAAGAGGAGTCCAGAGCCAGCTGTCGTAAAGACCCAACCCGACCAGAGAGCCCAACGATATTTCCCAAATCTTGTGCAAAGAACGGCCGCGATCACGGATACCGGAGCGACCAATCCTGTTTCGGGAAGGATAGCAACGCCGGAAATAATTGGCGAGTATTCCTTAACAGCTTCGTAATATAGGGGTAAGAAGTATAGGAGAGACCATACGACCACTCCGTGCAGAACAGTTGAAATAAACGTTATCAGCATCGTGTAGTTGTTGAAAATGGTGAAGCGAACGATAGGTTCGATGTGATCGCCTGGTAGAGCCTTTCCCTCGGCGTCGAAGGCCCTTCTCGAAAGCCACCATTCGTAAATGGCGAAGGCGATGATGCCGTCGAACCCGAGTAATAGCGGAACTACTGTTCTCCAGTGGTCCCAAGGATACATAACACCGCCTAAATACCGCGTTAGATGATACTCGTAAACAGGGGAAACTGAGAACTCTCACCCCACGTGACGGGAATCAAAAACCCGACAGTGCCGGCCACGAATATGATGGATCCAATCCAGTCAAATGTGCGGATTTTAGTAGAGAGTCTGCCGGGCGTGGATTCAAGCTTCAGAAATGGGACGAGCAGGATCATTCCCACACCAACAATCGGAAGGTTGATCCAAAAAACTGCAAAACACGTCGTTAAAATCTACTCGCAAGATTAAGTTTTAAGGAGTTACTTACTCCACTGCCATGCTACGCTCTCAGCAAAAACTGCTCCCAATAAAGGCCCGGCTACGGAGCCCAAAGCCCAGGTCGAACCAAGATATCCAAACCAGGCTACATTGTATATGTCAGCATGAAACATAACCAGAGCCAAGGAGGTTAACACATACTGCCTCGAGCAACAAGTGGGACGAGATCGGTAACGATGATTTCACCCAGCGCCAGTATACCACCTCCGCCAATCCCCTGTACGGATCTCCCCGCAAGCCTTAGACGCACCATGTTAGTTATTCGTGCTAAGGTCTGGCCGCACAACACTTGAGATCCAGCTTACATTACGGTAAAATTCCTAGCAACAGCACAAATGATAGCCCCCACGACAAACAAAAGCGACGATATGATGAGGAGATTCTTCCTGCCGAACACATGGCTCAGGCCGGCTATGACGGGCTGGAAGACGGCGGACGTGAGCAAGAACGACGTTCCCGTCCAGAACGCCTCGATAGCCGACCCCTTGAGGTCTTCGGTGATGATCGGCAGGGCGATACTAAGCGAGGTCGCGTCGAGGGCCGCTGCGAGAGTGATAATGCAGATGGAAAGGAAGGCGAGGATGAAATTCCTGTCCGGGTTGAAAGGCGGGTTATCCTTGAGTATGTCCACGGCTTCTCCTTCTCGATCTCCTTCTTCATCTTCATCTCCTCCTCTACCCCGGGTCGGCGGCGTTATAGTGATCATTGAGTCCTCGTCCGTCGATATGTATCCGCTGTAGTCCATCGAGAACGGGACGGGGCCCGCTGCCATGGATGGATACGAAGCCATCGTGAACTTAGCTTAGCTACCTCTTACCTAGACCCTGTGACCACCTAGGTAGGTACCCTTCTAAATACCGGGGAATGGAACAAACGAGAAGAAGGGAGAGAAAATAGAAAAGACAAAGGTTTGTTAGGTTACACGACGAAAAGAATAAGAGAGAAACTGCGGAGGCTAGGGCTGCCCGACATATTAACGTTGGAATTCCGCATAGCTCAGACAGTACCCAACTACTACTAGTACCTAACCTAAGGTGAACTGAGTGATGTACATAGACGAGGTGGATTAACAAGACTCACGTGCGAATCAGCGTGGCTGGATCGTGGTTCCTGGTAAGCTGACATACAGCGCGTGGTTTCAAGTGGTCGGGGGGGAGGGGACGGACAGACGGATTGCTAGTACTAGGCCCAGCATCGTCCGCACATACCTACCCGGGGCGACCCGGGGGTTCGTTGAGCTGAGGAATAAGTAAGGCTAGGTATCTAAAGTGTTTAATCTGATTCAGCTCGGAGGAATATTCCAACCGACGAGAACACGCTTTCTAGGCGTGGCAGTTCTTCCGCTGCTGGACTTTTGTATCCTCTCTTCCCACGTGGCTTTTAGTCGTCCGATAGCTGCCCGTCTTCCCGTGGATTGGTAGGAACCTCTCAACTAGAAGAGAAAAAGAGTTCTAAGGAAGTTAATTATGGGACTCATTGGAAGGGTACCTAACGACGATGACCGCCAAAGTGAGGATCGTGATAGTTGATCGCGGCTCAAACGGTTCATGGAAATTGAATCATCCGGTAGGAAAGACTACCGCATCATATTGACCGACTCTCTTTCCGACGTTGTCACTGCACCGGTATAAGCCACTTGGAAGCTAGTCGATTAGAAAGATCGAAGATTCCGTTCAGAATAGGTAGTGCTAAGTTTTCGACCGACGCCTGCTAGTGTACTTTTGCACAGACAGGATCGCGCTTAAAATAGTAACTCGAGAGATCTACATAACCTAGGTATCGAACAAGAAGAGCCGGTAAAAGCCACTAATGTAGGTAAGCTTACCTACCTACCTAGGAGGTATGTATATGGAAGCCGAAATACCCATCGAGTACCTAACCTAACCCTAGCATATAGAGGACTAACCTAGACTAAACCTAGTATTTAGCAAAAGCGTAAATGCCGTTATGTGCGGAGATTTCCAACGTGAGGAATTCCTGGGGGAAATTAGGCTGGCGGCGCGTGGCACGGGTTAGAAGTCGCCATGGCTTATAAGTACCCTATGGGCCTTCTGGGCCCTTTACCTATCTGGTAAAGCACCGGATCTATGGTGTAAACACTCTAAAACTACAAGCTTCCGGATTAATGCTAGTATCTCTTATCTCGCACTTTGAAGGTGTTTGCTTTGTCTATCTACCTTAGGTACCTCTTACTTGCGGGCCACCCGAGCCCCATGTAAGTAAGATCTGTATCTTAAATGTGGACTCATCAAGAATCCATCGGCTTGTACCCGCGTCTATCACTACCTACAGCGGATTCTTGCTAGTCAATGCTATCTAGCCAAGAAGCAAAGCCGTAGCACCTAGTCGTGGAGCTACGCACGGGATGCTCCTAGATCTGCATCTACCTATCATCTATGATTTAGGCAGCTTATATGAGGAATCCGTACCGAAATATACGAGCAAATTCTGGGGCTGTTCTCTTCTGGGCATCGCACAGCCCAATGGAAGCCTAACGGGTTCGATTATCCTGCTAAAATGGCCGACGGATGAGTTGTCCGAAGGCAAATCGGAGTCAAGTTGCGTTATGGGTGCTATCAACTTAGTTTGAGTCAGCAAACCAGCAAAGGTATCTAAGAATATAGTTGAATGACAAGTTACGAAACTGCGAATCTAAGCCAGAGGCCACTATTAGGATCGTGATGTTTACCTACCTACGTACCTAGGTTAGGTACGTATGGGACCTGCTGGTAGATACCGGTATTGGGTAGATGGAATACGCAAGGTCTGAGGAGAGCTCTCGGGATAAAGGTCCCGGGGGTCCCCGAGCAGCTGAATGGAATCCCGTGCAGATCTACCATTTTGAAAGTGATCCGTCTAGGATCCTACGCCACGTAATTGGGTCCCTTGGTGATAGCATATAGGCCAAAAGCAAGCTGAGCAATAGTACTTGCTCAGAATATAAACATTTATTTTTTTCGTCCCTAAGGAAAACTTAGCAGAGCTACCTATCAGGAGAGCCCCGGAATCAACACTCCATTTTCACAGGACTTTGATATTACTTCCTTATGTTGGTTCGTGAATTATAAATGGTTCTTTTAAAAGAAAGAAAGCACGTTCAATAGGTTCCGTATCGCACCGGCGTGAAAGCCGAGGACCCCACTAAAGTTCGGTCGGAGCATATAAATTCGATTGGTTGAGTAAGCGGATGATGCCCAGCGTACGCGCATGAAAGTAACCCTCCTTTAGAATTTAAAGATGGTAGTGACAGAAAGTACTTAGATACCTAAAATCGGAATAGAGCTCGCCGTTTCTTTGCGAGTTACTTATTATCTACTACTATAATAACAATGGTCTTGCTTTATTATTCAAATGTGGCTCACCTTAGGTTAGGTAATTTAAGCTTCTGGCCTGTACGGTACTTGACTGATCCACGCCGTAACCTTATTTTCGAGCCCTGCCATACGTGCATAGGTACCTTAGGTAATGTAGTGCAACTCGGCCGACGCAGCTCAGTGGGGACGCTCCCATTTTAGATCCTTCAGACAAGGATGTGAGCTGCATCTCCAGCTTAATCTACAACTTTTCAATAGGCATAAGAAGAATAGGATCGATTCCACGATCATGAGAGCATCAGGATGAAACACCAACGGCATGAATTTGTACCTAAACTTCCCCGATAGTCATATTATCTAAGGAGCTTTGCATATCCCGACTGTCGATTTCGTATAATCTACCTCTACCTAGGTAGGTAGGTACCTAACCTAAGGTAATAATGCCAGTGCCAGCCCTCATTTCTTCACAATCTGCTCGACAACGTCCAATCCGGTCATCTTCTTAATCGCACCATCAAATAACCCAGACGGCAAGACGCTCTGGACGCGCACTAACCATGCCGAGTCGCCTCTCCAGATAACCCTAGGCGGGTTGCTCTTCTGTAAGTCCCCTACCACCAGCTCCGCCCACTGCCGCGCCGACATGCCCTTGCCCTCGAACTGTTCTTGGCGCAAGGCCTTCTCTACGACTTCCTTCGCAGGCTCGTATATCGAGCCGGCCGGAAGCTTCGGGTCGCTATTCTCCTGCACGTTCTTGACCAGGTTGGTGTTGACAACCCCGGTCCTCAGGTCCACGACCTTAATCCCGAAGGGCTGGAGCTCGAACCGGAGAGACTCCGTAAGCAACGCCAGAGCTGCCTTGGAAGAGTTGTAAACGGCCTGGAAGGGCATCGCGAGGTTGGCCCCGATGGACGTCTGGTTCACGATGATCGCGTTGGGGGACTTGAGGAGCAGCGGCAGGAAAGCCTGGATCACGGCGATGTGACCCCACACATTCAGATCATACAATTTCTTCGCTTCGGCGATGTTGATGTCGGCGATCGGCATGAGGAACTGGGACCCGGCGTTGTTGACGAGAATGTCGAGCGACGGGATCTTTTTGACGCAGTCGGCTATCGAGGATTCCGATTGTATATCCAACTGGAGAGTCTCGATTCCCAGAGACGTAAGTCCCGTCATTTTGGATGGATTCCGTGCTGTAGCGTAGACGTGGAACCCGGCTGTGTTGAAAGCAATTGCGAGGGCGCTGCCCATGCCGCCGTCTGAGCAGCCGGTGATGAGGACGGAGCGCTTTGGAGTAGACATGTTCGCTGGTCACTTGCACGAAATGAGCGATCTTGAGTAAGTCTTTTTTTCGATTAAAGCTCGGAGTAAGAAACTAAGAAACTGCAAAGGGCATAGTGCCGCCAGTAGGATTTAAATACAGCTTAGCTCCTTGTTATATACAGGAAGGGAGAGCACATGTACTATGTAAGGAGTATGTAAGGAGTGTCTTCTATCACAAATCACAAATCCTAGTACAAGGTACGTACCCTGCCATTACCGTAAGCGGTAAGGAGGCTAATCCTCATTGGATGTTCACAGTAAGTCGAGCTCCCGGTTCCGGCTTAATTTCCCTCCTGTCAATCCGGCAACCCCCGGCTCGGTCCATTTCGTCCCCGCGTACGGGACAGGAGTTGCAATTTGGCTTCTCATGACTGACGTATTAGCATCAGGGTACTTCAACTACCAACGGAACACACTACGGAACACACTCCTTCTAAATGTTACCATTGAGGTGTACACCACCCCTTTTCAATCATGAGGAAGAAACTACCTACCTAAGGGATTTCATTTTCCCAAAACAACCAGTCAACTCATGCGCACAGGACTTACAGCTGCCAGTATGGCAGTTCAACAACCTTGGGCAAAGAGCAAGTATTCAAGTTTAATGGCCTTACTCAGGGTTACATATTTAAAGCAAAATCACGCCGCCGTCTTTAATACTGACACTACTCGCCCTAGCGAAGCTACCCCCCGCCACATGGCACATAGTGGTTGAAACTTAAGGTATCAATAAACATTAACTTAGGTAGTTATTTATTACCTAACTTAAGCTTTTACAGTGCCACAAGGTTGGGTTTGGATCCCAAGGACGAGAATGAAGTATATATTTCTATAGCTGCCGATTTCCCCCCTCCTTGGGCTTGTGGCAGTGCATTCCCTCCCCTTGCTATGTAATCTAGAAAGCCTTGAATAGTATTAACTTCACTAATTCAGTGAGATAGTTTAAATTTATGCCCGTCTTCTTGTGCCCCTATGTTCCTTGTTCGCGATCTACATACGCTTGGGTTGAGCACAGAAATGTCTCGTCAAATCGGTGAACCGGCAAATAGATGGTCAAGTTCCGGTTGCAGTTTCTCGTAAGGTGTCTCTTGAAGTGAGAGGGCTATCCAAACTTCAAAATATGCCGTGGGCTATGATCGGCCATGATGGAATCAGCCCCTTTTCAAGTATCTAACTAGCGCGCCATTCTTTTCATCCGTAAACGAAAGGGTCCTCGAGCATGGCGACGACTCCGGAGTAGACTACTAGATCGCCAACTTGACAGTGCGAGTGCCTTCAAATTCTACAGTGTAGCGCATATCAGAGCAACGTACAGGACGACTCTCCATCGAGATCGTTTCTTACTCGACACTGGCCGGACCATTGCGATAAATTGTATCAAACACAGGAACTCGATTCCAAATATTGCTAAGATGATAAGGGGCTCTAATAGTGTCCATAGTCTAGCTTCAGCACTAGACCAGCTATCTCAGGATGGAGTTTCGACGGACAGGCCTGCTATATTCCTGCCAGGAGAGGTACTGGCAGGTTTCCCATGATATGCTTGGGATCGCAATAGCTGTTCGTTCTGGCCCGAAGCGGCTGCACGGCTAAATGGCTTCCTGACTTGGACATGATAGACCATGTAACGTTGTTTAAACTGCCCTATCAATACCGGAAGGAACCAAGATACAGGAAGAGACGACGCTGCTATGCCCTTATGAAAAAGTTCTAATAGAGCCTGCGGCTTAAAGCCGTGTTCCTGGTCCTGCGAGAAGTTGCGCAACTGGCTGGATCTCGAGATCGACCGCGCGAGGAAGTGCATATACCCCCTTTTCGAGCACTGCAAGGAGCATGTCGCGCCCTCCTCGGCAGAAGGAAAAGAAAGCTGATGACCGAATAAGGATACCCAATAATTTCTGTCCCTTTCCAATGAGGCTTTTGGAAAAGCGATTTCTTCAAGTTGCTATCTCACTTTACGACTAAACCTACTTAACGTATCCTCGAGGTCGGCGCAGGTACCATTGATACCACCGAAATAATCCTCCGGAATGTGCGAGAGAATCGACACCCGTCAGACCCTATCTATCAGGTACCTTTAGCGACATCCCCACAGGCTTCTTCCCGCAGGCCAGAGAGCGGCTCTCGTGTGCGTTTGCACCTATGATGTCGTGTCCGGAAGCAACGTAGCGCACGCTACATCCTCGCTACGCGAGACGCTTCTTAATTTGCAAGTACTCCTGCGGCCCGCTAACTGAACTACGGCGTCTCTATGCGAACACCAAACGACGTGTCTGATAACTCCTCCGATTGGTGACTACCTGTGAGGCGGACAGCCGAATTCGGTGCCCTTCTTGGGATCGTGAAGAGAGACGGACTAGAAGGCAGTAAGCTACGAATGAGGAACTTCCCAGAGAACTGGTCGTATTCCTGCGTTGATATGGTTAGGCAGGGATACCTAACACAGAAGAGGCCGTGGGAAGCCGGGAGCGTACGTGTTATCTCGCCCCCTTTTTGCATGCGAATGCATGTTTCGATGCTTACAACATATCCTGTTAATACATACAGTAACCTGAAAAGCTGCATTGAGTTCTACCAGGCTGGTGGCATAAAGCCAATCGAACGCTCATTTCTATATCAGATGCAGGCAATGTCTAGGGCGTATTTCGCGTTGCCTAGAGCAGAAAGGGAGCCGGCTATATTGTCAAAGCGGTTTTCCGTATGCCGGAATATTCCTCGACTTTCATTAACTTGCCTAAGAATTCTAGGATGCGCTCGAAGAGAACTGCTTCATATGTGCTAACACGCGGCCTGGGCGGTCATGGAAAGGGGCTATTGCTACTTGGCTCGTGGAAAAGGGGGCCTGTATTGCTGGCGTTTCTATCTAGAAGCGCTAGCAAGACACAGCACGACCAGCAATTATTCTACGAATTGCGAAGTATGGGATGCGACGTGCGCGTCGTACCAGGCCAGGCCGAATCGTTGAGAACGCAATTTCTCACGCATCATATCCCATCGAAGGCGTTATCTATCTGGCAATAGGTATTCGAGTAAGTTGATTTCTACCCGATATTTGATAGTGTCTTACTCATTTTCGTTAAATTTCACTGATCAGATATGCATGAAACATGAAGATTGGGTGGTTACAAGTGCTCTCGAGGTGACCGGTGCTTGGAATCCCACCGAGCACCTTAAGAAACATGCCCTTGATTGCTTCATCACGACTAGCACCGTGATGACTGCTGCCGAGTTCCCAGGGAGAGGGAACTACTTTACTCGAGATACGTTTCTCGAGGCTTTCGCTCAATATCGATGTTTCCTATCTCTCCCTGCGACTGTGCTTATCATCAGCCTAATAGACGGTGTACGCCTCGTTGCCGAAACCCCATTTGCAAGAAAGAAGATGAAAGCAGAAGGACTATACTTCATGCGTGAGGCGGAGCTTCTGGATTATCTCAAACTAGCCATCACCCAATCAGACCCTCACGAGAAGCTTAGCCCCACAAGCAACTCCACGCTGACTCCTTGGATAAGTATCGGCCAATTAGTCACGGGTTTGCACTCGAAGGGTGATATCAATGACTCGAAAGTAGGAACTAACTGACGCTGGGATCGACAAATAGGCTTCTACCACAACAATGCTGAGGAAAGCAACCAATGCGAAGGGTAGCTCTAGCGAGCTAATCGTCCTTCTGACATGACTAACTCACGACGTCGAAGTTATTGGATGACCTCCAAAGCATTTCGTACTTGGACCCCGGAATAGGTAAGGAGGGTTTTTATTTAGCTTGCTGCTCAAATCCGAGGATGCTCTAGATCTTTCCTTGATTTTTCGTTGGCGCAAACGGGATTGGATTCGCTAATGGCAATTTTAGCTGCGCCACTGGTGGAAACGGGTGTTGGGTTTTTACAAATCAGCGTCCTCAAAATCATGGCTACCGGAACGCTAGAAGCTATAGGAGGCGGAGCTGCTAAATTCTTGGAAGATAAGTTTGCTGAGAACGGTGCACATGAAAAACAACAACGGATGAATTAATAGCGCCATGTAAGAGCTAGGCCCTATATTAACCGTAATCAACATTAGACTACCCGTTCAAACACCCACATACATTTGTCTAGGAAAGAGACCGTAAATATTTACTTACGAATGAATGATCAGGAAAATTATAAATAAATAAATCCGGATATCATTCGTGCAGCACAGTCGCTAGTATCTTTCGGTAGTAACAATTCCATATCGCTCTTATCTTTATTGAAATTTGCTTTTTTTCTTCTCCTTTATTTCGATTTAGGTAATTGTGTCTCCGGGTACCTGATTTCATTGCGATATTCATATCCTTCATCTTTCACCGCGACGCGAATCTCGGAGCTAGCCGAGACAATGACGAAAAGCCTATCAGTAATCGGAGACGAACTACGAGATCCTACGAAGCTCCACGCTCTCCCCTTAATACGAAATTTTCTAAGGGGTCGAGAGAAAGTCGGTGTATAGGTAGTCAAGGTTGTTGTGATTCCTCGGTCGGTGAGATCCTCGGCGCGTGGCGCGTGACGCGTTGTGGAAGTTTTCTTGCGGACTACCTATAATCAAGTTTAGATCAATTGAAAAGACGTCGCGATTACAAGATCCCCCCACCCGACAGAACCGTTTAGTCGGATTGATCTTCCGGGGCAATTCTCTTGAACACAGAGAATGTTGAATGTGCACTCGCTGTAAGCTCGACGGCGTTTCTCCGTCCATGCAGTGGTTTCGAGGGGTAAACATGCCTGATTTTATTTAGCCTTTTTCGTAAACTCTTTTCTAAGCTGGTAGGGGGCTATAAATGCCAGTCGGTATAAGTGCTGAACTGATTATACCTAAGTAGGTAAGTATCGCGTGCGTGTGGATTCGACGGACCATAGACCGGGATCATGGATGTTACCGTTATGGAGACTTGGGGCGGTAATTGCAACGACGTTAAATCTGGACGGCGACCGTTCAAATCTACCAACCTCCGGGTCACCTGCGCCGCCGGAAATGGCAGCTAGACTTGCTCCGTGTTTTATTTGCGGATTCTGTAAGGCGCATTGATCGAAAGGTACGAAAAACAATTGGAACCTCAGGTTTCACCTGAAGAGGTCTTGAAACAAGTACTAGACTTTTTTTTCTCTTTTTCTTTTTTCCCTTACCACGATTCTCAGTACTTCAAAGTCCGTAGGGAGCAAGATATAATCCTGTTTGCTCGGCAGCAAATATAGTTCTCGGCGCATTGAGAAGCTATTCTTAGATGCCAGGTACCTATGCTCAACCTCGGTATAAATAAAGACTAGGCGACAGAAGACGGTTAAGGACCAAAAAGAAAACCTGAAGCGCAAGTGCAAGTCGAGCGTCTAAGTATGTGGTATGTAGTTGGTAAGTAAAGCACATTCGGGCGTTTGCACCAAGGCGGTATCGGCTCAGTTAGCTCGTTTGCCCGACTTCAGATGTAACCGGACGCAAGTAAGCCGATTAGTCAAAAAACAGGTTTGATTCATAAGGTTATGCGCTGTGTGATCCAAATCCTGCATTGTACATTGGTAGTAGCTCGGCGCCAAACCAATAAATCCTTTCTTTCAACCAACGTTAGCTCCCTCACTTCACAATGGTGTTGAAAAGTAAAAATCGTCTTAAAAAAAGCCGGGGAAAACTGCGTCAAAAAAAAAAAAAAATAAGTGCTTCTCCCCACGAGGTTTATTCGATTTAACTTTTTGACCGATTAGTTTCCCGGGGCGATCCGTTAATGCTCCATTTTCGCTCCATGTATTTTAAAGCATCTGATCTGGTGGGTTCGGATTCATGGGTTTGAATGGGTTGGAATGGGCTGGAATGGGTTTCTTGCCAGGTTCCTACTGGCTTGAATGTACATAGTAGGGCCGCAGCCAAACGTCATGTAGTCTTGCATGCAGTCTTGCATGCAGTCTTGCAGTAGTGTTAGAACTTTCTCCATAGGCTCAGCCATGGAAAAAGGGGGAGGGCGGCTAGTAACAACCATTTGAAATGTGTGATACGGTTCGCCTCGCTTAGGCTAATAAGATGTGTTAGATACGTGTAAAATGGTGCGATGCTTGTGCATAACAGCTGGATTAAATCTATTGGAACGTCTCGCGAGTATGAAAATTCTTTCCTGCCCGAGGGAATATGCAAAGCCCGCAGCCCGATCGACATTATCGATGATATTACGTGGCTGGGCCGTTCCCCGTTGATAACCTATTGATGACCATTGTAAAAGTAGAAAAACCAAAGACTTCCCTTCTCGCGCGGCCGCGAGTTTCAACTGAATTTTGTTATTTGATTGCCCCCCCCCTCCCCCTTTCCCCCCTTCTACCCCTCCTTATCTTAGGTAATCGGGGCCTGTGTTATGTTACCTGGTTCATAGTACATACCTAGTACATAACCTGATAGCCCGATAGCCCGATAGCCCGATAGCCCGTGTTCCTTATCTCTTTCTTATCTGAAGAGGTCGGGGTCACCTTGGAACTCGGCATTTTCCTTGGAACCATGGAGACAGCGTGTTCTTCGTATCCGTGTGAACAGTCTCCAAGAACCTTTGATGTCGACGAATATTACAGATTGCATCAACTCATACCATACAGAATGCGACAAAGAATCACCTTCTTCCATAAAAACGAGAATGGAGTAGAGCCCGCTGCTCTAAGGCTTTTAGGTCGCTACATTTCAGGTCCAGACATCACCGCCGAGCGGGAGGACCGGATTACGCTGGCTTTAGAGGAACTTCCCATCGAACTTCAGCATCTACTTCGAGAATCCCGCGAGTTATTCATCCGATGGCAAAAAGCCGCCCCCTATAAAGCAGTAGGTCCTTGGACTTCTAGGTTGCCTCCCGGTTTGCATATCTTCTATACGCCTGGAAATAGCGAGAGGCCCGATGGCGGTCGCTTGTGCCGCTTATTTCGGACGGCTTTCGGTCCATTAGATTGCTCGTCCACATCCGTAAGTGTCTCTACTCACAGGAATAATATCAATATCATTGGTCGTCTCCGTTTAGCTCTCTAACAATTATATAGGGTTCGTTTACAAAACTACCAAATGACCGATTCACTCATTCGACAGCATACCAATACTACCAGATTCTAACCGACCTGTCTCACTTCACATCATACCTTGAACAATACGCTTGCAATTCTACTAACTCGGAATGCAAGTCAAGAGTTCAACGACTGCTCGAGGCCAATTCCGTCGATTTCTCTTACGATGCGGTCTCTCACGTCGTGAAGCTCACTGCCGTATGGCCTGATGAACGACAGCCGTTATTTATCAACTCTCAACACGATCACAGAGCCGAGGTTGGGATAATGACACCGGATTCACCGCCACACCTAGAGTCGCACGAGCTTGGTGTCACGGGACTATTAGCAGTTTTGGGTGAGGATTCTAGGCCTACCCCAACTCTCTTCTCGTTCCCATCACGCCATAAGAATGCCGACGACGCAGGTTTCGAATCCACTTTTCTCCGTCCGATGGGTTTGCACCCGACAATGCAGCTACGCCTCAGCTCGAGTAGACCGCCGATGGACGAGACATACTGTTCGTTGCACGCATATCTCACCCTTCCTCGAACCGTATTCATCGACAAGTATCAACTTGCGGATGATTTATTCTTGTCATCGAAAAACCTGTCGGCGTTGCGCTACATCAGCCAACCGGTGGACCTGGAAGCACCAGACTATGCAATGAGACTTTGGGGTTCCAGTGCTCTCCTAGAACTAAAGCCACCTAGAATCGAAAGCGATCAACCTTGGACAGCCGAGATTCCGCTTCATCTTAGGTACCTGGCACCTGCGGATCACGGATACAGAAATGTCAGCATCCCTTGGCCCGTGGTTTTCTGGGCATGTTCGTCCGAGGAGGGTACCAAGTTCGCAAACAATCCGTTCGACAGGACCAATTTAGGATACGACGGCCTATTCGGCCCCCGTACGCTATTTTGGCATGTTGAACCGAAGCCGAGCAAAGGCGAAGATCTCTATCACGAAATCCGGGTTCCCGTTCTCGACTTAGGACAGTCAAACAGGGCCAGTTCCGGAACAGTCACCGTGGTTCTGATGGGAATTGTGTTCGTAATATGGAAACTCGTATCGGTCTGTTTAGGGATCAACCAAGACAAGTACAAACCGGAAAAGGGGAGGAGAAAGAGGAAGAGTCTATGATTATGATACCAAGATTGACGAAGCATCAGCAAGTGCAATTGTGCAAGTTCTAAACTTTTACTAGGGTCGGGGGTGGGAATTAATGACGGCGTTGAGGTCATGTGACTACGTATTATTTGCATTACTTTTTCGATGCTGTTTATTATAACGGGGCCAGAGCAACGGCACAGAACATTCGGCACAGAACATTGGGGGGGGGGTTTTTAGGGGACATCCGTATACATACCGATACCTATACTTTTTAAAAACATAACCTTTGGAACTATTATAGGTAGGTACCTAGTGAACATAACATTAGCTACCTATATATTAGATTACGTATTTCTTTACCTAACTCCCTAACTTTAAATATCAGGTTCGTTGGAGGACTAATCCGATGTTTCCGTCATGTTTTCGTATATTGTAGCAGGCATTGCTATTTTATTGTTCACATTCAATCCGATCCTCCAATACTTTTCTCCCGAACCATCTCGTCTTCCGCGCACTCCCCGGCCTCGTATAAATGAATCTCTCCTTGCCATCGATGCAGCAAACCAAACTGCACCGGATTGCCCTCCAGATTCATATTCAATTCACATTCTTTCAAAAGCACCAATCGTAATTTATATTGAGAATTTCCTCTCCGAGGATGAGCGGTCCCATTTACTAGAGATTAGGTAGTGTGGTGTTCTTCTCGTTACGCGTATGAGACATATGAGAGATATCTATCTGCTAACAAACAATCTCATAGTGAGCCATTATTTGAACCGTCGACAGTTACTCATGATGGCGACTCAACGCATCGCGATACTGCGATACGTGACTCGGAGGTAGCATTGATACCTCGCACCGACATCGTGCGATGCATTGAAACGCGTGCACGGGCTTTCCAGGGCTGGCGCGACGACTTATGGATAGAGCGCCTACGTACGCAGCGTTACGGCGCGAACCAGCACTACACGCACCACTTTGACTGGGGTTCCGGTGCTCGGGGATGGGGCCGTGTCAGCAGCATGATGGCTTGGGTGCAAGCCGACGATGTCGAAGGAGGAGGGACTGAGTTTCCTCTACTCCAGCGCGAAGCACCGGACATGCCATGGTGCCAATGGGTTGAGTGTCCCAAGCTCCCGGGATCTGAGGAAGAAACTCCCACCGCGGTCGGAGAATCGAGCGCGGGCGTTACCTTCAAGCCTATCGCTGGTAATGCCGTATACTGGGAAAACTTCCGCCCCGATGGAACGGGGAGAGGTTGGGATGAAACTTGGCACGCGGGTTTGCCAGGTACGTATTGATTAACTCTTAGAATTGTACCCTACCCTTCAGCTTCCGTCAAGGCCGCCGTTTATAACCTCCCCTTGAGCTTTCCACTCTTGGCAGAGATCTTCATCTCCCCCTTATTCAAGACAGCTATTAACTATTTTCATCGTAGTGAAAAAAGGGACGAAAGTCGGTCTGAACATATGGAGCTGGGGGAGGCTTAGCTAGGAGGGCTTTTGGTGGCTCGTCTCATAAAAGCAAAGTCAACAGTCTAAGATCGCAAGTTATAACCAGGTACATCGTGACTCAATGTTACAAATTTCACATTTCCAGCTTCTCATACGCGTTTTATAGCTAGTTGCGGACAATATCTATATAAATTAAACACCGCAAAATTATGCTGGACAACCTACTTGAACTTTCAATACCAACAAAAATCACCATGTCTCAGCGGCCAATCAAACGGATTTCGTATATTCACCGCGTCATCAAGAAGAAGAAAAAAAGGAAAAAAATTACCTAGGTAGATATAGATGTACAAAGTTTCGGTCAAATATAATAAACCTTACTCGCAGTCCTCCACAGCTACGGAAAATTCTGTAAATCAAGAGCCAATTAGAAGCTTAATGGACCCCCACGCGTCCCTTAACAGGGTACCGATGTCGCCATTTCAAGACAGGATCGCAACATAGACTTCAACAGCAAATCTAGATCAAAATTCACCAACTTATTAATAATGAGTTTCCTGTAGTTTGATTAGATCTAAGCAGTACCCATCAACTCTAGTTAAACAACCATACAGAGCCATACTAAATGTAATAAACCTCCCACGCCAGTAAAGGCGCTTTTACGGTCTTTTCTCGCAAGCGTGGCCTACATACTCTGACATACATATGCCTAGGGTACATGTTACTCTCGGTCTAAAGAACGAGAGGAACTCCCAAAATGCAAAATTACCAACGTATGACGCAAATCAACATCAAGGTCCAAAAACGGATCCAGAAAAGCACCCGCACCGGAGCAACCCTACCTACCTAAGTAGCTCTCGGTGACTATCCCCATAGAGGACGGAGGTCGTGGGTAGTGTTAGGTTCAGTAGGTTTTATACAAGTATAATCCATACCTATTACCAGGTACCAGAGTTAGCTTTAACAAGGCAGGTACATATACCTACTTGTGGAAGCCTGTCGTCCTACGCAGTATCAGATACCTCTATTATGGGTGGCGTGGACCGGCTCCATTCCCTCTTAGGTACGAAGACAGGAGGTACTTCCTGTCATGCTCCATACCTATCTTACTTTAATCTCCAGATACTTGGATGTTCTTGCATACTTACGTACGTACCTACATGTACATGTATTACATCTTCCCCTTTAGGTAAATTCCGTAGCGAGTTCGAAGGCGTTAAGTTACCTCAAGTACTTCGATGGATCTACCAACTTCGCCTTTCGAGTTTTCTTTCAAGTTTTCTTTTTTCTCGATTTTATTTCTCCACGACACATAACCTATCTTCATATCAGAAGTCGCAAAGTTTGATAAAAAATAAATGCACTTGACCTGGTTCTCGACCCTTTCAGCCACCAATTACTTTATGCGTGGTGCGCCGTACAAGTGAAAAGACGCCAAGCAAAGCAAACAATATTCGTTTTACTTATTGTCTCATTTTAAACCCGGATTGCAACATCGAGGCTCGACATCCACCATGTCTGACAAGCCCGTGTTTCTAGCCACGCATCCCCGAGCGTGCTCTACCGCCTTTGAGAGGGTTAGTCTCATGAAACCTGCACTAATAACATCTTCTTATACTATGTAACTATACTAAACGCACCAGGTGTTCATGACTCGCCGAGACACGCTTACATGTGCCCACGAGCCGTTTGGCGATAGCTATTACTATGGTCCTGAGAGGATTGGCGAGCGATATGCCAACGATGAGTCTGCTCGGGAAAGCAGTGGCTTTTCCAAATCCACATATCGTGACGTCTTGGATCGATTAGAGAAAGACGGCAGTGAGGTTCGAAATCTCCTCAAACACTAATGCCCTCAGTCCCTTTTAAGACACTTTAAATTCTTGTTGCTATCATTCTTTTCATGTCGGTTCTTATCCCGTCGCAAGTGCGAGCAGGATCAGCCAAATACTTGAGAATGAAGATTAGGAGGAACGTTCAGGTGTCAGTGTAGCAGCATCGCGCCACCAGAAAAAAAAAAAAAAAAAAAAAAAAGCGCGCCGGATTCAGGTGCTCACTGACATATCCCGAGAGCAATGTGATAAGGGGATAAATTAACTGTATAACCCCAATATCTCGGCCTCTGAGAGGGATACATACCCTGTCGAAACCATCTCCTTTTCGTTCAACCATGTTCACCCCAATGCCAACCCACTGGTCCGATCAGCTTTGAGCCTCGTCCTGTATAAAACACTCACTCCATCATACAGGGCAAGCGTGTCTTCATCAAAGACATGGCATATTACTTGACGCCCCCCAACTCGCAGCCCGCGGTAATCGCCAAGTCGCTGCGCAAGGGGGGGGACGACGACAACTACTCGGAAGAGGGCAACCCAACCGTGCTGCCCCTCGACATCCTCAAGAAGTTCCACTGGACGTTCCTGATCCGCCACCCGCGGCGCGCCATCCCCTCGTACTTCCGCTGCTGCGTGCCCCCGCTCGACGAGGTCACCGGCTTCAAGGAGTTCCTGCCGAGCGAGGCCGGCTACGCGGAGCTCTGCCGCCTGTTCGACTACCTCCGGGAGCAGCGCGTCGTCGGGCCGGCGCTCGCTAGCGGCGAGCCGAACGGCACTGGCAACAACAACAACACGGCTAATGGCAGCGGCAGTAGCGGTGTCAGCATCACGGTGATCGATGCGGACGATCTTCTCGACCACCCGAACGACGTCGTCCAGGCCTTCTGCAGGGAGACCGGCATCGCATTCACCCCGGACATGCTGACCTGGGACGACGCCGAGAACCAGGATTACGTCTCGGAGGCTTTTGCCAAGTGGACCGGTTTTCACAACGATGCTATTCACAGCAAGAGCCTCACGGCGAGGACCCAAGCTCATGTAAGTCTTTTTTTAGTTTTTTTTTCCTCTTGGAAAATAATGAGCATACTTTCTTTACTTTTCCTTTTTCTCAGCGCGATACCATTTACTGAATTTTATTCGAATTAGAAAACTGTCACCGAGGAATCTGAGAATGAGCAATGGCGGCAGAAATTTGGCAAGGAGGCGCAGGAGAAGATCAGAGCTTGTGTGGATGAGAATATTCCACACTATGATTATCTCAAGTCCTTTGCCATGAAGTTTTAGGTATTACAGGGAGGGGCAGGAAGGGTCTATGTACACAGATATAAGGTAGATGATGGTACAATTGAATACAGTATCTCTAGATTTTGTGAAGTGTGGCGAGAGTATAGGGTTCGTTGATTTTTATACTCTGTTCAGACTGTAACAAGAGCAAGACTGGATACCCTAGTTTTTATACAGCTTTTATACAGAGTTCGTTCGATCTGCTGATTTTTGATCTGCGCCCTTTTGATCCGTCGTCTTTTGACTTGTTTTTTGTTGGTCAGCTGGCTTCTCATCTGCCGCCTCGCTGTCTGCCGCCTTCTTCTCCGTCCCCTCTTTCTCAGCCCCCTCCTTTTCTGTTCCCTCCTGCTCCTGGCCTTCTTTCGCCTCCTCCTCCTCCTTTGCATCCGGGTTTTCTTCCGGGTTCTCTTCTTCTGCCGTACCCATCTCCTCTACGGCAGCCTGGTCGAAGCGGTAATGTGAAACGTTGGGAGGCCAGCTCTCAGCGAAGTGGCGATCCTTATCGTCGCGCCACCAGATCTGGACCTTGAGGCGAGCCTTAACGCTACCGTCCTCCTCCTTCTTGAGGTTCTTCTCGTCGGCCGCGTCCAGATTGACCAGGATATTGGGATCATCCGTCATAGGCACCCAGATCTTGTTACCCTTGCCCAGACCCCTGAGCACGGCGGCCACGTCGGCGATGGTGGAGGTCTTGAGGTCGTTGACCTTGGCGCCCCGCTCGAGCTTCGTCAGGGGGTGTCCGTTCTTGTCGAAGAGCATCTCGTCGCTCCACGACAGCTCGTGGAGCTTCTTGCACTCCCGCAGGCGCGCGTACACGCTCCGGCCCACGGCGCCGAAGCCCTCGGGGAATTGTATCAAGGCGAAGGGCCGCCAGTAGTCCTTTCGGAACTTGCTGGGCTTGAGCTTCTTGCCGGTGAAGGCGATCTGCCGTAGCGACTTGTTCGCCTTGAGCACGGGCCTATGCGAGTATACCATCATCCCGTCCAATATGTGACTGAACATCCATATCTTCTCGCCATGATGCGGTGGAAACTGGGCGGCGGCTATCTCCTTTTCCCTCTTCTCTTTGGTCGGAGCCGTGGACTTGAAGCGTATGCCGATGCATGATATAGTCAGGGTGCCGAGGGGGCTGAGGGGCAGCCTTGTGAATTGGGCTGTTATCGAATTGACCCTCAGAGCCATGATGGGCGGGTGGTTCTACTGTCGAGGGGGCTCCGGTCAACTGTCAACTGTCGACTGAGGCTGATATCCAATACCACGGATATTTCGTTGTCGGATCCTCCGTTCGAAATTTCCGTTGGCGATAAGGATCGAAGATTTAGTGGGCCTTATCTTAGCGTCTACAATACAATACTTCTTACCAGGTACCAAACAACCTACCTTAACGTCTTGGGGGGGGGGGGGGGGGTTTAAACTGTATATATACCGGTTATATACGATTTAAAAAATTAAAACGTTTTACACCGTAAATGGAAAATATTATGCTTATATTTTTAAATATTAAACTTATTTAAATAATTAAAAATATTTTATTATATATTTATAATTTAAAATAAATAAATTATTTAAAAATTTAAATTATTTATATAATTTATAAATATAATATAAATTATATGTAAAGTAAAAAATAAATAATAAATAAATTAAATAATAATAAAAGTAAAATTATTATATTAATAATTTGTTAATAAGTACGTACGTATGGTAAAAATAATAAACAAGTAAAATAATAATAATAGGGGTAAAACTAATATATTAATAATGTTTAAAGAAAAAAGAACTTATTTAAGGTTAATTAGTAGTGTAATGTCTTTTTATACAGTAATAGTAAATACATTATTCTTTTTTTTAATATCGGTAATAAAGCACTTTATTTTTAATAAAGTGCTTACGTGTTAATATTACATAATTATTATAATTATTATAAATTAACAGCCCGATAAAATTATATTAAATATAAAAGTGGGGTATTAATTAATAATAATTTAATTAAACTTTAATTAATTAAATTTTATAAATTTTAAAAATTTTAATAAAATTAATAAAATTAATAAAATTAATAAAATTAATAAAATTAATAAAATTAATAAAATTAATAAAATTAATAAAATTAATAAAATTAATAAAATCTTAATAAAATAATATATAAATAAAAAAAACTTATAAATATATTTAAATTATTATATATTTAATTATTTATTTACATTTTTTTAATTATTAATTTAAATTTTATATTTAATTTATATAAAAAAACTTTAAATTTTTTTAAATATTTTAATATTTTATTAATATTTAACTTATATCGTTATTATTTACTTAAAAATCAAAACTTAATTACTATATTTTAATAAACTTAAATATAAGTTTTTTATAATAATATTTAAAAAAAAGTTTTTTTTAAAATTTATAAAAAAAAATTATTTTATATATAAAAAATATATAAATACATAAATGTTTTTTCCTTTTATAAATTATTAATTATATAATTATTAATAAATATTTTTTTATTTAAATTTATTAAATTTATAATTATTTTAAAATTTATTTATTTTTAAAAAATAAATAAATTTTATTTATAAATTTAAATATAATTTCATTAATTATTAATTTATAATAATTAAATATTAAATATATTATATATATATATATATAAAATTAATTAAATTTTATTAATTAATTTATAATATATATATTTATAATTTAATATATTAAGCTAAATATATATTATTAAATAAACCTTTACCAAGACGCTAAGGTAATTTAGGTCCTAAGAGGTACGTATACAATTGTTAGCAAGCTAAAAAGCTATAACTTAAGTACTTAAGGTAGTAAAAGGCTGGGCAAGCACCACGAATGGTTCCAGTTTCCCATATGACAGTTACGCATGTAAGAACCCAATTACAATGTAACACAAATTACAACACATTTCTGTCATACCCAAGTTACCTCTGACTCAGTAAAGTAGGAGCAGAAGGTGCAGGTGCAGGTGCTTAGGTACCTCCTAAGGTAACGAGTACCGCAAGATCGATTATCCGATATTACCCCGCGATTGGCCAAAGCTTTAAAAAATGTTGTCGTCAGGCAAAGCTTGGCAACTCTTTAGGTTTGGCTAGGTTAGGTAATCTGCTAGTATGAGAGGTACCTAAGGTAGCAGCCCCCACTAGGTACTAGAAGCTTCCCAGGCGTTCCATCACCAACACCAAGCTGCTCCTAGCTAGCAACCCCGACTAGAAACCCAGAAGAGCCTGGAGTGAAATCCCAGAAGTAACTGGATTGGACTAGATAAGACTGGACGAAACCTATGAGCTGACTGAGCGCCCCAACTTTCTGATGTCTCGTCATCATCATCTGTTTCCTTCTGCTTCCTCTGTTTCTTCTCTCCACCTCTAACAGACAGATAAATACAAACTTTCACTTCTTTGTCTCGAAATTCCTTCTTCATTTTATTTTACCAGGAATAAAGATAATCTTGACGATAATCTTATAAAAAAAAGTGATACCCTACTATTACGATAGTGTAAAGCCAAACACAGGCTTCACTTACACACAAGCGCACACAACTTGTACATTCTAGCTCTATCAGTACATATTCTTTTTTCTTCCGATATTGAGACACACATCAGATCGAAAACACCAACAACACAATAAACCTTCACAATGACTTCTAGAATGGAGTTTACAGACCGGGGCAAAAAGGCCCTGGAGGATGCTATGGCGCTGGCCGAGCAATACGCCCACTCACAATTATTACCAGTCCACCTAGCAGTCTCTCTATTAGACCCTCCGCCAGATCAATCCAAAGACCAGCAAAATATCCAACCAGGCACCACCAACAGCCTATTCCGACAAGTAATCGAGAGAGCACATGGTGACCCTCAACTATTCGACAGAGCACTCAAGAAGATGTTAGTCCGTCTGCCGAGCCAAGATCCCCCGCCAGAGAACGTGTCCATGTCACCTTCATTCAGCAATGTTCTCAGGAAGGCTCAAGAGTTGCAGAGGACGCAGAAGGATTCATACATCGCAGTTGACCATCTAATAACTGCCCTCGCCGAAGACCCAACAATCGCCAACGCTCTCAAGGAGGCTAATATCCCCAAACCTAAGCTGGTCCAGGATGCCGTCCAAACTATTCGCGGGACGAAGAGGGTGGACTCCAAGACAGCCGATACCGAGGAGGAGCACGAGAACCTTTCTAAATTCACTATCGACATGACGGCCATGGCAAGAGAGGGTAAGATTGACCCTGTCATCGGCCGAGAAGAGGAAATCAGACGAGTTATCCGGATTCTGTCGCGACGAACCAAGAACAACCCGGTACTAATCGGTGAGCCGGGTGTCGGTAAAACTACCGTCGTCGAAGGTTTGGCTCAACGAATCGTCAACGCCGATGTCCCCGATAACCTTGCCGCTTGCAAGTTGCTCTCCCTCGATGTCGGTGCTTTGGTTGCCGGCAGCAAGTATCGTGGTGAATTCGAAGAGAGAATGAAGGGCGTCCTCAAGGAGATCGAGGAAGCTAAGGAGATGATAGTTCTCTTTGTCGACGAAATTCACTTACTTATGGGCGCCGGTTCTTCGGGTGAGGGTGGCATGGACGCTGCCAATTTACTTAAGCCTATGCTTGCCCGTGGACAATTGCACTGCATTGGTGCAACCACCCTTGCCGAATACCGAAAGTACATTGAAAAAGATGCCGCTTTCGAACGACGATTCCAGCAGGTCATCGTCAAGGAACCCAGCATCCCCGAGACCATCTCTATCCTCCGAGGTCTCAAGGAGAAGTACGAAGTTCACCACGGTGTAACTATATCCGATGCCGCTCTAGTCGCTGCTGCCAACCTAGCTGGAAGATACTTGACGTCTCGTCGTCTGCCCGACTCTGCTGTTGACTTAATTGATGAAGCCGCAGCAGCTGTCAGAGTCGCTCGAGAATCTCAACCTGAAATCATCGACTCCCTGGAGCGCAAATTGCGACAACTCAGGATTGAAATCCACGCGTTGGCACGAGAGAAGGATGATGCCTCAAAGGCTCGACTCCTGCAGGCTAAGCAAGACGCCGAAAACGTTGAGGAGGAGCTGAGACCTCTCCGAGAAAAGTACGAGCGTGAACGAAAGCGCGGCAAAGACATCCAGGAGGCCAAGATGAAACTTGACCGTCTAAAGGTCAAAATGGAGGACGCGGCCAGAATGGGTGACCATGCTGCCGCTGCAGATCTCCAGTACTACGCCATTCCCGAACAAGAGAAAGTCATCAAGGAACTCGAGCGCCAAAAGGCTGCCGCCGATGCAGCTTTGAGCCAAAACGATACTGGCGGTTCCATGATAACAGACGTAGTCGGACCCGATCAAATCAACGAAATCGTCTCACGTTGGACTGGTATTCCCGTTACAAGACTTAAGACTTCCGAAAAGGAGAAGCTTATCCACATGGAGAAGGCCCTCGGCAAGATTGTCGTTGGACAAAAAGAAGCCGTACAGGCTGTCTCCAACGCTATTCGGCTGCAACGATCTGGGCTTAGCAATCCCAACCAGCCTCCAAGCTTCCTCTTCTGTGGTCCGTCCGGAACCGGTAAGACTCTGCTGACAAAGGCTTTGGCCGAGTTCTTGTTTGATGATCCGAAGGCGATGATCCGGTTCGATATGTCCGAGTACCAAGAGCGTCACTCGCTAAGCCGAATGATTGGTGCACCACCTGGATATGTCGGACACGATGCCGGTGGTCAACTCACCGAGGCCCTTCGCAGAAAGCCCTTCTCCATCTTACTGTTTGATGAAGTTGAAAAGGCCGCTAAGGAAATTCTTACTGTCCTTCTGCAGCTCATGGATGACGGCCGTATCACTGACGGACAAGGTCGTGTCGTCGATGCTAGGAACTGTATCGTCGTCATGACTTCCAACTTGGGTGCGGAATATTTATCTCGCCCAGCTGGTCGTGATGGCAAGATCGACGCCACAACGAGGGATTTGGTCATGAACGCCTTGCGCAACTACTTCTTACCAGAGTTCCTCAACCGTATCAACTCAATCGTCATCTTCAACAGGCTCACCAAGCGCGAGATTCGTAGGATCGTCGATCTACGTCTTGCTGAGATCCAGAAGAGGCTTATCGACAATAACCGTAACGTTCGCCTCGAAGTTACGGATGAGGTCAAGGAATACTTGGGCAACGCTGGCTACTCACCCGCCTACGGCGCTAGGCCACTGGCTAGACTCATCGAGAAGGAAGTTCTTAACCGCCTGGCCGTCCTCATCCTACGCGGTGGCATCAGGGACGGCGAAATCGCAAGGGTGGTTATGGCTGGCAACAAGGTCCAGGTTCTACCCAACCACACCGATAGCGAACTTGGCGATGGCGATGATGAAGACATGCTCGTCGATGAAGAGGACGCCGTGGAGGACGTCGTGCCCGACGGCATGGATGAGGATATCTACGATTAAGGGAGGTCATGATGTTACTAGTTCAAGATTGACGATTGATGATGAATAATGAGCTATTAGGGAAGGAAAGGGGGGCAGGTTAATGTTTCTAAGGGTTATGGAATACATACATATGGAAAGGGGGTGAGCAAATATGGTATTTGCTGAAAGCAATGGAATTCAACACATGGCGTTAGTAAGGCCTATGGCGAGGAAATTTCAGGGGTTAGCTTTAGCTTAGGTAGCTACCTACCTAACTTAGGTAGGATAGTTGCATATTAAAAGTTTTAGCATGACTTAATATGAATAATTCATGAAATAACATGTTTTTGGCTTTCTTGATGAGTGCTAAACCTAATATATGATGACTTGTAGAAAAGGGGGGGAAACAGCTAAGTTTCTTTGGTTTCAGTTCTTCCTAGGTGCCTATTAAATCGTCGGCACAAGAGGTGTGCATACCTATATCATGCTAAGGGTAGAACTCTACTTAAACCGTTCATCTGTCAGGTAAGAGGTTTATGTCCCAAATGGACGTCGTATATAGAGAGATTGTCGAGGTCGTACATACAGTATATTTATTTGGTTGAACCAGTAACGCCTGACCGTCTATCCTCTTAAAAGGGAGCTGGTTTCCTTATATATAGCCGGTGTTGGATCAATAGTCACGTGTTCGCGTGTCACGTACGTTGGGGCCCGTGCCCCACGTACAACAGAGATTTCTCCCATCTTATGTAATTACTAAATTACAAGCAAGTTACACATACAGAATATATCATCGGTCGGCTTCATTTCGTATTTCGTTCGTTCGTTTGTTTTATCGTTTATCGCATCGATGCATTATATCGTGTAGACCTTGTCTACCGACAGCCGGTGAACTCCTATTCTACCTATGTAGTATATTCTATATTCCTGACATCATCAACATCCCTATTCTGGCCTTATGTGACTGAGGTGTCCCGTCATGATATCTCCAGTAGGAAGAAGACCCAAACCAACCACAAATAATCCAGTGTCTCTATGTGTATTCTTATACGCAAATACCTAGGTGTCCAGAAGATAAGAAGCTAAAGTTACAGTTTGCTTTCAACGAATCTCGCATTCTGTCATAACACTATTCTGATCGAGAAGATTCCACGCAAAGGCGTGCTCCTTGGGTGTGTGTGCCATAATATCGGTTTTGTATTCCACAACACCTGCCCTAGAAAAGACATTGCTGCCTCCTTCTTCACGGCGAAGGATTAAGTAGCGTCGCGATATTGTTTCTTGGTGGATTGCTTTGACGTCGGCTATCATCCAAAGAAGGTAAACCTTCTGGCGCCGGGGCAAGCATTGGTACCCATTGTCATCATGGTCCATGTGAATCGTCTCGAAGTAGTTTCTGAGACTACGACCGATCGATGAATTCATCAGGCTTGCCCACGGCCCGAAAGGTGGAATGAAAATGCTGCATTTCGTCTCATCGTGCCACTCTAGCTTGGCAGACATCAGTTTGCCTCGCAATCTCAGCAGGCTTTTTTTTAAGACGCCTAAGGAACTGTGCCCGTCGTAACTACATGAGGCTTCGGATACATTTGCGACGAGAATTCGTTGGAAGAAAGCTTTCTCCTGGACGAAGTCAACAGCACTCTTTAAAGATGTCCACGACCAAGTTGGTAAAGAGTACGGTCTCTTGAGGACATTCTTCCGTTCGGGTCTGTTTTCCCTCACAGGTAAATCGACGCACTTCCAGAGTAGGTCTTCGATCAGTGATCCTGACCACAGACCTATCAGGTACGCTTCCCTGGCGCGCAAATATTGGAACTGCTTTGCCATAGCTCCAAGAGCGACCAGTCTGTCCTCCGGTTTAGACAGTAACAAGCCGCTGTATTTCTCCACAACGTCTCTCCAGGTCGTCGAAATATATTGCCATACATCGGCAGCTGGTTTGGTATCCACTAGGGCCAGTTGATTTTCATTTTCGAAGATATCGATATCTCCCCAGTGTATGAAAAGAGGCTTGAGGTTCGGAAAGACCTCGTGTTTGATTGCGCCGCATTCGCAAGCACTATGCGTGAGACATTGGAATATAATCTCGTTTTCCGTAAAATAAAGCACTCTTGGACTAATCATGCGTTCCTGATACGCCCAGCCTCGAGACAGCAGAGGTGACGGTCTTCCTGGCGCTTTGGGCAGGCCAAGATTATAACCATTTTGAAGATAATGGGGAAGTCGTGCGTAAACGGGCCAACTGTGAGTGTAAAGTGACAACTCCATCACCTTAACTAATTCGTCCTCCATCGACATTGAACGAAGCCCAGATTTGCTTGAGCTACCATACAAGGCGGCCAACGTTACATAGGAATGTTTGTATACGTTCCACATGAGTTTTGCTTGTTGATGCCAGTCCCTCTTATCGTGTTGGATTATACAAACACTGTCGATCCATAAGTACTTGATGCCGAGACTGCGTGTGAAACTAACAGCATCCTGAAAAGTCGCCGGAAGCTTCGACCATGGGATTCCTCGCATGTTCTCTTCTAAGCTGTTCACTGTAGTCATACAGTCAGGGTCGTGGCCGCCCCAACAGTAACTGAGCGCGACGTAAGCCGATCCCGGAGGAATGGAAGTGTTATTCTCGAGCACTACATCTTCCCCTAGCTCCTCAATACCGACGTTGATTAGGCGTGAAGGCGTAAAAGGAGCGCCTAATAAGGCACCTACAGAGATGCTACTACGACAGTCCGCATGTGAGCTCAAACATTCCGATATCTGGCCCTGGGCCCATTTAGATGAGGCTCCGAAAAGCTGGTCCTTATAAGTCCATGTAGACTGGAAGAAATTGTCGGCCGTAATATAGACTACGAGTGGTGTTCCCTCAGCTATCGCAGGTGTAACGTAGTCCAGTCGCGTCGGTACTAAAAAGTCCAGTGCAGCTTTTGCAGTATATACAGCACGGGTGGTTTGGCAGAAAGCACACGCATCGACGGCCTCGAAAAATCTTTCTTTAAAAAAGAACGGATCTTCATCATACCAACTATGCTGACCACAAGTTTGCCATTTTTCGTTGCTTGGACGGAGATGGTCAAGAAAGACCTGATTCAAGTAAGGCCCCCGTTTGTATCCCACTGAGAGATTTAATGAGGGAAGTTGTATAATAGGAACTGTTAGACTCTTAGGCTCGTCTTCGGTCATTGTCCTTTGGTAAGGCATTCTGCCAGGTATTGGCGTTCTTGCTGAGTCCCTGGGGTTCATCACGCTGTGCTAATAGAGGACTAGTACTATATAGAGTGACTGATGAATGCGATACTAGTCTTCTAGGCAAGTTCTTGTCTAAAGACAAACTCTACTGTAAGATATATCAATATTTATCTTGCCAAGGTTGCGATGAGAATTGGGAAACTGTTGCCCGGTGAATAAGGCAACGGGTGAGGGTACAATGAAGCACCTTGCCTAGACCACGCCATACCATCTCAACGTAGTGTTATAGCTTTACCACGAGTCCCTGATAAATCCTATAGGGGTACCTTATAGCGTCGGAATCAGCATGCATGCAAGCATACCTAATGTATGTTTTAGAGCTTAGCCTCGAATGCTTAGAAAGTGCCGAATATCTAGGCCAGATATGCGACCGCCAGGTGAAGGTAGCCTTTAGCCAAAGCCCAATCCAATAGAGCAAAATCATTTGAGGCACCCAGCTATGCTGGAACTTTGTTGGTTGCCGCATTTTCTGAGATGATTGCATATAGTAACCCTTATGGAAAACACGCATAAACTACCTAGGTGGTCTTTATGTAGGCAGGACTCACCACATGGTATTGTATCATCACAGCCTCTTCATATGTGGCAGGCTTCGCCGCGTTATGCACCCCGCATCTCATTCTTACACCTGGCTGCTCGTCTCTTTAACAAGGCGTCCTTGGACCAAACTAGCTTCACAAGATTATTTGGATAGATGTGGCGGAGTCATACGGTGACCGGCCAACTAATTGTTCAAAGCATGTCCAAGATGCAGGGACTCATATTTCATTAATTACCCCTGACTCAAGGTAGCATTTGCATATTTCGTGCTCGAAACGCTCTCCCGAATGAGAGACATGATGCATCCTGTTTATTGCGTCTTCGGAGAGCCCAAGTATATAGAGTATTAGCAATGCCTCCTTTTAAATGAAGAGCCCCTGCATATGTACCTAATTCATCGTCATAGACGCGGGGGTAGGCAGAATTTCTCACCTCGCCTCGATCTGTAATGTTGTTTTGGAGAGGGGGTGGGGGGTGTTACATTGGAGAGTAACCTCTCGATAGCCTCAATAATAAACTTCGCCCTTCATTAGAACCCTAGCTGTACGCAGTAAGTCCGCCGAGACAATCCGGCCGTTCTCCGTCGTCGCCCCAATCTCAACCGTCCCGCTGGGATGTCCAATAACAACAGGACCATTCTCGCTACTCCCTCTTCTCTCACCACGAACCTGTGCGGGCAGGGTTCCCGGCATGTTCACAGCCGCGCCTAAACATAAAGCCAAAGTCAGGGGAACGGCCTTATGCGCCTGTCCCATCGACATCGCTAGACACCTGATATGGACATCCGCCGAGCCCGCGTCCGAGAACAGCAGCACGATTTTCGGCACGCTTTCCGTCTTTGGATCCAGTCCCATTTTCGCCGCTCCAGCCTGTCTGATCGCCTCTAACCTAGCCTTGAGTGCGGCATCCGACTCCACGGCTTGGGGAGTAAAAGTAGTCGGACTGGCGCCTCTTATACCTAGATCATCTATCCGGACAAACACCCCCGGATTCGACACATCCACCAGCGAAGCCTCGATAGTGCTACCATCCGGCAGCGCCAACGTATCAACCGCATTCCCAGTCGGCAGCGCCTTTCCTGTCTTCGCCCCCGCGGGATCCAGGAAGCTCAGCGTGATCCTAGACTGCGTCCCCGGAACCCCGTCCATCTCGTAGTCCCCCTCGGGACAATACGTCGGCGGATCGCCCGCGACCCTGAATCGGGAGTGTATGATCTTGGACGTGTTGGTATTAAACACCCTCACGAGCGCCTCTTTATACCCCCCATCCCCACCCCCACCCCCATCCACATCCACATCCCTAACCTTCCCCTCCCTCCCCTCCACCAACCCCTCGTCCCACGCCACCGGCCCCACCGCCGCCGACATGTTCCCGCAATTGCCCGCGAGGTCCAGCGCCCCGTCCCGGATCCCGACCTGCACGAACGTGAACTCGACGTCGGCGTCGGCGCGGCCCGACGGCGCCAGGACGCACACCTTCGACGTCGACGACGCCCCGCCGCCCATCCCGTCCAGCTGCCTGCCGTGCGCCGGGTCCGGCGCCCCCATCGCCGCCGGCAGAACCTCCCGCCACGCCTCCCGCCCCGGCAGGTGCCGCCGCTGGATCACCAGGCCCTTGGACGTCCCGCCCCGGACGAACAGCGCCGGGAAACTACGGCGGCTGCTACTACCGCTACCACTACCACTACCACTACCACTACTACTACTACTACTCCTACTACCGGAGCTCGTCGTAGAGGAAGAAACAGCCGCAGCCGATTTTATCCCGTCGTCGAGTCGCCCCCTGGTAGGAGTTGAATGGATCGTGAGGCGAAGCGCCTGGTACGTATGAGTTAAGTGCCTCATTAGCATTGATATAAGGTAACCTCGGTAGCCTAGGTGCATGTGAGTGACTAATCTGGAATATTGCGAAGTCGAGTAAACTTCGTGAGGTTGGAAGACGATCCCGGATGTTAACTTCGGCATATCAAAGGATCGTACTACAGGGGTGCTTAATACCGTTAGTAGCATACATTCAGTTTATGTTCTCATATCTCAATATTCCGTAGGTACCTAGTTAACGATAATGCTTCTATTAGGTTAGGCACTTTATCGGTAAGCCCCCTTGGTCGCCTTGGTCGCCTTGGTCGTCAATTATTTTCATTACCATCCTATGTTATAGGAATAAACTCAACTAGATACGCAACCAAAGGTCTGCTAGGAAACCCTGCAGTAATAATACGCCCTTTTTATACTATACAAATAGACAACTTTAATCCTCCTCGTCCTCGTCTGCAGCATCTGCCATACTGGTATCGGCGGCGCCTGTCGTTGCTTCAGCATCGGATTCTCCGTTAGCTCCAGCATTCGTAGCACCAGCACCTTCGCCTTCATCTTCATCGTCGCTATCGTCAAGGACCCTACCACGTCGAACCCTCTTGGCTGGTGCGCGGCTAGTTGCTGCTTCTTCCTCCTCATCTTCATCATCATTCTGTCCAGCTGTATTATCTACTTCCATCCGATCTCCATCATCACCAGCTCTCGACGCACCGTCGGCGTCCGACAGAGCCGAGGTATGCCTCTCGAGGGCCCGCTCCGCACGCTCAAGGGCATCGTCGTCATCTGAACTATCAACCACGATTTCGGCAGATTTGTACTTGGTCGACTCTTTCTTGGATGCGAGCTTGCGCTTCTTCTTTGGTTGGCGTTCTGCCTCGGATTCATTATCCTCGCCGTCGCTACCGACCTTCTTCTTGCGAGAACGGCCTTTCGGCTTAGGCTCGCCATTCGATTTAGGTCTGGTCTTCCGCTTTCTCTTCACTTTTTGACCTGTTTCACTATCTGTAGTCATTTCGGCTTGTTGGGCAGCCATTTCTTCCTCGGCTCGCTGTTCGGCTATAGCTCTGTCGCGGGCTATGATCTCCTCACGCTCTTTGCGAATCTTCTCTCGCCGTTCTTCCTCTAACGCGAGAGCCTTTTGTCGTTCCTCTTCTCGTCGTCTCAACTCAGCCTGTCGTTGTTCTAGAGCTGCCGCAAGTTTCTCCTTATTCTTCTCTTCATATTCCTTCTGGCTCTCGATTTGACGAGCAAGCTGCTTGCGCTGCGTGTTGCGAGCCATGTTTGCTCGCTGCTCGAGATCAGTCTTAGGATACGGCGGCTGTGGGTGAGTAGCAATTTCATCTAGAGCGACGATAGCCGCTTCAAGACCCTCGGAAGCCTCCTCGAGTTCGGCAAGCGTACGCTGTGTCTCAGGTACATTCATAATGTGCTGGACTTGCTGAATTTGGACGAACGCAACGTTGAACTTGAAGTGAACCTGGTCCGGAGAGATTTCGAGAGCCTATAATTTGTTAGCTTTGATTAGCATGAGCTTTGGCGAGTTGATATTACCTTCTTTGCGTATTTGAGAGCGGTCTTATACGCATCTAGGCTCCGCTCATGCCTGCCCCTATTCAACCATGTCCGACCGAGGCAAGCTAAAATACCTGGATCGTTGGCCTTGCCCTCTTTTGCGAGCGCCGTCTCGTAGCTCTCGATCGCTTTCGAAAACTGTCGCAATTCCGCGTATATGTGTCCAATGTTGATATAGACATTTGGATCCTTGACGGTTTCGCGAACCTTTAGGAATATTGGAAGCGCGTTCTTGTAGTCTTTCTTGTCCTCGACGAGCGCGATAGCAATACCTTGGGCAGCATGAGCGTTCTTCGGGTCCAGCTGTAGTGCCTTGTCAAAAAACTCGACAGCACGGGTGTAGGTAGCAGATCGCTTTTGCTTCTCTTGTTCGGTTTCTCGGCGCATCTCGCGAGCAGCCATCATATACAGATTACCCATGCCGACCAACGCGTAACGGTCATGCTTGTCGTGGTATTGAAGGGTATGCTTGTAATGCCGTAGCTCTGGGTCCTCATTCACGTTACCCGACTTCTTCCGAGAGCTTACGCGACCAAGGTACCAGCCGTACAAAGCACGGACTTCCAAGTCAGAAGAATTGTCTTGCTGTAGTTGGGCGACGGCGTCGGGGCCTTCCTTATTAGGGTTTCTGCGCAATTTGATATAAGCCAATCGAGCCTTGGCATCTATATAGTCGTCGTGACGAGCTACTAGCTTCTCGTAGACCTCAACGGCTTGATCTACGAGACCCTGGGACTCGTAACTCCTACCCAAGTTGAAACTGATAGTAGTGACTAGTGCATCGGTATCCATGTCTTCACCCTTCTCGCCAATCCGCATGCAGGAGCTTAAAGCAGCTTCAAACATCTGGCTGGCCAGATCATGCTTCTCGGCCTGGGAATAGAAACAGCCGATGTTGTTAAGCAATTGCGGAGAGAGGTTCTTGCGTAACGCATTGCGTAGGGCAGCCTCATCTTCGATATCGGTGGGATGCTCCGAAGCAGGAATTTGATCCAGCTCGAGCTGTTCAACCTGTAAGAGGCATTCGAGGGCCTTATCTGGGTGGTCGTTCTCGTAGAGACGTGCAAGATTCAATAGAATCGCTGGATCTGGAGACAGGTTTTTCTTGGAGTCTTTCCAAGCAGTGCGGACATGCTCCAAATATTCAATAGACTTTCGCATCTCTGCAGACTTGTCTTCTTTAACCGCAGCATATTGATTAGCGAACACCTCTTCGGCGTAAAGAGTGCCCAAAAGGATCATAGCTTCGTAATTTCGCTCGTTCTTGTTTGCTGATTGAATGATCTTCTCCAACCGAAGCTTAGCTTCTCCCAGATCATTGTTCAGAACCGAGAGTTGGGCGACACCAAATTTCGCTGGTAAGTAACCTCTTTCGAGGCCACCTCTAGCTTCGTCCGCACGGCGGTAATAATCAGCGGCTGTTTCAACATTTCCGCTGAAATGTTCTTTCCGAGCAAGGAGGTACCAGCCATCACTTGCAATCGCGTTCACATCAGTATACTGAATGGCCTTGTTGGCTAGAGAGTCGACGTGAGCAAGATTTCTGCTGGATAAGAAATAGCTAGCGAAGGTTGCGCATGTTAAAGGTTGGTTTTTGTCAATCTTGAAGGACTTTTGTGTATACTCCGTCATGGCCTTCTTGTAGAGTCGAATAAACTCCGGGCTGTTCGTAGGAACTCGACTGCTAGCGTCAAGATAGTATAAACCTAGGAGGATATTGGCCGTCTTCGATTCTGGGTTAATCTCAAGGGATCTCTCCCAGGCCTGTTTCGCATCTTCCTTATGTCTCAGTTGCCAGAAGCAACACCCTATTCCAATTCGAGGGTCTGGGTCCACCAAGTCAGGCATTTTTCTCAGAACGTTTTGGTATGTCTCTAGCGACTCCTTGTAGTTCCCAAGACCGAATAATGCCCTCGCTCTCCCAAGCAAGGCTAGCATGTTCTTCCCTTGCGAAACCTTACTCGCCTGGTCGAAAGCCTTCAGGGCACTCTTTAGTAGATCGGCCTTGTCTTGCTCGATATGACCGGCTCCGGGTGCCTTAGAAGGCGCCTGTAGCGAGGCCTTCAAAAGTTGAAGCACGCCACGAGCTAAGAATAGTGGCGGGAATGCCGGGTTTATGCGCGATGCATCATTGAGAGAGGAGGTAGCTAATTGGAGGTAATAATCTTTGGTCTTGGCTTCAGATAGGAGCGCGCCCTCGGGTGGAACGCGTGGTGCTTCACGGCTCTTCCAGAGATACATCCAGCATAAGCAGGTAATAATGCTAAGCTTCTCTTTAGGGTTGTTGTCTTGCATAGCGTTGCCGCCTCGATTAAGCATTTCGATGGCATGATCAATCTTCTTCTGCTTGGCGTATGCGAGGGAAACTGTCATCCAATACGTTCGTGCAGCGCGCTCGTTCTCGAATAATGTGCAAAGTTCGGTTGGGTCATCGACAAGGTCTTCTAGATCGATCTCGACAGCTTCATCTTCTTGATCGCCCTGGACAGGAATATCGATCGCGCTAGGAATGTCGGAGAATCGCTTGCTAACAGGAAGGGGAATGGGGTCGCCATTTGGGCCACCATTGGTATGGCCATTTCGCGTGGCCGACATGATGGATAAGGTGACAAGGAATTAAAAATTGCGGATGAATATGCAATTTCGGCGATGTTGATGAAGGAAGAGTGAAAAGAGGTAGGTAAAATAAATAAATAGTAAGGTTACAAGTGAGATAGTCGGCGACGTTCTGAGATCATCCCCAACTTAAGGCATCATTCTCAAAATTTGAGTTGCAAGCAGACAAACGTTTGAAAGTGTCCTGCACGCAATCGAAAGCCGTGCCAAGTAGGACTGATTTAACTGATTTATTCTAAAAGATGATGCTCCTGGGAAGATGTAAGGCTTGTTTGATGAGGCTGAGAAAGAGCAGATAGAGGTACATATGTATCTGATGTATCTGATGTACCTGCTGCGACATCCCCTGCAATCATCACCTCAAATTGACTAGCGTGCTTTATTTAACGTTTTTCATTGGTCTCCGTGAGAGTACTCATAAGCCACTTGTGGCATGATTGCATGGGTGTAAAGACTTTGTGGCGCTTTATCCTTGCTTCTCTTGTGCTACAGGGATCTAAAAGGCGGTTCGCGTACTGAACCTTGCAGGACGCGTTAACCGGGTCAAGTTTCCAAATTTCATGCAGCTACATAGTACGCACAGAGTAACGGAAGTTACGAATTAGGTGATCAATAAAAATACCTAAAAATACCTACCTAAGATAGAACCAAACTTGCTATCATAACTTACTTCAACGTTGTTGTTTTTTTTAACTCATCATACAGAAACTAGTTTCACAGGCATAATCCACATTAAACAGTAAATGCTTGGCTGGTTTAACAATTATATTGTTCAGATCTATCTAACAGGACCCCATTCTTCACGCAGCTTCCGGACTAGGCCATCAATATTCCAGCCTGCTGTCTTGACCCGATCCAGATGTGCAATTATATCATTCTGTTGGGTTGGATGCGTGATCCGCCGTGCCGCAACTGAGAACGCCGCTATCATACACGGGTCCCAGCAATGTGTATGTTCTGGTTCGCTGTTCAACGCAATGCCACATACACGGTGTGCGTGCCAGAGAGGTGACGTTTGTGCCGCATCAAGATTCAAGTCCCTGGACAGTTCAGTGAATGATATCGACTGTGGCCTATTGCTAAGCAGTAGAAGCATAGCAGTGTGGTAGAGAGCGTTCGCAGAGATGCCAGCACTCCCAACGAAGATGACGATAGGGAATGTAGCTTCAAGACCTTCGACCTCTATCAGCTGCCGGAGCTCCTGAGGACGATGCATTTGCCATTCCTGTAGTGCGTTGAGAAGTTCCTTCCATTTCGCAACCTCAGGTGCCCCTATTAAAGGCGAAGCCACGGCTTGAGGTGACGCTGCATAGTTTTCGCCTTCTGAAACCGGGAGGCAAAGATCCATCACTCCAGTAAGAAGCTCAAGACATTGAAAAGAGGCATGTGAGATCTTCTGCCATTGACCGTCGGTACCAATATGCTTCTTCACCAAAATCAGGAACCGATTTATATGGTTGGTAATCAGAGCAGGGGATGTTTGATTCATAAGGTAATATGCGATTTCTTTACTTGTTGATAGTTACCCTGGTCAGCTAATGAAAAAAAAAATATGATGAAATGGGAGAATTCAACCATGAAGAGAGAAAAGGGGAGACATCATACGCTAGCAATCCCCATGGGGCATAACGCACCTAATCTTGAAAGCAGAGCCGAGCAGCTGGCCCATATTCGTTTTTGACTTGAATTTGCCTCGGCCAACCAAAGCTCGTGGTTGTAAAAAACGCTTCCGCCCTTATAGAACGTAGGCTGCCACGTCTCAGGGACATCCTGAACGAAAAGACGTGTCCTCCCCAGCACAAAATTAGCCATAAGTCGAATTTCTAGAAGTCCTGTCTCCGTGCTAGCGGGATTTGTAAGAGCGAGGAGGTAAAGAATACCGACACCACGCCGTTTTATTCTCTCTATCGAACGACCCGAAAAAATGGCCGAAGTCTGCAGTATTCCATCCAGCACACAGGGCGAATTCATCGCTAGTTGGGTTAAAAGTTGGCCAAATGTTTGGGATTGATCATAAACATCCAGCTACGCGATGGTGTAAGTTCATAATCCGAACGATCAGTAGATGTTGGAAGCATATCGAGAGCGGAGACTTACCCAAGGGGCGATATGATGACTATAGTATTTCAGAAGATCTATCTCGTCATCTGACAGTGAAGATCGTCCAACTAGGGGCCACTTCTTGTTTCCCTGACCGATTGCACTAGATGGTGATTCAGTCGACAAACTTTGGTGATTTAAGCACGGGACATCGCCGGTCTCGATACCTTCGGAATTTTGGCTAACAATTTCGCGTCCTCGATGATTACTACTCTCATTCTTCTGTGCTTGTGGTTCAACCGTGAAGAATGCATCTTGCGGTCCCGGAAGTCTCTCATTATCAACGCCTCCTTGGGGCTGCTCAGTATGACTTATCACCATTGGATTAAGGGGTGAATTGGAAGTTCTTCTTTCGGTAGAAACATCCGTGTTGACGACAAACTAGAGCCGAGGCATTGAGTTAGTTCCTCTTTTTAAAACATCATAATACCAATGAATATATTATCAACATACTTCCAAAGCACGATATCCACGCTTCGCTGAAGCCAATGATGGACTCGAAGAAGCAGAAGCCACTACCGTCCTAGAATTCTTCTCAAGGAAAGACACGCGCGCAATATACTTGCACGCAGCTCCGGAATCAGTGCACCGCCGACATTCTGGTTTTTCTTCGTCGCCTGTCACGTCTTCAGCACAGTGTTTCTCCGGTATTTCCAAACGTTCAATGTCTTATCATTAATGGGGTTAGCTTACACTTGCGGTGTTGTGCGCGACATCGTTCACAGCCAGTTCGAGTACGCCTATACCGACGTTTCGGAGGTTCACGGAGCCCGCCATCTGTGGCAGAAATAATAGACTCCGGCATTATAATAGCCAGTCAATGGACATATAATATATATATCTCTGCTTGCAAATATACCAGACCATATTTTCAAGGCCCGCCGGATTGAGATTATATTGTCGCCCTCGTATGTGGTGTGTTCCAAATTAGGCATCTGGATCCGCACATTCATAAGCTAGATGCGGATCCGACTACCTTTTTTAGCAAGCGGATTATAAGCGGTTCTATTAGCCGCATCAGCCGCACCGGATAGGAGGCCATAACATCTCGTACGGACTGACAACCCCATGCAAATTAAACACCATCGCCCGGATGGATTTTGTCGGGGAAATAGTCCAAATCGGTCCATATACCCTTAAATTGCCTGTGGATGTGCATGATCGTCAGCGGTACGGTGCCGCTGGTTTGCGCGAAGACAATAGGGTTCTAGGTAGTCAATGGCGCTAGCGGTGGCGTGAGTTCTATCCCGGTCCAGTTGCTTCGCGGAATGGGTATGTACGTCACAGCTATCTTTTCGGCGAAGAACGAGGCCTTCTTTCGAAGACTAGGTGCTGAAGAGATGTGTTTACTCCAACTGATCCAGACGCCTAGTCCATGAATTGCCTCGAATTTACCAAGCACAATTCTTATGAATTTCTTCGTAGGTTATCGACTATACCGCTCATAAATCTCTCCCAGACTATCTCACTTCCACGTGTGCAGCACTAGGAAACAGACCCTTTGACACCATCGTCGACTGCGTAGGCAACGAGACGTTATATACCTGTTCTCCCGGATATATACATCGAACCTGAAGGGAAGTATTTGTATATCGAAGCAGGTCCTTTCGGTTCTTTCAAGACCGCCAACTGGTGGCCTGTCATACTTGGAGGAACACCATGCACAAAAGTAACTATTTTGAGCATGCCAAGTGGCGCTTCAGCTAAGGATATCGTAAACTGGTTTGAAAAGGGGTGGGTTAATGAGGTTCCTGTGGACTCTTCGTATGAGATGGATAATGCTCTACAGGTAAACAGGCCTCTTTAAATCCAAGACCGACGGCTATTGCTAACGAGTTTAAAGACCTATGAAAAGTTGTCAACAAATAGAGCTACTAGGAAAATATTTGTGAAGGTGAAATAAGAAGCTTCAATACCATTTGTTTTACTCTAATGATTCTTGTACATTGAGTTAGAATGTCATTACATGGTCAGGATAACGAGGAACATGCAATTGGAGCTTCCTTAGGGCGAATTAGATCCTCGGTCCCTGAGCAGGTATGGTAAAAGGAGGTCAAGACATAACCTTTAGAACTGAGGGATAAAAATTGGTTTGATTTATTTTATACAGATGGCTACATGAATAGAAGGTACCTAACGTTTGTATTGATAGAATTAATTTCTGCATTCATTTAAGGCTCTCAATTTTGCATGTGTTGGAGATGACATGGACCTGGACCCTGGTTGTTCGAAAAGGACCATACATGTAGCTTTTAAAACTTGGAATGTCAACATCTGTATACCCAAGTACTTAGTACACCCAATTGAATAAGAAATGCGAGGAACAATAAGTACACAAGGGTACGTCACTACCTAACCTAACCTACATACAGGCATGTATTTCCGTCACTGGGTGCAAGTGCCATGTTTGCTTCCGGATCCGTGCCGTGTCCGCCTTCCGGCCCTCCGTGACTGTCCCGTCAGACAGTCAGACAGTCAGGTACCGGCTCATTGTGCCTTCCGGGAAGAATCATGAAGGATTCATAACAAATTTCTCCTACTACAAGAAATCCTACCTGTTTAATTCGTTCCCTTTACTTATGCGAGCCTTTATCTAGAATAAAGCTTCCAATTCCCAGTCTATTTAACCTGGCACAGCATTAGGGTCTTGACAAAGACTTGCACCCCTAACCCGTTTTTTAAAATCATAAAACATCCATACATCCATACCCCCCTCCCATACAGCAGTAATTTCTTCGGCTTTATTGGAAACTCAGCCTTTCCATTTCTTTCCCTAAGTACTATCAAGTACCTATACAGGAACCAACCGTCAAGATGGTGCAAGAACTTCTCTCTCCCACCTTGCTGACGATCATGTTCCTAGGCCTCACGGGCCTCTACGGCTTCGTCAAGTTCTCCCACGAGAACGATTACGCCGTACGTATTAGAGCATATTATGAGCCCAATCAATTTCCCTTGACGAAGAAGACTAATTCATACGTACCTATGTACCTATAATAATCGCAGACCGAAGTCAAGTTGGAGAAATCTAGCCACCATCTCTCCGGTGGCTCTGCTCGCACGCTCATCACCTATGCGTACACCGAGTCCCAGATTGCCCGTGAGAACCTGGCCTTCTTCATCGACAATGCTCTGCGTAAGTATCTCCTCCCACAGGCAATGTAGCCAAGTTCAGTATCACCAAGATTTGGCATGTTCAAATCGGACCCTATAACAAAAAAAAGCCTTTCGCCTCCTCGAATACTACTAAACTACGTAGGTTAGGTAGCTTCATCAACATCCCACTAATAACCCTACTTCTCTCACAGATCCCAGCGCGGACTTTATCTTCATCCTCAACGGGCCCAACCACGCCGCCGGCATGATGATCCCCAAGGAGCCAAACGTCCGCGTGGTCTCGCGCCCGCAGGACGACGACCAGTGCTCCAACCTAGGCTCCCACGGCGAGGTGCTCCGCAAGGACGGCCTGTGGAAGAAGTACGAGCGCTTCATCGTGCTCGGCGCCGGCGTCCGAGGCCCGTTTGTGCCGTACTGGAGCGATGTCTGCTGGAGCGATGCCTTTCTGAGCCGCGTCACTGAGGATGTGAAGGTAAGTCCCAATTGTCTACCTACCTAACCTAATATACCTGATATATATATATATATATATAGGAGGTGCTTATCTAGATTAGAGAGAGGTAATGTACTAACGATATTTTCGATAAACTCAGCTCGTAGGAGCGACAGCAAGCTGCCACCCGAAATTCCACATCGAGCCGCTGATCTGGGCGACCGACTCCGCCGGGATGAAGCTGCTCCTCGACCCGCCCGAGGACTCTTCCGCGCCGCACCCCGGCAAGACACCCGTCGCGCTAGGCGGATGCCACAAGGGCAAGGACCACGCCAGCTCGGGCGAAATCGAAGCTACGTCCGTGATCCGGAAGGCGGGCTACGAGGTGGACGCCATGATGGCGGCGTTCCACCAGGCCGGGAACTACAAGGAGGCATGCCTCAAGGGCCCGGTGCCTGCGCACGCAACCGCAGCGGGAAAGCAGTGTTACGGCGCGAGTCGTACCCACCCGTACGAGACCTTGTTCGTCAAAGCGGACGGCGACGACGTCGATGCGGCTACCGTCGCGCGGGTCACGGAGTGGTATAAGCCGCGCGGCGTGAAAGGAAGCTGGGACGCGTGCCGTCGAGGGGGTTAAGAATAGGATGGTTCCGCGAGCAACACAAACACGTATATATTCATGAACTACATCTTAGGGGGTAACCTTAAGTTAGGTACCTACCTGCCACGATTCTGCTTATAAGTCGAAAAGCTACGGTCCAGACCTAGATACCTAGGTACCTAGTCTCGAACGTATGACAATATCACGTAGATACCTGTCATTGTAACACGACTTCTTCGTCTTTTTGATAGCTTAATAGGTATTTAGGTAACATTAGCTATTTTACTACCAGCTGCTTATTTTTCTCGATGCGATGTTGAACATTCGTAAGGAGTTTTTCACTTATATACAATTAATCGGCGGTTTTGAAGTGTGTCTTACAGTAAATGCACAAATCATAGCCGCGACCAATGCTCAAAAAGGTAGAAGCTATGCTTGTATTATACTTAATTTTTCTTAGGTATGAGCATTCGCTGATGATATATCACGCTTGTCATATACATAAAGTTAGGTACCTGGTATCTAGCCTACTATCCATAAACGCTACTGCTAACCGATACTTATGGTACGCGCTTGAACCTATAGCTACTCGAAGGGAGACTCAAATAAACACCTTACATAAACATGTTGAATCCATCTCCCATCCTCCCCGGTTCCCCGGGCGCTGTATAATCCACGCCTCCTACAGCCGTCATGTCCTTTTCGAAGGTATCATGCATCCTAGTAACCTGTTTTAGTTGCTCAAGACCAACCTTGACCCCGTCAAAGGCCGCGAGGCTCTCAGCAACTTTGATGGTATTTTTTATCTGCCGGCCGTTGAGATTGGGTTCGGCGAGTTCTTTGAACCCGGCATCGTCAACGTTGACGCCGCCAGGCACGCGACGGCACAGGTTACGCCAGATCTGTTCGCGCGACTTCATGCTGAGATCCGTGTACCGGATAGGCACGTGAATGCGGCTCTTGAATGCCTCGTCGAATATACTGACGCGGTTTGTGGTGAGGAACAGGATACCTTTATACTGCTCGAACGCCCGCAGAAACACGCCGACCATCGCGTTCCGCAGCACATCGTGGAGCGACCTTTGTTCGAGGAATATATCCGCTTCGTCGATAAGGAGAAGCGCGTTCCATGTCGAGGCGAGGTCCATGATCCGTGATAGGTAACTCTCGAGACATTCGATAGATCTACTCAAGTCACCAGACGAGACCACGTACAGGGGCCGTTTGACAAATTCAGCTACGCACTCAACAGTTAATGTCTTTCCAACACCAGGGGGACCGCTATGTAGACATTATAGTCAGCTATCATTCCTTTTAGGGACCACGACGAAAGTCTTAAATGTGATATTGGCCGAGCTTATATGTTGCAGTAGATATTTTGGAGGGGAATCCTGCGAAGTAATAATGAAAGATGAGCCTGAGCAATACGCAATACGTACTGTAGCACACATACGAGACCCTGTCCCTTGCCCTTCACAATATCGTCGAATGTACTTGGATGCGTAGAAACCAGAGCCTTGACGGTTTTCTTTGTCGCCGGGTCGAGCACAAGATCGTCAAAGCAATGAGTGTTCCACTCAATAGGCCACACATTATCGATCGAGAACTCAAGAAACTTTTTGGACTCAAAGTGATATCCCCGAACTGTGCCGTTGGTAATCAAAGCGTCATCTTCGGATAGCTTATCGAAAGTCATCCTCGTCTCGCGTACGAAATCGACGCTCGGGACCGCTGCCTCGTGGCTGAGCTCTTTAGAGCTCTTGGAGTCCCCCAGTCCAACCACATCAAACACGTCGTTCCCCTCAAACCTGTGGTATGTCTCGCAATCAATCATAATGTGTCCTCTGAGGATGAATTTTCTGTAGCCCCTCTGGGTACTCTTTAATGCAACACCATTATACTATACGAAGTGCTGGCCTATGTACCTCTCGAATTTCCTGCCACGCTTGACTAACTCGGCGCGAACCTTCTCACCATCGTCCAGCAAATCAAGCGGCATGGTAGTGAGCTCTCCCAACTGCCGCGTCCCCACATACTTCATGATGCAGAAAGAGATGTCCCTCGTACCAAGCGTTTTGCCATCAAAGTCGATAAAACTAGCCGAGATATTTAGAAACATCTCCCCGCTTTGTGCACACTTATAGTAGCACGAGTTAACTCGTAACGCACGGTCTTGATTGAGTATGTTGGCGTATATGATCTTGTTCGGCGGGAATAGGGTCCATAGGCTTTCGTAGGAGATGGCTTTGAGAACGGAAATACACTTCTCATAAGCAGAGATGTCATCCACAAAGTGGGAATCGATCCAATACAGCAGCAGTTCCAGTTGTTCATTAGACTCGGCGTCATCCATAAATCGTTTATAGCCCTCCTTCTCTAGTTCCTTTCGGTAGTGGAACAGTGGATAGTATGGAGCTTCGATCTGAACACTATTAATATCTATGTCCGGATAGTCCCCAATAACATCCTTAAGAAGCTTTCGAAGTGGCATGGGGTTCACGTATAGATAACTTGTGTCGGACTCATCGTCGTCTCTATAGTTATTAACGATACAAATGGCAAACCGACGCCACCAGTCCTGCTGCTCAGGCTTCTCGACTTTGTTTTTGACTTTGTTTTTGACTTTGTTTTTGACTTTGTTTTTGACTTCGTCTTCTTTCGGCTCGCAGATATACTCTTCGTCCATTTCATTCCAGCGTCGTTCCAGATGCTTTATTTCACACGTCATAGTCTCATTCCCAGCTGAAGAGGATGAAGAGGATGAAGAGGATAAAGTGGATAAAGTGGAAGAAGTGGAAGAAGAAGATGAGCTCTCCTTCTCAGGGTTGCCGCCGGACTTATTTTTTGAGCGTTTCTTGGAGCCCTTGGACGTTCGCGAAGATGTAGATTTCGCACATGACGCTATCATGCTTTCACCGTCCATGATTACGTATCTACCTACCTAGGTACCTGGTATAGATGAGGCTGTAGAGAGTACTGCGTGGGTGGTCCGAAATTTTAGGTAAGTAGGTACCTTAGGTAATTGAAGACGTGAAGGGTGAGGTATAACCGTAATAAATGATCCTGAAATGTCAAAACTGTTTAAAAGAGATAACTCAACGCATTAATATGTGATGATTCAGTGATATCCCAAGTCAAAGGTCGAAAGCAAGAGAAGTATGCCGATGCTGAAAGAAGTAGGTGCCTTTGCCTTAGCTCATGTATTTTAATAGGCAAGTACTAGTGAATTAGGTATGTCCGTGCAAGGAAAGTTCATACAACTTGATTGGAGTTGGAAAGTATAATATTAGTTCTACTAAATGAAGTTCAGGGGAATAAAATAGGAGGTACCTACCTCTCTACCTTAGGTATCTTACCTAAGTACCTGGTACCTAACCTAACATATAGATACCATGTAGGTACCTAAGGTAAATAGAGTCACAGCCATAAACATTGCTAACATCTTCATCTTCATCTTCACTTCACCTCTTCACAGATACCTGGAAAAGTACCTAAAGACCATGATAAATATATATGTATATAACAGTTATGCAGACAGGAATTACCTGAGGTACCTAGGTATTTAACGAACAACATCACAGAACGCTCGTCTGGTTTGATTTGTATGTTTATATTATCGGTTTGAGCATTGTCTTCACCGCACGCCGACGCCTGCAAAATAGAGCCTCAAAATACACTCACGCGCCTTCCAAAAGTAAAGGCTTCCAAACTCTCCGTGGTATTGATCGTGTCTCCGCAAGTCTCCTCTATGCAACCAGCCATTTGTTATGAAACTAGGGTGCTGTTCGCGTCTAGTGCAGGGACCCGGTAACGCCGCATCCATGGATGTGCTACCCTGCCCCTAGGATGCAGCCTCAATCGATAAATATACCGCATATCCATGACAATCATGCAAGTGCCTCATCTATATGTTCCAAATCGTGACCGCGTCTCATGCAAACCTTTATGAATCAGATACACCGCTATCCATCAACGCCCGCTACCTTGAAGGGTATATGGGAATCGACAAGTAGCTCTTGGACCCTGACACTAACAAACATGAGGTGTGATCTTTACGTCGGAGGGAGAAATTAAAAGGGGGATAGAATATCGTTATTAACCATGCCCGTTTATTTGGCATGCTTTCGGAACGCAAGCAATTCTGAGAGGCTCGGAAGCGGGCACCCGTGTTTCAGGAAATCGTGCTGCAATAGTTCATCCGCCGAAGCACGGCTCTTGACGTCCACACATAAGCAGACAGACAGGAAGGCTTTCAGTTCCTTGCTGAGCTTCTCTGGCTTCTTCAAGCGTGGTGTACCGTTGGTGGCAATGAGGTAGAGAGCCTTTAGCGGCTCTTCGTTAAGATATGGCGGTTCAGACTCAATCATCTCAATTGCCATGATACCTAGTGACCAGATATCAACCTTCGGGCCGTACTCCTTCTGCTTGACAACCTCGGGAGCCATCCAGTAAGGAGTTCCGACCATAGTTGCTCGTTTGGACTTGGTCTCTGTGAGCTTGGCGCAGAAACCGAAATCAGCTAACACTTTGTTAGTATTTTAACAATGAAAACTTATTTGGGAAACTTACTGATCTTCACGTTTCCGCGAGCGTCCAGAAGAACGTTGTCACTCTTGATATCACGGTGGATAATGTTCTGAGAATGCAAATGCTGCAATCCACTACAAGTCTTCACATATTGTTAGCAAACCCAGGGTAATAAACTTGTTTTAAGTACACTTACCTCGAGGCAAATTGTTGAGATCTGTTCCTCAGTAATGACCGGGTTGTTGTCAATGACATCCGTCAGAGCACCACCCTCCATGTACTCCATAACAACCCACAATTCGGCATTGTTGTTTCGTAGGAAGGCGTCGAGGAAGTTGACGATATTTCGGTGTTTGCTGTCCTTCATTACCATAATCTCGTTTACAATTAGCTCCTTACGTGGCTGGTGTGCCAAATCCATCTGCTTAATAGCAACTTGCGCTCTAGCTCCTTGAGAGCGGAGAACCTCTCGAGCAACCCCAGAAACAGCGCCTTCTTTGACCTTTGCCACGTAGACTGAGCCCGAAGCGCCCTGACCAATTTTCTTTTGCTTGGCGTAGGACAGGTTGGGATCGTCCTTGGAGACAACCTCAATCAGCTTTTGCATAACCTCCTTTTCGGACATAGTAGACATGCGAACGTCCTGTTTCCTCTCTGACGGCGAAGGCTTGGCTGTTAACGCAGCTTCCGCAGCCTTAACGCCATCATTTTGCTGGGGTTGACTAGGCTTGGCTGGGACATTTAGGGGTTTAACAGTAGCAGGTAAACGTGCTTGTGCTTGGTTTTGAGCTTGTCCATTCGCTCGTTGCTGTTGACTACCATTGGCATTATTCGGATATCGAGAAGCTGCCGATTGCTGGTCATTTCGTGGCTGAGCACGTTGTGCTTGGCTGGATTGTGAGGTCTGAATGGAGCTCGAGCTTGTTTGAGAAGTTAATCCAGGCCTGTTAGTAGTGGAAGAGGCCGAGGTGCTAGGTGCTGGTGGAGCAGGCCTTTGAGCGCGAAGGCTGCTTGCTTGCTGGTTGGCAGTTTTGGGAGCAGGAGGTGCTGCTCGGGTAGGGTTGTAGCGGTCTGGTGAGCTGGAAGAACCACCACCATATCCGCCAATTTCTTGCTGGGCCATAGGAACCTTCTTCTGCGGGATAGATGCATTATAAGCCTCCAGATCCCGTCGGTTCTGTTCCTCGATCTCGCGCTGCCTCTGAAGCTCAAGCTGCTTCTTGCGCTGCTCTTCGCGCGCCGCATCCTGCGACTGGCCATAACCGCCTGCATTTTGTGTCTGCTGCCACTGCTGGGACATATCCGGAGGATTTGGTCGCATGGGAAGCGAGGTAGGTTGCTGCGACGACACAGAATTGCTGTAGCTGCGCTGGGTAGGCGGCATTGGCCGCGGAGGCGCAACAGAAGCGCCGCCACCGCCGCCGTATCCTAACTGCTTATTCTGTTGACTGCCCGGGGGAGGTGTTGGGGTAAGGCTTGGGAACTGCTGGGGATTCTCCGCTCTCTTAGTGAGATCCGAGTAGAAATCTAAAACCTCGAAAACAGCTTGAGGGTTTCGCTCGTAATCTTCTTTAGTAATCGCGGAAGAATTCAACAATTTCGACCATTCTGGCGGCAATCCTACGAATTGTCCCGTCTGCGGATCGAAGCCAACGTGAACCGCGTGAGAGAAGTTGGTTGGATTGCTCACCCCGCCCATTGTCGGGCATCGGCCATATAAGAGGTCAATCCAATCATAAAGATCATCGTCGCTCTTGACCCTGATATGTAAGGTTCGAATGGTGCCATCATCATCTCCGGGGCTATTGGAACTGCCTTGCGCGTGTCTCTTGATCTCGAATATAGTACCAGCAGCCTCGACTCGGCCAACATTGACAACATCCTTCAGAAAGAGAGTATAAGAAACTTTGCCGCCCTCGGTCTTGTGGAAATCGAGAGCTTCTTTGCGCAGAATAAGGTATTTTTGCTTCCAGGGCTGGATGAAGTTCCTACTCTCTTTAACCTGTGCCCAGCCCTCTTTTATAACGGCGACTCCTCCCATGCCATCTGTCTGGTTCGATCGCTCACGAGCCAATGGTAACGAGATGGTGGAACCCGTATATGTCGAGGTAGCGGTGCGTGTAATAGGCGAAGAAACCACGTTCGTCATGCTTCCCGGATAATTAGTGCTAGGAGTGAGGTTGAGGCGAGGTTGATTGCCCGTTGGTGGTTTTGGAGCGGGGCCGGGGTTCATAAACTGCTGGTTATAAAGTCCACTGCGAATTTCCATGATCAGCTACTGTAGTCCTTTTTTTTTGGTATAGCTACGTATGTGATATATTGAAAGGTATGCTCGTGATAGAGAGATTTATTTGCTATCACCAAGAGCAGGATCAGGCCATGACTGGTTCGCGAATCTGAAACCTCCCTTCTGGCCGTGAAGATGCGCCCGTGAAACAAGCGGTGGTCTTGACCGTATTATCAATTGGGAGGGAAACACGTACCCGTTCGGCGCTGCCATAATGAGCAAGGCTGGGGGATTCAATTATGGTACGGGTTTTCTACGATGTAGAAAAGCCAAATGTCCTCACCTTCAGGGCTTATGAGGAAAGGGCCTAGTTCAGGCGTCTTTGTTCGATCCAAGGCTAAGGCGCCACGTCGGTTAGTCCTAGGTTCAATCCTGGAGACGATCCAACTCAATTTAAAATGACAACGGAGGGGTTCGGCCAACTCACACCGACAGATATCGCAATATGTATTAGTAGAAAAGAGCAATCAGAAATCAAATTCAGCATAGGTGGTATTTTCTTGACTGTTTTCCAGATTAATCGAATAGGTAAGATGATAAACGGGTGAGCAATGGATAGAACTGGGTCGTCTTCCGAATAGGACCTTAACCACCTGAGGAATAGGCAAAAAGGTCTACAAGAAAGACGGCGGATAAGGCCGATCTGTCTATGCGACGATTCGAAGCGAAATCTTGGTCGGCTAGGGAAAAAAAAGAACAATAGACGAGCGGATCGACTTCACATCCGAAACCCAAGCATTAATGCCGTGAAGATTCGTCGGAGTCCATCAGTTGGCTAGCTGGTACCTCGCGTATCGACGTTTCTGCTTGTTCGTCGAGAGGGACTAAACAAATAACGTAGTAAAACGTACAAGTTAGTCAACTGTACTCGACCGTTCAAATGTCCCTAATATAAGGAATTTTGTCTAGGTTGTGTGGGTGTGGGAAAAAATAAATAAAAAGTAACGTTTTGGCCGGGGAAGGTGAAAAGTAAGACATGGGATGTCTAGTCAGCAAAGGAGAAAGGGGTTCATGTTGGAGGGGGGGCTTTCAACTTTAGGTACCGCTATATGAAGGAATGATTGATTGATTGGCGTTGGAAGGGTCTCCCCTAAAACCACAGGGGACTTAGAAGTATAGTGTACATCCGATAATGTCTGATATGTCATTTCATAAGGAGCAGACTGCGTTTATTTCAGCAAAGCGGATACCTTTAACATGTACTCAGATACAAGGGGGTCATGGCCTTGATGCCCGTTTCAATGATATTGAAGACGCTAATAAACGCTAGTTAAACGAATGACGATCCTCTGGGAAATTCCCTGAATTACCTCCTAGATGTACCTGACCTAAGGCATCTAACCTAGGTACCTAAGGTTAGGTACGATACCTAGCCTTGACTTAAGTGCATGATAGCCTTACCTCACCTCTTTAATGCGGTTCAAGGTATGATTTTTAACCGACTTACCAGCTTACCTATCCCAACTTTCCTCTTATACCTTATATATCTAGGTAGATATATTAACTGAACCTATATGTGCGCAAATACTGACTACCTCCTTATACCTACCTAACGTATAGGTATTTGCCACATTGGTTCAATAAAATATCATTTAAATTTTGAATCAAGTAATTCCCAGGTTCTATTTCTTGGCGGCAATCCGAAGTCCCTCGAAGCTAAGATGGAATTATTCATGTCGTTGTTCCATTCAGGGTCACAATACGTATTAGTTTATCCCATCTCGACAGCCAAAATGCTACCCTTAAAGAACAGCAGCCAATAACCTGCTATGCCCTGCGGCTCATCTCCGCCTAAAAAGGCCTTATCGCCTGCCGGATCCTGATTCTGACGAACTATATCGATATGTCAATTATAGCAATTTCTGCTGGCTGACGGCATACTCTCTATATAGAACCAACGAAAGAACGTCTAAGCAAGCAATAGATAAAAGGAGGCTTATTCCCATTAACTACTACTAACCTAGGCCATTCTTGCTCACCCAAATAATACGGTGTAATAAATCGCGATCCACTAATACTGCACGTATTAGTCCCTATAGCCCGTCTAGACTATAGATGAAGGGAGGTATTGGTCAGCCGAACAGGAAATAATAGAAGAGGCGACCAAAGCTTACTTACCGGATTCAATATCTATTCCCTTCGAGTTGTTACCGCCGGGGATGATAGGTACAGACAGCTCTATGGGTTAAGCAGAACAGGCTTAGATTCCCCTCGCCTATGCAAGCACGTGCGTGGAGGAGTGCAACTCTAGCAACGCAAGGGTTTCCGCAAACATTTTTGAACTATTTTTCCTTCTTCTTTTCTTTTCTTTCCGAGACGATAATACCTAGTAAAGTGAAAGCGTTGCCGCCAAAGCGTCGAAACCTCAGCTGATTCTCGGCGATCGTAACCGCGCTTTGGGGGAGGAAGGGTTCCGCTGCAGCGAATCAGCGGCTTCGCCTTTTGGGAATCTTGCCGGAAGTATGTATTGTACAATACAGAAAGAGGTAGTGTATCTGAGAATGGGACAAGAGACACATTACGCTACTACTATGCACACGACACTACCCTTCTTGCATCTGTTTCGCTAATATGCGGATCTGTCGCAGAAATGCTAGTGCTTGGCATGTCCGTCGAACCACACACCCCTTGCTTTAGCTCGCTGCGCGTAATTGGTTCCAAGCTAAACGTGGTTTGTCAAGTTGGAATAACTAACTAGGTACCATAGCAGCAGTAGGGGTATTTATAAAACCATTCTATCTCTCACAATCGTTACGTAAGGAAGGGGTACGTTCTATTTTTTAGAACCGTTGTAAATTTCAAAAATTGAACGCCTTTAGTGGTCCTCGAACCTAGGCCTTGTATTTTTTATTTTATTTTATTTTATTTTATTTTATTTTATTTTATTTTATTTTATTTTATTTTATTTTATTTTATTTTACGAATTATTACAATTTTTTTTGTTTACGATTACGAAGCAGAGTCATGTCAACTAGACTATCCAATGATTACTAATACGAAAGTCTATTTGTTATTTGCTTATATAACCTTTACGTTCTCGATTTTTAACCGAGCTCACCCCACTTAGCTAGAATGGTTTTAGCCGCATAGAACTAGTCCACTTTTGGAACCATACCAACCAATAGAACGGTTTTAAGCTTTTAGAACGGTCCTTTTTTGAAAAAAAAGTATAAAAAGGATGTACCTTCCACAACCTGAAATTTCAGCCAATCAGAGGCCTCAAAACTAACAAACGTTCTACCCCACCCAACCATTCTACGGATAGAACCATTCTACAAAACCCGCCTCTGCCGCTATGGTACCTAACAGGTAACTATCACAAACCTTTCTTATCCAGCAGGCGGTTATTCATTGTAATGTTGCTGAAAATTGAAAATTCATCGCAATCATTATTCTCCATACCTATTCTCAATCCATCATAGTCGAAGTCGCCGTGGTAAGATATAATTATAGATTTCTGACGCACTACGGTTATACTAGTGGTTCGTAAACTTGGTCCCAAACAGAAACTCGGTTTTGTTTAGCCCCCTGTTAGTCTGGCGGGAACCCGCACGTGGCCAAGATCTACAGTTGAAACTGCATCTGAGAACGAGAATCGGTAACAAGCCTTTCTTTTTAAGATCCATCTTCTATCTGGCTTCTATCTGACCCTACTTGTAACTAAGGCCTCCTACTCGTTTTACCTCTTTAACGGGTTGGTATTTTGGAGCATCTAATATGTACGAGCCACATTAACGACTAGCTACTTCGATCTCCTGTCCTTCGAAGGCGGGTAATTCGGCCTGGACATCTTTCCACTCTTTGCTGCCGTCAACTACGGACTGAATCGCAGCAATGATCTTGTCCTCGTCCGCACGGACTTGCTTAGTTGAGTCACGGTCCCGAAGAGTGATTGTGCTGTCTTGAACGGTCTGGAAATCCACCGTGATACCAAGGGGTGTGCCGAGCTCATCGTTACGGCTGTATCTCTTTCCGATCGTCGCAGAAGAATCGTCAATGCGGCTAGAGATTCCAAGTTTCCTAAGCCGTTGCGACAGCTTATAGCAAATTGGCTTGAACTGTTCGTTCGATGACAGTGGAACAATCAGTACCTTTGTGGGAGCCACCGTTGGTGGGAACGACAGAACCTAGATAGAATTAGTATTATCCATTGCTTGTTGCTAGGAAGGGGAGTGAACGTACGCCACGCGCTTCATCGCCGCCCTCGCTTGCTCGAGTCCAGAAATTGTGTTCCATAAGGGCGTAAAGTATCCTGCCAATACCGAAAGAAGGTTCGATGACGTTAGGTGTATATTCCCTAACGTGCTCAGTTCTTGTGCGTCGCTCGATGGTGATAAGATCTTTCGGAATCTCGACCTTTCCGTCGCCGACACCAGCAACTTCTACAGTAATGCTTCCCTTTTCGTTCAGGTCCTTTGCGAGTGCTTCTCGTTGTTCTTGCGTAGTCGCCAGAACAGCAGCCTCCACCGTTTTGCCATCTTTCTTGAAATGGGGACCGAATTTTTTCTTGTTCAACTCAACCTCCCATTCCTCGACAACCAGCGGCTCAGCTCGTTGCTCGCGAACAATAAGGGGCGCACCGGTCCTCTTGGCGTGGACGCTTAGATCATAGGCACTACGGTCTGCACATCCAACGCATTCCACCCAGCCGTAAGAAGTGAGTAGTTCAGCATCCCAGCAGTCGGCAGCGTAGTGAGCCATCTCATTCGCCATATGCTGTCTAAAACGAATCTTAGATTGATCAACACCAATCTTCTTGAGGAACAGGTGAATTCGGGCCATGAAGTAACCAAGAGTCTCGTTGTCAACAATGCCATCAGCCACCGCCTGGCCAATGGTTATCTTTTCAACGTGCGTTTTACCAGATAGCTGAGTTGTGCGGTTTAGAAGTACTAGTTCGATATCTTTAACTTCTTGGAAACGTGGGTGCTTCTTTCCGCCCTCGGGATCGACGAAGTGCTCGATTTCCGCCATTAGGAACTCTCGCACACGGAGTAATCCAGCTCGAGGCGAGATTTCGTTTCGGTAAGAACGGCCAATGGACGCTGACGCAAATGGTACCTGTCCCTGGTTGAATTCTAACAATTTGGAGAAGTTCAAGAACTGCCCCTGTGCCGTTTCTGGCCTTAGGTAACCGGGAAGATTGCTGCTAGGACCGATGGCTGTCTGGAACATCAAGTTGAATGCAACAGGTGGCGACGGTTGGACACCAGTGGCTGGGTTTTTGAGATCATATTTCTTGATCAGCTCGCCGAGCTCCTCGCCATTGTAGTTGTCGATCTTGGCCAATATTTCCTCGTACTCCTGAACCACAGCATCATCCAGCTTGACGGCTTCTTGCACGCCCTTTGCCTTTCGCTTCTTCTTCTTGGGGTCTTCTTCCTTTTCCTCGACCTTCTGGCCGCGAGCCTCTTTATCTCCCTTTAGCCGGTTTTCAAGTATTTCCTCGACAAAGTGGTCGGCTCGGATGATCTCGCCATTCTTCGGGTCTTTACACATCCAATCGGCAAACTTATCCACGTGGCCACTTGTTTTCAGAACCTCATGCGGAGTCAGCACAGAGCAGTCAACTTCCAGCATGTCTTCCTCAAGTACGAAGTGCTTCCTCCACACGTCAATGATGTTTGCCTGGAGACTACAACCGGGCGGACCATAATCGTAGAGACCAGCAACACCCCCATAGATCTCAAACGCCGGGGTATAGAACATTCGTCGTCGAAGCATTGAGTCCAGGGCAGGACGATCCAAGGGTTGCCCCTTGAGGGTAGTAGCAGTCGTCGTCATTTTTGCGTCGTCGTGAGGGTATAAGGTCAGCTGCGAGGTAGCGAAGCCTCTTGAGTTAGAATTTGCAGTTTGAACTGAATGCCTATAAGCGCTACTGATAAGTGTAGTACCTAAAAATGGCCTTGCGACAATTCCAACCGCCTTGGAAGACCACCGAGGAGCGAATCGACAGGGAATTGCGGGGACCAAGCTCGACGCAGATGTTCCAATAGCGCAAACTGCCCGGAGCATGAATTTGACAAGGAAAAAAAAAAGGGTATGTGACTCCAAATTTTGTAGGTGGGTGCTCTACGGCAGGTCCTAGTTACAAGTAACTTATGGACTTACAACTTACAAGCTTGGAATTGAGTCACAACCAGGAATGTGGCCGATAATTTTCATTTGCTAGTATCAAAAAACTTACATAGTACAAATTCTACCCCTCCATCGGCCCCTCCATGAGAATCACCCCGGTTAAGGCCTAAAAGCAGAGACAGGCTTACAGGCTTACAGATAAAGGCCCCACTTTAATTTGAGATCCACTAAAAATTTTAGATTGCTACATAGTAGAAGAAGTCTTCGACTCTTCGACTTTTCGACTTTTCGACTTTTCGTGAACTTTCAATTATTATCCAATAAGCTTTCCGATTGTTAGAATATCGGCGTCCAAGGACCTTGACGGTTCAATTCGATCTATCTTCCGACATTCTCTCACCCTGGCCTCGTTCAGGCTGACAGCACAATGGGACCGCAACGATCTACTTCGCTGTCTAACAGGACAGGAAACAAGCTTTACCGCCAATCACTGTATGTCAAGCAGAAAAGAGAGCGTGAAAAGGAAAAGCGCGAAGCTCGATTCCGGAGGAAGAAGGAAGAAGATAAAGAGCCCGAATTAAGGGCTCAGAGGGTTGCGCAAAACCAGCCATCGACCATTGACCGAAAACGAGTCTGGGACGACGTGGACGACGATGGGCTAGGCGCAAGCGTTGATATGGAGCAATTGCTCAAGAAGCGCCGTTTACAACAAGAGGAGGCCGAAGAAAGACTAGCTGCGGGTCTAGATGAAGCGTCTGATCCTGAAAAGGACGACGATAATGACGATGAAGATAGTATGTTAGGTTCGGACGACGACGATGAAGAAGAATCCGATGAGGAAGCAGCGGCGAAGGCTCGCGCTAAGCAGGTCATTCGAGATGATAGTCTTGCCCCCTCAACCACTTCAACGAATCTTGACCTTACGCCGGAATCATTGGTGTCTAAATTCCCGTCGCTCTTCTCTGACGATGTGCCCGCGGAACCTAAAGTCCTGGTTACCACCACTCTCAATTCGACTCTACACGATCAAGCGAGACTACTTTGCACATTATTTCCTCATAGTACGTATATACCGCGGTCGGCGCACAAGTACGGCCATAAGTATAGCGTGAGGGAGATTTGTAAATTTGCAGGGAATAGGGGTTTTAACTCTGTTATGATTCTCAGGGAGGATTTGAAAAAACCGATAGGCTTGGACATTATTCACCTACCGTCGGGACCGACATTTCACTTCAGTATCTCAAACTGGGTCGAAGGGAAGAAGCTACCTGGCCACGGTAACCCGACAAATCACTATCCAGAACTTCTACTCAACAATTTCAAGACGCCACTAGGTGTCCTCACCGCGCGGCTCTTCCAGTCGCTTTGGCCCAAGACACCCGAGCTACAAGGACGCCAAGTGGTTACTTTACACAACCAGCGTGATTATATCTTCTTGCGCAGGCATAGATACATCTTTCGAGATAAGAGGGCGACGGAGAAGAGTGTGGTTGGCGCCGACGGGAAAGAGTTGAAAGGAGTGGAAAATATTCGAACAGGTCAGTCAACTAACTACATATATTGCTTAGTTACTACATCTTTATACCTGGTGACTAATTTCTCGCTTTTTTATAGGTCTTCAAGAACTAGGTCCGAGAGCAACCCTTAAGCTTAGGCGTATAGATAAGGGAATCGGCCGGGCAGGGAGCGAAGGAGATGACGCTATACAATGGGAATGGAAGGCGAAGATGGAAAAGCAACGAACTAGATTTAACCTCTAAGTCCCTCTCGTCAGGCTTATTACTTGGTTGTTGTCGAATGCAAGCATAAGCCATGAGAGGTAATTTAATATACCCATGCATCCGCTCACATTTAAGAGAATTGGTGCTCTTACATGTAACAATTATATGTCGGTATCCGGCATCTAGCATTTGGCATCTGAGATGAGATTAGGATGTAGGTACTTAGGTACATGTACCTGGTGTTCAGCAGGGCAGGGTTGCCACTTGGCTATCTCACATTTGTGGCTTGTACCTAGGATAGGCTAGCTGACCAGGGCCACTTATCTTATTAACTTACCTCCAGTCCCCTGCTAATGTTCCCTCATGACATCTGCGGATGACCTACTCTACCATACCCTACCATACTCTACTCTACCATTTCACCTCCAATTCATCTATCGCACCTTATTGCAAGTGTCATCATTACTACGTATTCGACAGCAATGTGAACTGTAGATACGATCTCTAAGGTAGCACCTTTACTACCTACATTTACTCCGTCTTAGCCGTTGTTTGTTTGCTTTTTAGAAGTCTTAGGTGTAAATCATAGTCGTATTGCGCGCGTACTACAGCGACACCAACGTCTGACTCGTTATGGACCGGCTTCGTGCATTTTTCCGGAAAAGAGAAGATGAACAGGAGTACCAACCTTTGAACGATGAATCACAATCACTCCAAGAGCCTCCCGAGCACACCGAACACACTGAGAGCGATGTTATCCCTTTCTCGTGGGTTGAGTATAGCATCTTCGGATTGCTGGGTGTCGCGATGCTATGGGCTTGGTATGTAATGCCCTTATACGGGATCCTCTCTTAATACGAAGATGACAATGCCTAATAGAGAACTTGGAAAAAGGAACATGTTTCTTGCCGCAGCACCCTACTTTCAGCTCCGCTTCCAAGATGACGACTGGATTCTCGACAACTTCCAATCGGCGATTATATCTGTGTCGGCATTAGGAAATTTGGGGTCGATGGTCGTATTAACAAATATACAATACACGGCGTCTTATCCCTTCCGAATTAACCTAGCTCTGTACATCAACGTCGTCATATTCAGTTTACTAACGGCCTCGACTGCGACGTTCCTCGATTCTTCACCATCAACGTATCTTGTATTTTTATTGGTAATGGTAGCACTCACGGCATCGGCGGCAGGACTCATACAGAATGGCGCATTTGCGTTTGCTGCAAGCTTTGGGAGACCTGAATACATGCAAGCGATCATGGCTGGACAGGGCGTAGCAGGTGTGCTCCCGTCGCTTGTTCAAGTCATTTCGGTTCTTGTTGCACCACCAGCAGATACATCTTCCAGAGCCCGAGAAGAAGCTTCCACGGGAAATGGAAAAGCGGCATTTATCTACTTTCTTACCGCGGTAATTGTATCCATCGTAGCGCTCGTGGCTTTCATACCGCTAGTTAACCGCCATAACCGTATTATCGAGAATCGGATGATGGAGCAGATGGCCACGTCGGTGACGAGCATCGAGTCCGCCGAACGTGCAGCGCGGAAAGTCGTCAGCATGCCGAAGCTGTTCAAAAAGCTCCACTGGCTCGCAGGCGGAGTCTTCATGTGCTTCGCCGTCGCCATGTTCTTCCCCGTGTTCACACCTAAGATTTTGTCTGTGACACCGCCTGATGAAGCGAGCCTATTACTACAGCCTGCCGCATTCATCCCCCTAGGTTTCTTCTTCTGGAACCTTGGCGACCTTGGAGGGAGAACCAGTTCGCTTTTCCTGCCACTCCGAGATCGGCCAGCATTGTTATTTGTAGTGAGCATTGCGCGGTTGCTATTCCTTCCACTTTATGCTCTATGCAACCTGCACGGTAAAGGGGCTGTTATTAATAGCGACTTATTTTACCTCCTATTAGTGCAGTTCCCGTTCGGTTTCACCACCGGTTGGCTTGGATCAAATTGCATGATGGCGGCCGGTGAATGGGTTGAGGAAGGAGAACGAGAGGCTTCCGGAGGGTTCATGGGATTGTCTCTTGTGGCTGGGTTAGCATTTGGTAGTCTGCTGAGTTTTACTGCCGCAGGAATATGACGGGTGGCCAAACCGGCCAAACACCATGAATAATAACACCTCAAACGATATAGAGAGAAAGGATCATATTATCATATTAGGCGTTTTATACATACCTAGGTAGGTATTCAGACATGATGATGTACAATATGGGATAGTTGGTTACCAATAGATGTTAGACTAGAATCGATCTTACCTCAGTTTTGGGTATTAGTATTATTACCTAGCTGACGACGGCAGCTCATGACAATGACAAGTCATGGATTGTACCCTGTCCAGCCTGTGTCCCTAGCGAACGCCTTTCCAGGTTGGTCATAGGCAGATACCCGAGTGGGTGGATATTAGATCGCCGTGCATGTGCAAATGGACGAATAAACGGGCCAGGCATGATCCCTCTCGAAGATCCATTTTATCGTTTGTTTGGTATTGGGTACCTTAGGAACCATGCTTAGCTGGATAGGACTGGCAGAAATGGCTAACCTCGCCTTGCCTTGCTAAACTATTTACAGGCTTTAATTTAATCTCGATCATGTCGGTCACACGGAACATACCTTACCTGCACCCATTCCTGCAACCTATAGTTGCCTAGGTAAGTATCTCTGATTCTCTGCGCTTCATCTGCAAGTCTATATTACATAGTACCTACATTGGGTACATACAAATCCCCATAGCCCATATGTAAGGTATATTATGTATACCTAATATTATACATAATACTATGTAATAGCCCATTACAAAATATTGTGGTTTTCCTATTCGACCGGCTTTGCGAACCGCCGGCCTCTCCCCCTCTTCCCTCTACTACGGTGCTATATTACAAGGTAGTAGCATGTACCATAACCTGTACTAAATTTATCCTTTACCTGATTTTTCTTAGTATACATTTTTAGTTCAAGGAGGGAGGGCGTCGTCTCTCTACAATAGTACTACTACTATGTACGTACTAACCTGGAACTGCGCCACCTATGGCTCCAGCTCGGTTGCCCGCGGCCGCACCTGGGCAACCATACCGGCCCATACCGGCCTGTTTTATTTTTCTTTTTTTGTGAAGTCCCCAAAGTTCTTTTCTCCCCCCCCCCTAAACTATCTATTCCCCAGCGGCAGTTTTGGAGCTTAACGTCATAATAAAATGGAGTCTAGTTCCAGATCTAGTTCTCCATTCCCCTTTTCCGTGTTCGTCTCGATCGAGGGTCTTTAGGTCGGTTTCTTCTTCCTCTTTTCTCTCTCTTCACTACTTGGAAAGACCTAATCGTATAAGTTTCTATAATTCTACTTATCCCTGTTTTCTGACTTAGTCACTAATATCATGTTTCCTTGTCACTCATGAGTCTTTCGTTCAACTCTATCTAATCATTCAACTACTACCTCGTACCCAACTACCTCATAAGGGATTGGTCAGGCGTTATCAATAAGGGGGGGTCGTTTTCATCTCAACTTGAGAGTTTAATATTTCCCTGAGGTTTCCCCCGTACTGGACAAAGAGAACCGGTCTAGTCATTGTTACAATCTCTTATTATAAATTTCCTAGATTCGCTTCTTCTCGGCCTCGGTCTCGTCAAACTCTTTCCGTTGTCTTTCTACACTAGCTTTAGATCAAGAAGTTCATCATGAAGCCCCTAAAAGACGTCTGGGCTGAGCTCTCCAAACCTCTCCCCGCAGGATCGGGCGCCAAACACATCGGACCTGCCCTTACACCCAAAGAGCTATATGAGTTGAGCTATATCCTTCACCGGTCTGAATTCACTCACCTCGCCGAAGGCCGTGCCAATGCCGTCTTCAGCATTAAAGAACCAAAGGACCCAAAAGTCCCCTCGGGGTTCTTTCGAGAAACCTTATTGCGTGTGCCCAAAGCCACCCCCGACGTCACGCCGTGCGACTATGAAGACCTCCAGGACTTTCAAGAGAAATTCGTCGACGTTCACGTCGGACGGCAGCATATCGTCCCCCAGATCCTCATCCAAATCCCCCAAGCTGTAGCAGATGCTCTTAACTTCAAGCGTGACAACGCCCTCCGAGCTAAGGGCGTTAGGGGCGACCAGAGCACCATCCAAGCTGGATATGCCATGTTGGTGGAGGACATGGGCCCATCTCCGGATTACATAGCTCTGGAGTTCAAGCCGAAGTGGCTGGCCCAAGCTCCCATGGCCCCCAAAGACGCATCCCGCTGTCGAACCTGCGCGAGGGAGGCTCTGCGCAACGGGAAATTGCGGAAACGGGGATATAAGATATCCACCCCGGTGTGCCCCCTCGGCCTGCTCCACGAGAACCACGCGGTGGTGATGAGCACGATCGACCGGCTGGCGCCCACCTGGAGCGAGCGGGACCGGGCGCGCCTCGCCTCGGCGCTACGCTCGAGCGGCGTCCTCGAGCGGCTGCGGGATCTGCAAGAATCGGGGGACTCGGGGGACGCTCTATTCACGCGGCCGTCGGACGCGAGCTTCGGCTTGTCGATGACGCTGCGGGACTGCTCGTGCTTCGTCCGGATGCCCGTGGTCGACGACGGCAACGACGACGAGGACGACAAGAAACCACCCGTGGTCATCAAGCTCGCCGACGTCGACAAGAAGAACTGGTTCCAGAAGCAGGCGTACTGGCAGCAGCGCCACGACGACCTCGTCGCCGGCGGCTGGTACCACGGCTCGGAGAGCCCGCCCGTCGAGACCGCGTGCGTCCTAAGGCTCGATTACTGTCTCAAGCGGGGTCTCGAAATCCCCCCCGCGTTCCGCGCGAGGCTGAAGCGTTGAAAAGCTTTTTTTTTGGCTTTTTTGGCCTTTTTTCTTTTTGGGAAGTTAAGGTGTGGTTACGCCGCATTTTGGAGAGTTTCCATATACGTCTTGGGGGCTTTTGTTATTGTTTCTCCCTTCCTCTTCTATGCGACGTCTTACGTTTATGGAAAGATGACAATCAAATACTACGAGTCATCAAATCATACAGGGGCCAAATGGAAAAGGGGGAGGGGGGCTTGGGGGCACATCTGGTTGGGTGGGTGACACGCCGCTTGTTACACACGATTATTATAGATAGGTTTTTGGTCGCAAGGCCACGAGTTGGGGGGAAGTGCTATTGCTTTTCTTTTAGCATTTCTCTTTTTATTGATGCATTCATTAGGTAGGCTCTGCCTATTGCTCGAATGTATGTGGCCGTACATATATATATAACAAGGGGCCTTAAGCAAAACGGGTAAAAGTAAAGTAATATAATACACGATATAATATGACATCTATCCTGTATATAATCATTGCCTTAGGTAACTAATGACTATACGATGTGTCGCTTATAACAAAAGGGATAACTAATGATTTAATGTTTTGGATTATATACACTATTGGATTTTGTCTCACTATACTCCTTACATTACCCTAGGTACCTTTCTTGCGGGTTGGTTCGGACACCCGCCTACCCGTAATAAGACTTACAGGTAGGTATAGAAACGATAGGTTAGTACCTAAGCATCTCGACCGTTATAGCTGATAGGTATAAGAATGACTATAATATCAGAATTTTAGTTTGGACATGAAAAGTGCATACCATATTTCCTTAATAAGAGGACGGGTGAGTACGGAAATAAAAATGCAAACGACGGACTTAGGTAGATGGAATTGGATCTACCTACCTAATAGGTATAATCCGGGTAGATGGAGAAACGGATAGCTAGGATCTAATTAACCTGTTAAACAGCTGGAAGCTGCGGGCGGCGTCAAGTCTAGACCCGAACTCTAGACTGCCCTTAGGTCCCTTGCCCTAAGTGGTAAAGTTTCTAGTGTAACTGCTCGCGTGCTCCCTCCCTCCCGGACCTCTTGACATGACTGACATGACAAGCGCAGGTAGGAGCAAGGGCAGCTACCTACCTACCTGTAACATTATAAGGAATAGCTACCAAGCAGCCAAGGTACCTAGTAGTTATGCACTTGGTGGCGGTAGGTGGCGGTACCTAGTGTCTCAGGGTACGGTTAATGCAACCGCGCCGTTGTCAGTCGTAACCACCAGTTGGCAGGCACACGGACCACCTGAGCATGTGCACATGGCCCAGATGCATTACAACAGATGCATTGCATACCTGTATTGTACAGCAAAATTGCATTACAACATAGCATAGTGTATGCAGCATTTCCTCATCTGCCCAAGTGGCCAAGCAAAATACCCAGACAGCCAGACAGGAAAACCAGTAACCTTGATGATAACCCAGTGATAACCCCAGTGAATCGGTTGGCTGAGCTTGGCTTAGGCAGTTGCAGACGAGCATAAACTGCTCTCGGATAGCGCGTTTTCTCCGCAGGACCCGTATTATTTTCTTCGGGAACCAACCAGCACCTGGATGCAGCTCCGTCAGGCACGAATAACTGAATACGTACCTGGAAGGAGAAATAAAAAAAAGAAATAAAAAAAGAGGGAAAAAAATTATTCGCGCTAGGTATCTCATTTGCTCCATTCCCGATCATCCATCATTCATAAAGCTTGCATCGGGTCGCAGCGCATAGCGTCATATTCCTGCATAAATCCCTTGAAAAGGCAAGAAAAAAAGAGGAAAAAAAAAAAAAAGAAACCCTACGCGTTACGAATCTTCCAATTATTTCCAATCCATCTACTATGTAATCAATCATACAGGATCTCCATTCCTACAATCTCCATACACCCTAACACCTAGGCAATTCCGTAAAGAACTTAACCTAAGCTCCAACTACCCTTTCAACTACCTAGGTACCCTTCCAATCCACTCAGCATCATCCTATCATACGATAACATCTACCCTGCTGCTGCTGCCGCCTTACAATCGCCTATTCCCGGTAATCCGTTTAAAACTTCTACCGCACAAGATCAGCCATTGTTCATTGTCTCTCTTTTTTTAATTGTGGTCCGATCAACTAAATAGTTAAACTCTCCCCGGCCGGCCGCCACCACGACCGACACACCGACTTGCATCATATTTTAGTCCCATCCTAACCCAACACCGCTTCGTCTCATCTCCCCCTGTAGCCCTTGCTATCGAACCTTACGCCCGACCGCCTTCTACCCGTAACCTGCTACGATGCGAACCTACTGCTAGATGCTTCTTCACTCGCCATGGCCTTCAACTTCAACTGGTCGCCGCTCACCGCCGACGCGGAGTTCTACAAGCGAGCCCAGGAGCTCCTCACGGACGCACTCAATAAATCTCCGAAGCCTCCCATAATCGTCGATGACATCCTCGTTACCGAGTTCAATCTCGGGTCCGTACCGCCGGATCTGGAGATACTGGAGATTGGGGACTTGGCTGAGGATAGGTTTCGCGGCATCTTCAAGATGTGTTATTCGGGTGATGCTTTCTTAACATTACGGACAAGAGTTCAAGTAGGTTCTTTTTTAAGTTCTTTTTTTTTCTTGAAAAATATTTCGTTGCAGTTGCTATATCGTGGAGAATGAGGGGTTAGGCAAACGAAGTCGTTAATAGGTCCCACTCACGCTCTTGGAGTTTTTTTTTTTTTTTTATACTTCGATTTTTATGTCAAAGCTTCGTCAAGGCGTAGCAAAGCTCTTCCCAAAGCTTGTTACGTCGATGGCTTAAAGCTTGTTCATAAAGTAAAGTTGCTTTCAAAGTTACACAAACATTTTTATACACACACACACACACACACATTTTCCCTCCCAACTTTCAAAAGCTTCCTACCTCCCTTTCCCATTGTTTGAAACTACGCGGAAGTAAAGACCCTTCCACTTTTTTTTTTTTCCTTTCCTTTTCTTTCGCGTCTGTGGAGCCTCGTACAGGATATTGCATGAAATCTTTGTAATTAAGGGTACCAGGGGTTTATGTCGTTTTCTTCGGAGAATTTTCTTGAGCTTCCCCAATTACCCAAGCCTTAGGGCTCCGTGCGTCATAAACATTCGACGTAACAAGCATAAAAACATCATAAGCATAGCATTAAGCATAGCATTAAGATTAAGCATAAGATGGCTAATATCACAAACAGGCAAATCCTTTGAATACGTATCTCTCAGCCAAGCCGACCTTCACGTCGCCGCAACCCTTAGCGGCTGCGTCAAGTCTGACGATACCTTTATCTATTACTTTATCTGAGATTAAGCTATCTGCTTTTATTATTTTGGTTTTTTCGAAGCAAAAAGGTCTTACCTTAGTCTTCCGAAATGACCCTCTCGAATCACTCAAGGTCTCTTCGACCTTTGACTCAATCCAATTCGTTCGAGACTACCTTCAGAGAACCATTGAAGGGAAGTTGAGAACTTTGATGATGGATGAGTTGCCAGCTATCATTCATAAGCTCTCACTACGGCTTTGGTGCCCCGACCAATTGCCGAGAGAAGAGGTCGTGCCGAAAGAAGAGGCCGAAGATGAAGCTGTCATTGACCCCTTTACCAATTTGCCTGCGGAGCCAGTTGACTCAAATGGACACGTGCTTGATCCTAGTGAGATTGCGTCGATATCTATGGACGGTGGTCCAGAAATGCAATCGCTCTTCTCCCAGAAGAACTTGTTGAGATTAGCAGCTCTTACCGACTCCCATCGGACATTGTCTCTTTTCACACCTGGAATTCGTGATGCGTTATTCAGAGCTTGGGCTGGGTCGATGGACCGCAGTGAAACCGGTTACTCGACACCGAACCCCACGATGCCTAGTCTAATGCGAACACAATCCGTGCAAGGAAGTAGCACAACTTACACGTTTACTGATTCAAGCAGCGTGGATCAAGGCAGCTTACCTTCCCGACCATCGTTGACCAGCCTCCACTCGGCCACCACCGGGTTGGCTCTTGGCGCTGGGCGACATTCAAGAAGCTCACGCAAGAAAAAGACTCGTGTGGTTAATTTGCGCCGCAATAGAACAGGGGATGAAGCGAGTACTGAGGGCAGTGTGTCCCTCTCGTCGGATACTACGTCGGTCGCTGGTCCATTCTCCGAGCCAATCCTTCCGAGTTCAATACCAGAAGAGACCGAGGAAGAGCCAGCAGATGAGGAGCCATTTTCAGGTAACGTGCGATTCAGATCCGAGAAGGAATTACCATCTCGTCCGCCTTTGAGTATGGATATGTTTAAGGATCCAGCTGCCACTGAGGACGTTTCCGTAGAGGCGGCAGAGAACGAGTCAGTAGAGAACAATGCAAGCACTACTCCAGTTCGGCGCCAGGAAAAGATTCTAGAGGCCCTCGCTTCGTCTTCTAGGATCCCGTTTAATATTGACCGACGTCGGCCCATGAGTGCCGACTCGTCATCAGTGATCCTCGAACAGGCTTGGATTATGAAAATGGCAGGCGAGATCGCGCGTCGCGTGTACGACGAGAAACAACGTAACGAGAACTTTTGGGCGGAGCGAGAAGACACTCCACCTCCCGCATACCAAGCGACACAATAAAGTTGTCGCATTAGAGAAACCTTCCATCGCAATCATTTTTGAGAGAGAATTTTTCGTTTGTCTATACACAACCGCAGTTAGACTGTAAATACGGCATATGGCGTTACGACAAGGCATTGCGGCAGGGAAAGCCCTGGCGGTTGGAGATATCCGAATGTCCTAATGTTTATTCTGGGCGGCGGTTTTTGCAGCAGAGGCGTTTTTAGGCGAACGGGTCTACAAAAAAAGAACTTTTGATGGGATATTGGTTAACACTCAAGACTTTTGCTTTTTGAAGAAAAGATTGTCTTGGTCTATCTATTTGTCGAGCAACAAGATTGGTCGCTCGGACGAAAGAAGAAAGAGTAGCGTCGACTACACAACAATTTTCGATATTCGATACAGTACAGCATACAGCTAGCTAAACATTTTTGAAGCAAAGAATTCTCTTATGTCAGTCAGCATAGGAATCGTGGCTCCTTAGAGGAGGCCGCGGATGGAAAGGAACAGGCTTTTCTAGGAAAACAAAATGGGAGGTTAGGGAATTAAGGACCTTTAAGGGGGGAGGGGGTATAGGGTAAAGGGATAAGTTACCCCAAGTTAAGTTAGTGCCTGCTGGTACATAAGGGGTCTGCCCGGGTACGGCTCTTGCTAAGCTAGCTAAGCTAAGCTAAGCTAGATGGATGTATCACGGAGACTCGCTCGAGGCTGGAGTCCTCTTGAGAGAAATAACTCCAATCAGATATAAATAAAGAATCACATTATGAGCAATTTGACGGTCCTTTGTGTAGCGTGAAATGTGGCTGTATTCTTGTCGTAGGAAAGAAAGGAGTATGTACCTAAGTCTACATGTCAATCTACGTCGAGTCCCAGGTATGACATATGAAATTTCTACTTGACAACTAGGATGGAAATAATCGGAGTGGCTCTGAGCCATTCGTTATCTTGTGTTCATAATACCTGAGTATCTAAGGTAGTACCTTAGGGAGGTATGTCCTGGTTTTGAAAACGGCACCTCTTGTATTCATCGAATACTCTCTCTCTCTTACTACCCAACCCACACTCTCCGTCCCCTAATATATCGCAGTAGCAATGGTAGATTCCATGGTAGGCAATCTTAGCATAGACTTTCGAGCTTGCTAATGATACCGCGCGCGCGCACGTGTTTGCGCGTATGAGGTATGTATGTATATCCCAGGCGTGCTGTATGTACTCTGAAAGAGGTACCTAACGCAGATAGATAGACGACACTCGGCATGAGGATGAGGATGAGGATGAGGATGTTATTTCCCATTCCCCTTTCCTTTTCCCGAGTCCTACCTATAACACCGACCCTGACCCTGACCTTGACCCTGAAAGCTATTCATTGACACCGCCCCCGAGCCATTATTTTCGAGGGCGTATGGACTATTCGCCCATTTCTCAGGCCTTTCGCGGCCCTCTTTTATTCTTGGGGGCCTTCTCGGGAGTCTTCAATTTAATAGCAAGGCGTTTTCCGGTCCGCTTGCCCTTATCTCCTCCTTCTTCTTCTTCATCATCGTCATCATCGTCCTCTTCTTCTTCTTCTTCACATTCTTCTTCTGGTTCTTCATATTCTTCATCTCCTGGTTCTTCTTGTTTCTCCTCGTCATTGTCGTCCAACTGCATATCCGCAATGCTCTTCTTTTCTCTCTTCTTGTTCTTCTTATTACTTCTTGGCCTGCCGCGTCTCCGCGTACCTCTCGCCGGCGGTTCCTACGCACCGGAGGCGGCGGCCGCCGCCGATTCCTTCTTCAGGGCGGCGAGCTCGGCCTCCTTGGCCTTGACGGACTTGGTCATCTCGAGGATCATCTGCTGCACCTTTTCCTCGGCCTCCTTGAGCCTCTTGATCTCCAGCTGCTCGGTCTCGCGGCTGAAGGGCTGGCCGGGACGGTTGCTCAGCGGGATCATGGCGCTGCGCTCCTTCACCTCGCTGCTACTACTACCACTACCGTTGCCGTCTCCAGACTGCTGCTGCGCGCTCTTACCTTTGCCCTTGCCACTCCCGCCCTTACCGCCGGCCGGGGCGTTCTTATCGCGCGCGCCGGTCGTCAGGACCTTGTAGAAGTCCTCGAAGGGCTCGTTGAACAGCTGCTCCTCGTAGACCCAAGCGACGACCTCGCCGCCGTTGCGCATGGCCTCCTTCTCGGCCTCGGTGCGGCCGTACGGGTGCAACCTCAGATGGTGGTACAAGGTCTGGGGCTTCTCGCCGCTGCGGCTGTCGTAGTACAATCGAATGGTGATCTCGAACTCGCCCCATCCCGTCTCGTTGACGACGAAGGCCTTCTGGCGCTGGGAGGCGGGCTTCCCCTCGTTCTCCTTGGCGATGGTCTCGGCGTCGATCGTCCGCAGGTGGTTCGGGATGGACTCGTGCAGCTTGAACTGCACCCGGCGCAGCCAGTAGAATATGTCCGTGTCGTCGACCCCCTTGACGAACACCTGCCACGAGTGGGTGTGGTCGGCGGGGACGCCGGCGGGCCGCGGGTTGTCGGTGTCGTTGAAGGGGCGCGCGGTGGTGCCGTAGATGAAGGGTCGGTAGATCTGCACGCCTTTGACGCGCTTGCCGGCAGGTGGTGCCATGATCGGGCTGTGGTGGTAATTGGTAGTCTGGGGCTTTGGTTTGATGTTGTAATTGTTCGGCGTTGGTAAAAAGTAGAAAAAGGTAAAAAGTAAAAAGTACGGAATCTTATAAAGGACCAGTGAAACCAGTGGTTAGGTACCTCAGGTTAGGTCGGTACTACCCCAATTAATTACGAACTACCTAAGCTAAAGCAGTGAGGTAAGTAAGTGCGACTTATAGACTCAAAATTAAAGTAATCGTACTACCTTAGGTAGGAGGTATGTAAAGGGAAGATTGATTATCGATAATGCAACTTTATTTTCATTTTCCTACTAGTTAGCTACCTACCTACCTAGGTAGGTAGTCAGCTAGGTAGTCATCATTATCGCAGTCTTATCATAGGCCCATATTTCATCTATCATCTAGGTAGCCTATAGGTCATACCATCGAAGCCCACAAGCTTATATTCCTCTTATAGCAACATTACTCACCTTTTATAATAACACTGCTCATAACACTAGGCTAATGACATGGAAGATATAATTATAATTACAACGACCAATTAATTAATAACTACCTGAATTATTACTCATCGCTTTCTCGCATTTGACATTTAATTAGCTTATGCTCCAATTCGCAAGAAAACACAAGCTATAAGTCAAGCTCAGTTCCACTCATCATGTCTGCTAAAAGGCTCGTAGTGTGTGGTGGGAACGGGTTTCTCGGCTCCAGGATATGCAAATACGCAGTCGGTAGGGGGTGGGATGTAACATCTATCAGGTAAGGCTTATGTTGGTTGTATTTTATTTCCCAATGCTACATCATGATATGATTATTCTCATTCTTATCCTTATTCTTCTTGTATTCAGATTATTACCTTGCTAACTAACTAACTGACTCCAGTCGTTCAGGCGAACCAAAGTGGAACGCAGTCACGGAATCAGATAAACCGCCCCAATGGGCCCGCAAAGTAACCTGGGAACGCGCCGACGTCCTGCGCCCGGTAACATACGCTCCGCTCCTCAAGGGCGCCGACTTCGTCGTCCACAGTCTCGGCATATTGCTAGAAGCCGACTACAAGGGCGTGCTGCGCGGTCAAGAATCGCCCATCCAAGGGTTGCGGAAGGCCTTCTCGGCCGCCCCCCGGCCCGGGAACCCGCTAGAGCGCAATGTGTCGTCATCGTCCGGCCAGGAGCAGAAGGAGGACATCCGACCGCCCGAGACCAAGGACCAACTCACATACGAGAACATGAACCGTGACAGCGCCATCATGCTGGCCAAAGAAGCTGCACGCGAGAACGTCGCCGCTTTCTCGTACATCTCGGCCGCGGGCGGCGCCCCCGTGCTGCCCCAAAGGTACATCGCAACGAAACGGGAGGCCGAGAGGACGATTGCCAGCGAGTTCCCGGGGATGCGGTCCGTCTTCATCCGCGCGCCCTTCCTGTACGACAGCTCGCGGCCCATCACGGTCGCGATGGCCGGCCTGACGGGGGTAGGCGCCGCATTCAACACCCTCTCCGGCGGCATCATGGGTAGGTTCATGGGCGCCGCCGGCGTCAAGCCCCTCAAGGCGGACGTCGTGGCCGAGGCCGTCGTGGAGGCTTTGGAAGACGACTCGATAAAGGGGCCCGTGGAGGTTAAAGAAATCGAGGAGCTGGCTAACAAGTCGTGGAGAAAGACAATGCTCTGAGAATATGTCGAACGGGGCTTCATGTGTGTGTTGTTGTATTAATGCACGCCTATAAACTGTATCATAGCTGTCCAACGCCCTCTCCTCCACCACCGAAATATGCTAATAGCGTAATCTAATTCGTGCGTGTACCGGTATAGTCATTTAAAACCATGTTTGTGTTAACGCCGGCGATATAGTAAAAAAACAAAGTAACCTCTTCTTAAATCATAGTTCCGCGCTCGAAGCTGTCCCTTATCTCCGCCGTGTACTTATTGTAGAACCTTGCTAGCTTCTGGTTGAACTGCTTGTTCTTCTCGTTGATATACGTGACGTCGCCGTCGTCGCCGTTCTGCGCCATCCTCTCGCGCCTCTTGCGCATCCTGACGTCCTCGGCCTTTTGCAAGTCGCCCACCAATCTATCGATAGCCGCCTTGTCGGGTTTGTTCTCCACGAAGGAGGTCGAGTCGGCGGTGGAGTAGAAGCTTCCGTCCTTGTCGACGGCGATCAATTCGCCGTCTTCGGTCTCGATGATCTCGAGGCCGCCGGACGCGGCGGCCTTCTCGATAGCGGCCATCTTGTCCTTCTCGTAGCGCTCGAGGTCGGGAGCCAGGTCGCGCACCTGGCGTTTGTAGACCTTGTTGCTCTCCTGGCGGTAGTCCTGGAAGGCGTTGTTGTCGCGGTGGGCGGCCTTCTTCTTCACGCGCTTGTCCCAGCGCTCGCTCTCCTCCGCGGTCCAGTCCCACGCCCGCTTCCTCTCGAAGTCCTCTCCCGCCTCCTCCGTCTCGGCCTTTAGCAGTTTGTGCGTGGCAATATCGCGGCGGCGATTCAGGGCTACGAGGGCTGACGGGTCGGTGGCTAGGCGTTGGGATTCCTTGGTTGTTTCGGCGAGGTTCTGGTCTGAGGACACCTTCGCGCGGGCTTGTAGGGCACGGAAACGTGCCATCCGTTCCTTTGCCTTCTCAGCAGCATCTGCGGCTGAACTAGCTCCCGCTGTTGCTGCTACTGCTGCTACTGCTTCTGTTGTTATTGATGATGATGTTGCTACACTCTCCTCTACTGGCGTCGAATCGGTCGGCTTTTTAGTTTGTTGTTCCTCTTCAGGTTTTTCCTCGTTGGTCGAAGGGGTTTGTTCAACTACCTCAGCCGCCGGGGCGTCTTCCGCTTTGGCGGCAGCTTTGGCAGCAGCTTTGGCGGCCGACGCCGTCTTCCTTCTCTTCGCGGGAGGCATAGTTATCGAAAGCGGTGAAGTATCAAAGCTGCACAGGTATTATTTAAAGAGTAATAGGATACTTGCTTGATGATGCTTTCAATCACCTGTCACCTGAGCAGTTGATGGATGGAATGAATGTAGGCACTAAATTGGCAAGATGATATGATGCAGCTGGTAACGGAGCCGTTGTTACATAAGTAAATCCAGGCAGCTGGACTGCTAGACATGCAGATGCCCAGGTGGCTGAGCAGTTATTTTATTGTGGGTATGGTATGACGGATTATCTAATAGCCGTTCTCTTGACTTTTGAAAAAAAAAAAAATAGTGCACCCAGGTACTTGTGTACTGAGGTAGTACCTAGGTAGTTACGTAGCGTCAGGGGGACCGTGCTAGTTATTTGCTAGCTTGCCTTAGACCCTTCTCCAGAATCCGGGGTACCTCCCTAACAGCCCTCAAGACCATATCCAATGTGGGGAATACTTGGAGTCGAACAAGGACAAGGTTTATTATTTTCCTCCCTCCCTTCGAAATGGACCACGATACGTACCTAAGGTACCTAATTACCTACGACCCCGCGATCCAGCGACGACGAGGTTGTTATACTCGACGTTTATTGTTTATCGTTTATTCGGCAATTCATTAGACATGGAGTAGCACCAGCAAGTCTTGAAAAATTCCCTAGGTACCTAGTAACTCTATTTGAAAATGTCATCGTCCTGTAAATCCTGTAAATCTAGCCTTCGTCCTCGAAATGCCACGAACCCCAGCGCATCGGTTACCAGGTGTCTCGAGAATCTATCCCTGGCCCAAGGAAGAGTCTCTTCTTGAACGAAAGAAGAATCCAAACCTTCCTCGGTTCGAAGTGTCCGAGCTACTCCTCAATCTCGATGCCGAGGACAACCCCTATGTGCGCCCCTTTAATGAAGATATCGATGGCACAACGAGAACCCCCAAGGAGCAGCGGCAGTATGAGATCCGACCCGTCCGGAAACTAGCCGACCGGCTACAGAACCTGTCGAAGAAATATGAGCGCCAATTCGCGGAGACGGCGTCGAGGAAGTTCAGCGCATGGCGCATAACTAATTATGACATACTTTCCGTCGCGCTCCGCAACCCGCCCAAGAAGAAACCAAGCCTTTATGACGAGTACGTTATGAACAAGAAAAACGTCTTCTTCGACAAGAATGGGATACCGTACAACGTGCTCGACAGCCCGTCCAAGACCATCGCGTACATGCTCCACCGCCAGAAGATAGCCAACCGCGTAGAGCCGACCCGCGACGATCTGAAGAAGTTCCAAGAGGCAATTGATTTTTGTAGCCAGTTACACGGGATGGAAAGGCTTTTCATGGACGTCATCCGAACTCCCGTGGGCCGCTGGCTCGTTGCGAATAGCGCCGACGCTTTCGCGAGGGCGTGTGCGAGAGTGGTCAGGATAACGCGGCCGGACGCGATGCTCACGTTTCTTAATAATTTGATAATGCTTCTCGAGCAAGAGAAGGCGGAAGTTCCGCCCCTGCTGTTGGACTGCGCCATCACCACGTCGATGCAGCTCGGCGTCTTCGAGGCGGCTCAGAAATATATGGGAATGGCTCTTGGCAGGAGTGCGAGCTTAGACAGGGAGCAAGTGGTCACCATTCTCCAAGTTTTGCACGGATCAATAACTCCGCCTACCACGGATGCTGGGCCGCGTATCCAAAGAGACCCTACGTATCCTCTGTTAGCGATATACAGCTTGCTAACAGGTCGAGCGATGGGAGAAAGGGAAATACAACCGTCGCTGGGAGACTTTATGAGCGACAGCACCCTATGGGACGCCTGTCATAAGCAATACCTCCTCTGTCTTGCCCGTCTGGGAGCGTTCCGAGCAATGTGGCATATCTGGCTCGCGCACCCCAGGCCTCTAATCGGGCAGACCTCCAAGGCCGAAGTCTTCGCCGAAGCCATCAACAAAGCCCTGTCAGTTAACTGCCATCTTGCCAAATTGTCGCTAGCGCCTAGCTTTACGCGTGTTGGCCAGACATACGCCGACCACTACCAGTTCGACATGAGAGTCATCCTAGAATTGACGGAAGTCTTTACGATGCCACCACAACCCACGAATGAAGAATTGCGTGAGGAAAGCGAGCGATTTCCCCCACTTAGCAGCAGAGACATCGAGGTGAGCTTTGGGAACGGAGAGATTGGTCAATCAATGCTATCTCTACAAGGTTTACTATCTAGTCGGATTCCGGCTGGCGTCGATGATGCGGGTTCTAAACCTACCTAAGGTACCTAACCTAAGGTAGTGAGGATATCAATACAAAGTTAGCTCCAACGCTGGATAGAACTTAAAACTAGAGACCCATAAATCGTTGATAGATAGATCATTGCGGTATTACTGCTGGGATTGTGTAGGTAGCTAATATATTCATCAAGATACCTCTCTTGCAGTTTGAGATAACTTTCCAGCGCATGATGAGTATGACAGGATGAGTGAACCACAAATACTGGTTGATAAAAGTATACGTCGTTTCTAATCATAGTATTTCGAATATAACAGAAAACACTATAGCTTAGGAGGTACCTACCTAACCTAGTGAAACCGAATTAGATACGAGACTCTACTTCCACGTATGTGCGAGCTGTCACTATGGATGAGATATCCCAAGTAGAACGCCCAGCAGCGTATCGAGTCTTGCGTGCAATACCTACCTCTACGGTTTTAAACACCTATCAATAAAGAAGTTCACCACGCTAATAAGAAAGCTCTCCGAAAGCCAATCTCATAACACAGTAGTGTATCTCCCCAAATTCCATCCTATCTACCTCGGACAACCTACATACACATTCACAGCTATCTCCTATATCGTCCATAACACTACCTAAGCACGTATATCTTTTTTTTTTTTCGCCTATATCATGTATCATATCCACCTCTACCAGCCCACTCACCTGAAGCAGACTCCACCGGTATGAACCCGCTGTCTGCGGATAATGCAAGATCAACTCCGAGCATACATACATAGCATTAACACTAAGAGGAGTCTAGAGTGTTCCTCCCGACGCCACGGTGGTGCCGAGAAGCATACTGTGGTGCTCTCCTGCTTCGACGTTGTTCCACCAACGTCGAAACCAGGCACTAGCACCCGGCCTGTGCGTTCTTGGGGCCGAGAACTAGTGAGGCACACTAGGTATGTAAAAAGGGGTTGGGGGCGGTGAAGAAGAAGAAGAGGTGATACACACTTCAAACTTGTACAGTACCTCATACATAACTAGTGTATACCTAGGTATGTTCCAACTTGGCCCATCTGGCTACATAGTACACAGAAGGTTCGATCTATCTCGCCAGATCACCACGTTATATCGACCCAACGAGCAGTCCACCCGCGCCGCGAGCGGAGATGCCGCCGTGCCCGCGCCGTACATTGGCTATCTGCGTACAGCTCAGCATATGTACGCTCGAAGGTACACGACAGGATGCCATCCGTCAAGGTCCCTTCTGGCTTACCCGAGCTACCCGAGCCACCCGTGCGGGATGCCGACGGCAATCGGACTAGGGGGTGAAATCCGGGGGAACGATGGGGGGGGGGGCTTGTTGAGCTGCGACCAACTACTAGTATACATATATAGCGTGATGTGTAGTTGTGCACTTGATATAGACCTCAGGCAAGGAATACGAACAATCCCTGTCTTGGATAGGTAGTTGGAGAGCCAAGAGGGATCACGGAATTTCCCCATGTTTTGACCTGAAGCATGCTCAGATAGGGTCAGTTTTAGAAGGCCCTTAGGATCTATTCAATGTTGGTATGCGGCGAGATCTGAGATAATGTAGTTGACGTTGCGCCATGCCATGCTCGTAGCACGAGGTTCAACATTGGCGCCCCGCAAATGTTTCGGTCTCTTGTGGTCCAGGGGGTGGATATCGTCGTCTCTAGTCGCCTCTAGTAATAAGTGGTGGTGCCATATGAATATACATATTGACCCTATTACCTAATTTGAAATATTCACGATATCTCATTGTAATCCCTTTGTAGCGGTGAGAAGAAAATATCTACTACTCCCCTCAACGACCCATTAGCTTACGTGGACTGTAAATATTCGAGTTTGAAATACGAAGGAGAAAATACGACTTGTACGTAATAAGTATGCCCGTACTATGCCCTTTTCTGAGTCTGTGTCATATAAGGTTTGGCGACATCTCGTGCAATAATTGGGTATGATGTTGAGATTATTCAATTGCAGTCCGACCCTATCTTTGAAACTCGCGTGACGCTTTTCTGCAATGGGGGACTACAACGGATACCAACATCATATACGCAAGGGGAAGATCGTCATGGTGCATACCGGCTCAAATGGCCAGTAGTGAGGCTATTCTGCACAATATTCGCCACTATCCTTGCGCAATTTCGCCATGTCCGATTTACCCAATTCGTCAGTTGCAACTTGCACCTCTTATGGCGTGTAAGACTTACACAATCGCTGTAGGCACCCGGTCGGTTTGTATTACACGCGCGCGCTTGCGAGCAGTGCATTCGTCAAATAGCTCTTAGATGAGGTCATTGCGAGATCCTGGACCCTGGAAACAGATGTGTCTTGTTGGGGAAGCTTCGAACATAGATGCTACCTACCTACCTATACATACCTATACATGGCCATCTTGTTACCTAAGCGATTGATCCTATTCCCGTGGTGGCCATCGGTTCTGGGGAACACGAATGAAATCTCCGATTGGAAGATAATTTGTAAAGGTCTGTTCACCCCGCCGACGAACTATGCCGAAGACATGAGGCTTAAGCCGGCGAGACCTGTTTATTTACTTGACAAAGAGATAATAATGAAAAACCAAGAGTATGATCAGGTAAATGGCGCCACTTGACGTGTCCTACCTTATCATCTCCAAACCCTGGATGACTTTCTAGGGAACTCGCCAGTATATGCATACTTACACAAGTCGGTGGCGTCAACAAGCCGTAGCAAAAGGTTAAAAAAAAACAAAACGATGAAACCCGGACAAATATCAGCTCGCTCGCGAACGCCTGGAGCTTATGTTGCATCAGTCCAGCTAGTGCAACAACCAGGGGGCATATCAACAGTAATCGGCTCCGATCACGCTGATATGGACCTCCATGGACCTCTCTTTCTGCGCCGTCGCTTATTGTGTCCGCTGGATGGATCTAGTAGGTAGTTGATCTAGTTTCGGCCTAACATCTGACAGCTGAAAGATAGCTCCCCCGAGAGATAACCTACGGCGCTAACAAATCCCCGGTTAACTCCTAGAGTAGATCATTTGTGGATGAGTCCATCGCAGCCTAGGCGAGCTTGCAAATCTGGCTACTCAAGTTGATTGGCTTACAAGCGCAATGGGAGATGGGACGCTCCGGCCTGTGATGGTGTATGAATATCCACGTCTAGGGTACCTGCAGAAATCTGGAAGAATCCTAAGAGGGGACATGGGACAAGCCCAATATAGAGGTGCATGTTATTGCAGAATTTTTTTTTTTTTTTTCTTATCGCGCTGTTCTTCCTAGCACATACAATATACTATTTGGGTAAGACTGCGTGTGAGAGGCTGTGCGGCGGCGGCGGCGGCGACAACGATAGGTTGGCGGGTTGGTTATCTCGCATGGGTAGAAAATTTTCTGGGTTGCTATTATCGGATTCAAATTGCTTGCTCGACTCCACCATAAGCCTTCGATGGCCGAAGCTGACCGAATACCTTATAATCCATAGCCTCTCACAGAGATATAATCCATGCTTCTGCCTCTTTAGAACCGCCAAATGCTATCGTCATTGTGGCACTATTCAGGGAAGGGACGCCGTTGCTCGTAACCATACGCATTGGGATATTATTCCGTCCAAGACCATCGGTTGAACTCAGCCCTGGCGATCATTTCTGTTGTACGACACACCTAGACAGAACTGACACGTCTGCAATTGAGGCGTTTTGGAGGGAGTAGAACCGGCCATCAAGTCCAAACAGCCCAATAATAAATTGACGTCTCTCTCGTAGCTTCGAAGCAGTTTAGATTTTCCGCATCAACCGTAATTTTGACGAAGCCTAGGACGGGAACTTGCCAGAGCAACAAGTTCCTAAACACAAAAACCTATCGGGTTACGACACTCCACGTGGGGGTTATTGATCCTCACCAGAATTAAGATCCTGTGAATTCCGAAACGGGTAATCCGAGAGACGACCCACTGGAGGTCAATATAAAAACATATGAATTCATGGTGAGGGGACGAGACATAGGAATCGCAGGAATTGAAGCAGTCCTCGGCAACTCTAGCCAGACTATCCCCAGGCTATCTCCAGGCTGCTATGCCAGTTGCAAACCAGGAGTCGGGACTATCTCTTCATCTCTTCTGCAGCTCCCTTGCGAGTTGTCGTTCCGGATGATGTAACGACGGATTGTTAGGTAGTATGTATAGTATGTGCATCACACATTACCTATTATATGTATGCAAGCCGCGGCGCCATTGTCCGTCGGTGGTGTAGATAGTAAGTACTATGTAATGGGAAGAAGGCAGCGATACCTACCTAGGTAGGTACCTACATTATGATAAGATGATTTTCTTTCTCCGTTTTGTCACCCGTAGATGAAGCACACATCACGCATCACGTAGCCTAGGAGGCTACACAACCTCTTTTACCTTTCAGATAAACTGCAAATACGACGTGCAACCCTCTTCCCCGCGAGCTACACAAATTAAAATGGTAGCCTGCAATTGCGGACGAAACGGGCAATGAGCCACTGTCGCATGTAGCACAATGTCTTTGGTTGACGAGACACAGAAGAGAAGATGGTGCCAAGCAAGACAAGCAAACAAGGGCGACAGGGCGCTAGGGGGGCGCTCGAGAGCTTTCTTAAAAGAGGGGTAACAAGATTTATCAGCTATCATTATAGATAGCCGAAGTTGAGACAGGTAATCAATTAAACACGACGGGACGCTCTCAGGAGAGCATGAAGATCTTCAGCGCTGGATCGGCAGTCATGTGCGCTAGAGACACTTGGGGACACTGGGGAGCATATTGGGGATATGCCGGGGAAGACATAAAAGCGAAAAAGCGACGTCGGACAGCCTCAGACATAATTACTCGCCATACGGACTGCAACCCAAGTATATCACTGCAACTGTGAAAGATGAGGAATAATAGAAGACGATTTGTCCGAGGTGGCGTGTTGATGGGAATCACGCATCGAAAAGGTCTGAATCTCGAATCTTCGATATAACTTGCCTGGATAAGAGGCTGCGTAGTAACTGGCAGAGTAGTAGAGTGATAAATTTTGTTTTGATACCGTAGTATACGTAACGTGGTTGGTGTATGTAGAGTAGAGGTGGTAGAAGAGGTTGTAGAAAAAAGGTGAAAGGCGGAGAAGTAAAGAAGGGTTGTAGAATGTAGAGTCCCGGAAAACTGGAGACACTGGAGAACGTCAATCGCGGTCGGCAACACGGGAATCCGATATTACCTAAGGTTTTTCTATGTATGATTCCATAGATTCCATGGAAGTTATCATTACCAGCTACCCAGGTACAGTATATCAATTGAGATAGGTATCGTACCTTCCACTGGACATATGTGTATGCACATATATATGTAGGTCGGGTACGAATTACAACAGCGTACTACTAGGTACCTAGTTACCTTATATATGCTACCTACTATGTATATCAGAGCGTACCTAGACTAAACAGACTAGCAGAGTTAGTTAACTGTATTGTGCTAGGTACCCTGGATGCCGTAAAACTAGGAGGTGCAGAACTAGTTGCAGTTTAACAGTTCTCCTTACCTCGCGGAAGGTAGGATGTTATCGCACTTAAAGCTTGCCCTCCTACGGGGAAAAGCCGTAGTGGCGGGACTAACCTGATACAATACACGTAAGTACCTACCTCTAACCTGATAGCCCACCGGGCACACTTTAAGTACCATTCCGGATGTTAGGCCTAAGTTTAACTGGGCTCAGGGCCTAAGGAGAAAAAAAAACAAAAATTCCATGGGTTCCGGGACAAATTGGGCCTCTCGAAATCGATGAACTAGTACACGTGCGAGTCCACTCTTTGAATTCCGAATAAAGAACTAGAAAACGTGCTTAATATGATGGGTGAGGTGAGCTGGTTTTGAAACAAGGTTGTCATTTTCTCATACAGGACCCAGATCTTCTTTTCAGTGTGTAATCGTTAATCCAAACGCTCAGCTTAATGGCCTCATAGCGATTTTAAGAATTCGGTTTAATAAGTTACATCCAACACGAATATACTAAATAAACACCGAGCTGCATGTTTGATAGGTTGAAAGTCGTAAGCATATGTGCAGTGCAGTATGGGACTCGAGGTTAGGTATATATAAGCACAGTGCCTGATAGAATGTACCGACCAATCCCTTTATCTGATCCATAGCATGTTGTTTGGATAGAAGACCCAGATAATGCGTACCTTGGATTTGTAACCTATGGCGTGGGCCGCGGGCCGCCCACTGACCACCTACCTATACACTACCTACGTAGCACCTAATCGCGACATATGATGAACCAATTTCGCCGAATCCATATATAGTTTTTTGTTTTTTTTTTTTTTTTTTTCGTCTTTCTTTCTCCCTGGATCCTTTTGTTTCTGCTCACCGCATTGCATAAGCAATGGTATAATTTGTATGAGTAATTATGTGACAAATTGGATCGAGATATGGAGAGATGAAGAGACGATGCTTTAATACATCATCAACCTGGATGGGCAGATATATCTACGGAGACACCTGGATGGCGAAAAGAATGTTTGTAACTGTGGATTCTAATAGGTTAGTGGATTGTGTTGTGCGCTGTAGGGAAGTGGAAGAAAAAAAAAAGGAGTCAATAGTTTAAATATTCAAGGTTGTATTGCACACACAAAAAAAATACGAATAGCGCAAACATCCTTTCAGAAGACTTTCTAGACTTTACGATATGCATAATGATCATCGACATTGTTTCAGTGGCCAAGTCTCAGGAGTCCCGCATGTACGGGTGCCTTATGTAGGTCGTATCCTTCGTCCCGCGAACCGCAGCGGAGCTTATGTTGCTTGCATTATTTATACATAGTACAACGGTATACAACGGAGAGTGCATATTGAAGTCCCGAGCCATCTCAACTCTTTCTAAATGACTCTCATCAATCTAAATCGCCAATATAAGCCTGCATATCGTAACTCTTGAAGATTTATCAAGGTGTTTATGGTGTTTATGGTGTTTATACCGTAAAAGACCTACGTACCAGGTACCTATATACCTACCATGTATAACTCTTATAACGTCAAATGATCCATGCTGCTATATCATCATCCCTGTTATGGGTGTTCCATAACATATCCAATACCTATTGTACCTACTATCTTGTTCGACGTTACTGGCCGTTTTGCCATGGCGTTGAGGCTTACTAAAAATGAACATGTTATTGACTTCCAATGTTTAGTAGGTAGGTACAGTACATTATGTACCCAGGTGTGCAGAGATGTGCATGTATACCTAATACATCTCTCTAATAATATGCAGACTTGGGCCGCCCGGGTAACTAAGAGCGTTACTTAAAGAGAATTAGCCTGTCGAACGCATTAATACTAACGAATGACCAGTTTCGGTAGTACGTTTCTGTAGGGCAGAGTTAATTGTGAATAGTCAACTCAACTTGCAAGGGGAGAGTAGAGAAAATTTTTCTCTCGTTTTCCCCTGTCTCCATATTCGATGATGAGTCTTCGTTCACTTGTCCCAACTTAAGAGTCCAAAAGGGCTAGGCGCTAATAGAAGCTCTGTCGTGATAGAGAAGACAATGTAGTAGTCACACGCAATTGGCTCATGGCCCCAGTCTTGGGTCGCATCTCCGCTTTCGGCATTCTGAGCACTTGTCAGCCAATGAAAGCAGGCACGCAAGCAATTGCAAAGTTAAAAGGGGAAGAGCAAAATACTTCATAGTAGAGAAAGAGTCATCGTTGGTTGATTACATTAGGTAGGTATGTATTGTACAAGTTGTTGTGCACACACATCTGTGCCGTTGGTACTTATCTGTACCAGGCAAAGTCCGAGTAAAAGCCCAGGTCTCCAGGTATAGGTACTTTTCTACATGAACAGGTCATCCAGACAAGAGCATAACCCTAGCCGATACATGCGGTACCTTACCTCACCTGCCAAAATTATGTTGCAACCATGTACAGTGTCAGCCAGGCCAAGGAGTAGGAAAAAAAGGTATGGTTAGGTACCTAGGTAGGAAACAAATTCAAGGGTACTAGAATATATCATCCACTGCATCCCGCCTCCTGCTTCCTTCTCAATTCTCAGAAAAAAAAACCAAACTCGAGGATCTATTAATTGTCGACCAATTCAGTCGTGTCTTCTTTAACATAATATATTCGAGTCATATATTGTATGATATATCTCTTGAAATCTTCATAGCAGATATTCGTCTTATAGATCTGCTTGAGCATCTTAAGCTGTTTCCTCCTGGTCCAAGACATATCCGAAAAGTCCGACTTACACAGCTAAACGCCGTTACCAACTTGACCATCCCGGTACATGTTACACCACCAAGACTCTTACTGTTTCCCAAGTACCACCATTACGAGCTTTCTTCGTTCAAACGTCACAAGGCGAAGTTATCATCATCATCATCGCCATCATTACTTCCGGTTCAAGAACGCAGAAGAGCAATTGGAAAGGTGATCTTGACATTACTAGATTACAATTCTCTTATCAGCATCGTCATTCCGTCTTCTTTTAACATATAAACCTGAGCACGCAATATATTATTTATAACCCTGTTTTGTCTGCTGCTCCCCGGTTTTTTTTCTGCCAAACCTGGTATCCCGATCTTAGGAGATAGTACCTTATCTACCTAATCAATCCGACTCCAAGAACGGCGGGAAACCAAAGAATATTAATTTGCTTCCCTTCCGTATCTTGCTTCGCTCTCAAGCGACGCTATAACCCGGAATTTGCAAGATAGCTTTCTATACAACTTGAAAAAAAAAAAAAAAATCGGCCAAAACTGTCGCGAGATCTCCCCGCCTTCAACCCTTTTTTATAATACCTTATTAGAAAGGGTTCCCCTACCAAGTTAGCTATTTAGCGAGCTCTCATCTACTCTTATTAGAACAGTAGGGGTTTGGCCTAGGCTTACCGCCGGGGCCAATTACATAGTACCAAATGCATCACACTCGTCGCAGATCCGGTCACACCTCGACCAATAGCTCAACAACTGATGTTCGCAAAGTCGGCACAACTTCTGATGTCTCAAAACCCAGGCGGCCACAGACACTAACCAGAAAATCAACCCCGCAAACAGTACTAAAGCTAGGCAAGAATCCCAAGGATCGTGAAAGGGAATGGGAAGAGGAGCGCGGGTTTGAGGATGAGCGAGAAAGCTTCCCTCAATTTTGGTACGTGTTATCTGTTCTGTATACACACAGCTTAACACCCTGCGGAACCCCTTTGGTCTCAATGCTGCGGCGAGGTTTGCCGTCCAGGTCGTATCTTTGATGTTGTAACTAACGTCATGCTGCGCCTGGGAAGGGTGAGATCGGGTTACCCTTTTTTCTCCCCTTCTGCACAACACTCATACCACTTCAGGCAACCTGCGTGGGCTGCGTCACCACTCGATCAAGCCATGCGGGTGATCCACGCCGGGGGTGTCTTGTGTAACCAAGCCCATTGTTCCTGCATCCCACGAAGCTATTGTGAAGACAACTTACTGACTGGCTATGAATTTATAGCATGACCTGTGAAAAGCAATTCACCCCACAAGATGAGAAGTTTTTATATTGCTCAGAGGCGTAAGCCACTCTTCACCCCCAACCAATAGGTAATTCGCATTTACTGACCTCTAGACCAGGTGCCGCGAGCGTGACCAAAATGCAAGTGTAAGGGGATCGTCATCGCACCATCCATCTAAGGGACATGATGGCTTCGGTGCCAATTTCCCGTATTACTTGGTTGGAAACTCGGAGCCCCGAGATATCATCCCACGCGCCTCCCCTTCTCGTTGGTCGCCTCCCACAACACCAACAACCGGTCAATACACCAATGCCGTCTCAGCCCTGAGGTCATTGAGCATACGACCAGTGAGCCCGACCTCGTCAATTCCGGGCAATGCCGCATGGCCGTTTACGCGCAGCGCTGTTACTAGCCCTAGTACGTCGTACACAAAATCGGCCAACAATTTCTACTCGTCAACCTATGATAACGGCTACGCTGTTGCAGGTTATGGGTATGCCCAAGGTGGAATGACGGACCGGCCATTACCCTCCAGGAAACCGGGCGCCTACTCGAGACCCAAGAGCATCGAGCTAGTTACGCCGATAGTCGGCCGCTGAGCGAGTGATCTAAAAATGAGTTCTGGCCCGCCATAGCGCTGACGTGAGCTTCGGATAGTTTTTGATTCGCATCGCCCGATCTTGTCACGTTCAGCAGGTCAGGTTTAATGTGTCGACGTGGGGAACCAGTTACATTTACGTCGAGACCTTGGGCTTGGTTACATCAATTGAATGCGGGGGCGACTCCCAGATACATAAATCTGGGTAAGGAGATAACAACACTATGGTACATATTCGACCCCCACGGCCTCGATGTATTACACCTTCTCATTACACCTCCAACCGACCACGCAACGGCCACATCAGTACGCCCGAATCTCCCGATTAGGATCTACTCTCTTCTCACATATTTTACCTATTACGAAGGGGAAAAGCGACAAAGACATGTTCGAATATTAGGGCTTTGCGAATATTCTACACTAGGTGATGCCAAGAAAACTGGTATCTTCAAGCTCGCGGGGAAATCCGTGCCCGTTTTCGATATCCGCAGACTCCCGAATTTGCCGGACGTGCCGGCTTTTGCGGGGCCCCACACTTTCGGATATTCATAGAGGTCCACGTCGGCGATTCCTCTTTCTAAAAAAAAAATTCCTTTTTCATATGTTCATAGTAATCAATGGAGTACCAGATAGACCTACCCTATTGGTACAAGTTTTGTATACAGAGTAGGAACGGATCTTGCATAAAAAAAAAGTTTGGCGGCATAGGAACAGGAACGGCGTATTTGTCAAGGGCGTCCCCATCTTTTTTACCCCTGGCGTGCCTAGTTTTGCTTTTTGTACTTGGGACGATAGCTTAGCCGAGGCGCATTTAAGGTTCGCAATATTTTGGTTTGGATATGAGGCATTGTTGGCATGATGGCATTTTCCGGATCCGGTATATACCAGTTTATTTCGCGCGAGTTCAGGGGTTGGATAATGAGTAGAACGAGGACCTGTGATGTACAACGAAGGCGAAGAAGGTTGACGCCGAGGTCATGCTAGTCCTCGAGAACCTCCGAATTAGGTAGTCTTGAGATAGGGTTGTAATTGCGCAATCAATTATTAAAATGTCTACAATAGAGTACATTATCCTATAAGCTTTGTCTGTAATTCAACGCTAGTAAAGCTTATAGTAGCTCATGAATGTAGTCGGCAAGTCAAAGTTTACCGAGAGCCGGTAGGGCGGATAGAAAAAAAGAAAAGAAAAAACTTACTCTCGGACTATCGGAGTTGATCTGTAGTGCACTGTACTTTGTACGTAGTGTGTTATGACATTATATCGTATTTCTAATGTTCCATGATACGTACACTATAGATGTACATACCGTATACACGTAATGTAAGAGGCTCAGCTTCCTCCACGTGGTCAACGCCGGTGGCTTGGATTCGTCCCTTTATTTATTTATTTTTCTCTTTCTACCTAAGGTTAAGTAAGTTAGGTACCTCTTTTGACTTCTACGACATACATACCTAATGCAACATCATCATAATACTGATCAAATCGACGATTCCCCGATCCTCTTTTCCTCTTACTTTTATGGTCTTGCATAGGTACTATATTAGGTACCTACCTATATATGTGGGTAAGTTAATAAGGGAACCGATGGCGCTTAGATATATATCCATGACGAAGGTGGACCGAGAAAGAGCCCGTCGCATTCCCGCCCCAGCAGGTACGTAAACGGTAACATCAACAACCCCGAGCATGCCGAGTGTGCCGAGAAGGGGGCGCAATGCGGGCTTTCTTTTTCTTGGGATCGGAGGCCGAGGTCACGGGTAGATTCTCTCCGTGGTGACTTTGTTCCGGATCATAGTTTTGATGCGGGACATAATACATTACATACCTGACTCGTGTTCTGCTGTTAGGTGGTTGTTGTTTATTACCGAACTATTGGCCGTAGTTGAACTTACCATGTTCCTAGGTTTGGATGAGTGACGAACGACCTTAAATTAGAACCTGCAAGTCGATCCAGGATCTCGTGGATAAGGGGTAGTGCTGAGCGATCCTTCTTCGTAATCTTATTGAGACCACGATAGTCAACGCAGAGACGTAATTTGCCATTTGGCCAGACCCTTAAGCATCGATTCCAGACCGCACAACTATTATGTCATTTCGATCCATTAGTGTACGAACTTTACGAGGGACAAGTTAGGGTATGGAGGCTTGATTGTATGTATATGGCGTCGCTAGAGTCGTACAAGAATATAATTCCGCTTCGCTATGTGAGATTCACCATGTGAGAATTGCTAGCTAGAAACTCTTCCTCTTATCTAGTACTGTTCCCTACATCATACGTGGAGGTTTCGGTGCCTAATCCTCTCCGGAGTTTTCTGATAACCTTTAACTATATTTACTACATTGGTTACATTCTGTCAGGAGTCTCACTTGAGACTCCTTGGAACAAAGGAGTTATTATGTATATAGCTTTGGCTTCAAAGCTACTGTAGTTAGAGTTCCTTGCGGAACAACGAAGTTATTTTACCTACTGCATGCTCTGCGACGTGACACATTCAGTTCAGCTCCTATTTTCATACATCTACTAATTCCCCCATGTCGATTCGTCTACGCCGTCCATAAATATAGTAGTCCATCGAGGGGTTCTAACATATCATCTAAATAATTGAATTGCCGTGATGAAAATTGTCTGTTACCAGTTATTCAGTGATTCGGGACCGAAAATATAGCAGTGTCTCTAATGTGTCTATCTATGGACTCGAAGGGAAAGGGCAAGTATAGACCGGAAGATACCAGTACCCTAGGCAGCACCGTCGTGATGTAGGTTCTTTGAGTAAAAGAGCATGGCTGCGTATTCGGGTCTATTTGGATGTCCTCGTATGGTTACATACCTTAGGCGTATCGCCTACATTATGAACTAAAATGCGAGACAATAATAAAGACGGCGGGTAGATACACCGGCCTCTTAGGCTATTTCAGTCCCAACATTGTCGATATGCTATCCATTACTTATTTATTTGCAAAATTTTCAGCCTACCTTGTCGCTTACCTGGCTCATAGAAGAGATTTACCTCAATGCATATCTGGTGATACCTACGTCCGCTCTGCAACAAGAAAGCCTGGGGCTATTATCATAGATCTTCGCGTTTAGATAAGACCACAACATGGCGACTCCACTACGAATACCACATTTTCCCCAGGATGACTGGAACGACACCGATGAAGACTAGACATACACACGGGAAGATAAGGTTACAATTGAATCCGTCCGGAAAAGAATGACCACAAACTTCCCTGTCGTCTTTTAACCCTATAGTTGCGTTCCGTGAGCTTGTACAGATTTGGTAAGTTGATATCTTATTCGTATCTCTGGCTTCACCGTCCTGAGCTAACCGCCGTGCAGGACGGAATCATCAAATCTTCCGGTACAGGGGAGAATGGTTTTCGCGTTATGCGCGCAGACTATGAGAAGGGAATTATATTTAGAGGTACCGGACCAGACAACCTCTCATGGGGCGTCCGGAAGTTACGCCGTGCTGGGGATATATCAGGTGGTTTAAGCTGAACGGAGTCGGCACTGTCGAGGTTGCCAACCGACAAGCTACGCTCCAGCCCTGGCATCTTGACATGGGAGGAACAAGCAAGAAGAACGAAGTAAATCAGGCGGGAGCCCGCGAAGAAGGCCTCAAAGTTGCTCTTTTAATTTTGTTGAGGGGACCTCAAAACCACGCAGTACAATGCCGTTCTGGAGGCTTTTAGTGGTCCTTCAACTTTACTAACCAGCGAAGACTTGTGGCCAATCTTGCTAGGATGACGCCTGCCGCGATAGAAAAGGCTATCCTACGCGTTTGGGGCGAGGCATTTCGTTTCAAATACGGCTTAGTCGCTGAGTACCATGAACTCCTTAACTCTGAGAAGCCCGAGTTTGCGGATGTTTCACAGGCGGAACACCATATCTCTTGGATATCATCACGAGTAAAGAAAGGAGAACATTATTTCATAAGGCTAGCAAACAGCTCGGATCCTAGCTCGTTCCTGATGCATTCCGATAAGCCATCTCTTATAGCACATGTGTCGGAGATAACGAGTATCGTTACTGGTGTATTGGTTAAATCTTTCGGGATATTAGATAATCTTGTAGGGGAGTGAGTTGGAAACGGATAGTTGCTGAATATATGGAAGTGAAGTTGTAATGAAGTTGTACTTCGTAGTGAAGTTGTATTATATACCTTATACGGGATAACTCTAATACCCGAGGAATGCATAATAACCAATACCTAATTACATAACACGAAAGACAAGACGTTATCTACCTAATGACGTCTTAATGGTTCGGTATACAAAGTACTTCATAGGATCCCTGTTAAAAAAAAAGTAAAGACGCGAACTGCGTTTTAACTGCTTTTTTTTTAATTTTATATTTTAATTGTATTTTAGTACTACTGATCTGACAACCTTTTTGCACGGCAATTACCGAGATATCCTCACAACGAACTCGGATGAAGCTGATCGCAGGATGTGTAAATACACTCACTACCTTAGGTAGTTGATACGACTAGGTATCTACCCTGACTACAGTTTGTAGGATTGTCAATCATTAAGCCCATTCGACATGGCAAACGAGGAGGATGAGCAACGTGCGCAAGCGAGCGACAACGACTTAGACATCGACAAATCGGACTTGAGTAGCGAAGATGGAGGTTTTGCTGACGAAGACGAGCCTCCGCAAGTGGAATGGCTTGCGACGGGCCGAGCGAAACGATCCACCGCTGGAAACCGCATGAAATCCATGCTCGCCGCTGAAGAACCCGACGACGATCTCGAACTCCTCTTCGCCGAGGATGAAGATGACGCAGGTTTCACCGATGTCGAAGATGACGGCTCCGACGTGCAAATGGACTCTTCGTCCGACGACGAAGATGCCCAGGAGAACGGCGACGAACTAGAGGGCGAGAAGGAATTAGAAAAGAAGGCCCGAGAGAGTAGACAAGCAGCACGAAAGCGAAAAGCCCAAGAAGCTATTCCCATCAAGTTTCGTAAGAAGGTCAAGATTGCGCCCACGCCATCGGGGAGCTCGACAGCCCCAGAACCGAAGCCGAGACCCAAGAAGAAATCCGAAAGGACGAGCTGGTTACCATCGCCTGCCGACATGCCGACGCGAGCCTCCAAGCGGGAGACCACGATGCTCAGCAAGGAACAGTTACATCAGCAAATGATCGAACGCGAAGTTAAGCGTCTCAAACAAGTCGAAGCTATGGAGAAGAAAGCCAAAAAGATGGAAGCTTTGAAGAAGCCGCCCATGACGCAGGCTCAGAGGCTCGCCGAAGCTGCTATCGTAGAGAAGAAGAATTCGAAAACCTTGAATCGATGGGAGGAAGCTGAGAAGCAGCGAGAAGAAGAGAGGAGAGCCAAGTTGGCTGCTTTGAATAACAGGACCCTTGATGGCCCTGTGGTTACCTTTTGGAGCGGGGTGGGCGAATGGGTGGATGGTAAATTGAAACATGTCGGCAAGATTGTTACTATCGAGGAGAAGCCGGCCAAGAAAAAACGAGCCTCTGCTGCCGGTCACGAAATACCTACAGATTCATCCAACACGCAGAAACCAGATAAACCCCGAGAGTCTGCACAGACTAGTGCGGACAAGGTGGAAAATAAAGAGTCGGGCCCAAGGTCAACTGAGGTCACAAAAGCAAATGAGAATGCGGCTCAGGATGGAACTGCGTCAAGTGCCACAGTCTCTAAAGAACCTGCTGCAGAGGGCGAAAAACCTTTACCTACATCAGACTCTACAACCGCACCGATTCAGGCGACGCCGGCTCAGGCAACATTAGTTGAAGCTCCTAGTGTGCCTTTAGTCGCGCCGAACCCATCTCAAAAAGATATAATACCTCCATCTCCAGTAGCGGGCTTAAGTGAGCCGCTGTCCAGACCCCAAGAGCCTAAACCTCCGGAAGCTAAAGTCCCAGAGATGAAAGCACCAGATATGCGTCCTCCGGCGACAGGCATATATACTACTAGCGTATTTGCGCTCCCCCAGCAGCCGTCGCAACTAATGAAACCACCAGAGCTGAAACCGCCTTCGAACAGTTTCTTAGCTCCGCCAGCGGGAGTAGCTCAGGGTGGTCTTTCTATGCCAGTGTTGGGTTATCACTCTTCGCCTAATACTACCAACCCTTCGGCCGTCCTGGCACCCCCTAATACAGCCCAAAGACAGTCACCTCTCTCCATGCCTCAGGCGGGAGTTTGTCCTCCTACCATATCAACCCCATCTCGTTCTCTCCAACCTTTAACACAACCTATACAGACTCCTGCGCCTGTGCCCACTCCTACACCTCCGACTATTTCTACCCCTACCTCAACCCTACCTCTTACACATACGCATACACCTACACCGATATCCACACCGAAACCCGCGACAAAGTCTACTCCAGCGTCTCGACATACTCCCAAAACTCCTCTTAGCATCATCAAGTCTTCCAAGGCGAACGCCCAAAGACATCAACCCAAAGAAGTCCCTCCTCCGCCGCCACCATCTCCACCTGCCAATGGCAAAGCCACGCGAAACTGCATTATTCTACAGAACTTCAACGAGAATGCCGTAAAGGAAAAGTCCGTCCAGAATCAGATTTTGTTTGGTAGGGACATGGCTAAGCTTAGCAGTAAGTTATTTTTTGTGACACCATTTCTCAAATCCAGACAACTAAATGATATACAGAACCAACATCAGCTCCTCGCTGCGTCATCACTAACCACCCAGCACGCTACAAGGACCCTAAGACTGGACTGCCATATTATAATGCCTATGCATATCGGGAGATCCAGAAGCTCTGGCGCGGCGAGTATAGATGGAGCCGCTTAGCAGGAGCGTGGATGGGCAGCGGATCTTATGCGGCGACTGGCGTGCCGGCTCGATTCTTAGACCCAGATGCTCCTGGTCCGGAAAAGAAAAAAGATACCCTCGAGGGTTCTGAAGAAAACGCGCCAGAGCCGAATAAGAATAATGAACCAGCCGTGCCGGCTACACCAACAATATCTAATGAGCCTAAGGAACCTGCTGCAATCACTAATACGGCATCTCCTTTAGTAAATGCTACACCAAAGACGTCCATAATAGAAACTCAAACTTCAGCACCTCCAGCTGTAACACAAGCTGTAGCACCAGCACCAGCTCCAGCTCCAACCACAGCCCAAGCGGGCGCATTGGCCGCACCGTCGAACTTTACTCCTGCTGTTATAGCATCACCGGTGGTTCCAGACGTGGGTACAGGAGCAGTTCCTTTAGCTCCTCCAACTACCCTAGCTCCTCCAACTACCCTAGCTCCTCCAGCTACGATATCAGCTGCAAACGCAACGCCGGTGGCAATAGGGGATCACGCGAGTAGTGAATTGTGATATCTCCAGGAAGGGTATCATTGTGGGAACCAATTATAGACCTAGATATACCTACGTAGTTATCAAACAAAACCGAACGCCTAACAATGCAATTCGTCCCAACCAAGCCTTTTCCGCATCACGCATCTAGCGTCTCTTTGTTTTCTTCTTGTCGCCGTACTTGGGGAACACGATCTTGCTGGTCTTCCTCCGCTTCTCAATACGCTTCTTGTCGCTGCGTTTGCTCGTAGGTTTAGCGCTGTCAACGTCCATCGCTATGACACTATTGTCAATATATATAAAACGTGCTATACGGGTTAAGATTGGTGCTTACTATTATCGGCATCTGGCACCGCTGTGGAATTTTGCACCTTGGCTGCGTCCTCCTCGGTACCATCTACCATCTTTATCTCGGCATCTGGTTGGGCTTTGGGTTGGGCCGCCAGTTCGAGGAGCTTAGCGGAGAGACGCTCAGCTCGAGCTGCCTCGACGGGGCCAAAGACCTTGGACTTCAGGCGTTGGTTGTTCGCCTTGCGCGTGCTTGCGCGGGAGCTTTTCGCCATCGCTGGAAAGTGATTGGGGAGGGTAGGAAAGGTTTATAGAGAGCTTTTGAGGGTAGATTTGGAAGGCTTGAGAATTGTTAGTATAAAATGTTGAAATATACTCAAGTTCAGGAGCTGCGATCGGATGGGAACATGCTTACTGTATATAGATATTTTGACTTATACCACGGTATTCAGCGAAGGCAAATTCAAACAAGTTGAATATTGAAAAAAAAAAAAAAAAATAGTGTAAAGGAGTTTGCATCGATGCTCCGCACGATTGGGTAGGGATGGTGGGGCAATAGATTAAGCCTTGCCGTAGATCGCGCTAAGATAGAAGCTACCTGGTACCTAGCACAAGGTAACAACCCTTACAAGGGTTAGCGGGATGCGCGTACTATTAGGTACATGTAGGTACGTTATTTACTTAGGTACTTAATGCGGCAAGCGGTGAATTTTCTTTTATAAGACGGAAGGTATTTCACTTATTAGCTACCAAGTATTATACCACTTTTTATTAATTCTTATAAACTGTTAATTAATTATTTATTTACCATTTAAAATATTTTTAAATTATTTATAACTGGTGGTTGTGTGACATCGGCGTGTAAGCACTTTATCGGGGATAAAGTGTTTTATCGTTAATATTGGAAAAAAAATAATATACTTACTATTATTATATAAAAAAATATTATACTGCTAATTAATATTAGATAAACTTTTTCCTCTTTAAACATTATTAATACACTAATTTCACTTATTGTTATTTAATTTATTTGTTTATTATTTTATATTATACGTATATACTTATTAATATTAATTAATATTATTAAAGATTTAATAATATAAATTAATAAAGTTAAAAAAGTTATTATTATAATAATTTAAAAAACTTTATTATAATATATATATATAATATTAACATATTTTCTTTTACTTATAAATATATTTTAAATTTATAATAAATTATTATTTTATTTTATTATTAAATCTTTTTAAATTTTTTATTATTTATTATAATTTAAACTTATTATTAATATTATTAAATAAATTAATATTTATTATTTATTATAAATATTTTATAATGTTTTAATTAAAAATATTAGTATAAATATAAGCTCGTACTATAATAATAAACCTAATTAAAATAAAAAATATAAATAAATTATAAATCCTAATAAATTATATATTTAAATAAATAACTTTTATTTAATATTTTAATTATATAATTATAAAATAAAAATTTATTAATTTTTAAATAATTACTTTTAAGTAAAAAGTAATTTAAATACTTTTTACGCTAATAAATTTAAAAATTATTAATATAAATATGTTATATGTTTATACCCTTAAGTAAATAATGAATAAATATTAAAACTAATTTTAAAAATTTATAATAACAAATTTTATAAATATATTAAAACTTTTATAATTAACATTTTAAATTATATTAATATAATAAGATATTTATATAAAATAATATAATATTAATTATATTAAAATATTTATTAACTTTATATTATTATATAAATTATTAATATAAAATTTAAATAAATTAAAAATAATTAAATAAAAATGGCTTAATATATTAATATAAAAAATATTAATATATAATATTAATTAAGGACTAATTTATCTAAATATATAAATATTTATACGTATATATATTACGTTATAATAATAATTTGTAATTTATAACTTTTAAACGTTAATATATATAAAATAAGTTTTAATATAATTTATTACCTTAATTAACTAACTTTTTTCCCATATATAATATCCATTATTAACCCCGTAAATAATAAAGTAACTTCCCTTTATTCCTAATAACTTATTATTAATTTTCCACATTTTACTATTTATTTAAGTACAAAGGCTTATAACTTAACCCCTTTAACGTTAAACCCCCGGCCCTTTTTTTACCTCCCCGCCCCCCTTTATTTATTAAAGAATAACTACATCCCCTTAAATTACCATTAATAATACTTACCTTAATAATTTTATATATATAATTTAATAAAGATATAAATAAAAGTATAACCTAATATATAATAATAATCTAATATAAGGAGCACTAACTAGCTCGCCGGTCCCGGGAAATGTTTTTAAACCCTTTAAACCGCTATTAAATAGTTTATACATAATATCAGCAGCTCTTTAAAACGTCGGACAAAGAAAAGGAAATTAATTTATTAAAAATTACATTTCCTCCTCTTAAATAGCTTCATTATTTATATAACCAAATAATTAATAAATATAAACCCTTATATTAATTAATAATTAATAAAGAAATATTTATTATAATATTTTTTTAATAAAAGTTTTTAATAAAATATATTTTCTAATAATTGTTAATTACTTTAAAAAAGTATAAAATAGTAAAAATAATTATATAAAAAAAACATATAATATTTTTAAAAATAAGTTCCGTTTTTTTTTTAAATATTTATTATATAATTAAAATATAATAAACTTAGTTTCACGTTATATTTTCTACTATTTTATCAGGGAAAACAGCTATTTATTTTCTTTATAATATATTTTAATTTTAATATTTTATAAATATATATTTGGTTATAAAATAACATTTTAATATAAAATAAAATAAAATTAAATATTATTATAATTAAACTTCTATTACTTTTTTTAATATTAAAGCAAAAAAGTAAAATAAAAGGAAAATTAATATAAAAATACTTTAAATTTTATTTAATAAATTATCATTATGTTAAAAAGTGTTAAGCTTTAATTTTAAAAGAAAATAATAATTTATTATAATTATATATTAAATTTATAAAATTGTACCCCAGTTATAACATACCCTTTTTAAATTATTAACATATTTTAAAAATTTAATAAATAAATTCCGAACGTTTATTAAAACTTACGAAAAAAAAAAAAAAATAAAGCAATTTATAATAAATAAAAATAATAATAATAATAATAATAACATCTATATTTATTATATTAATTATAAATATTATTATAATAATAAAGGAAATAAATATAATATAAAATAATTTATTAAAATTTGGAAATAATAATATTAAATATATAAAAAAAATAGATATTAATTTATTAAATATTTAAAATATAAATAAAAGAAGGTTAAAAACAAATAAAAGGCCAAACGAGGCCCTTTTAAAAAGAATTATATAACGTTTTTAACAAATTACGAAAGAATTAGAAACTTAGATTTAAAATCCGACCATAAGGGAAATAAAACAGCTCATTTAATAGTAAATCCCGATAAAAATAATAACTTATATATAATAGCCGCATACTTATTTAACCAAACGTTCTACTACCGTCTTATTACTCGCTTCCCCTCGAACAATCCAAAATCTAACATTATTTTTATATTAAATTAATATATAAAAAATATTTTCTAAAAAATTATATTAAATATAAAAGCAGCTTAAATATTTATAATTGAAAAGGGATAATGCTTAACTTTTATTAAAAAACATTTAAATAAATAATTAAAAATAAATAGTACTTACGTTAAAAAAGTTAATATCCAATTTAGTAATAAATTACTTATTAAATTACTTAATATAATTATTATAGACATTTTATTTAATAAAATAAACTTTTATATTATAAAATTAAATATTTTATTTTTATTATTATTAAAAGATATAAATTAGTTAAAAATATATTTTAATAATGTTATTAATTAGCTTATATGTAAAAACGGCGTAATAATTAACGTTAAAAAAAAATAAGGATATTTATAGTTTTAATTAAAAGATATTATTTATTTTACAAAAATAAAATTACAACATTTATATATACGTTTTAATTACTTATTAATTAATAAATTATATAACTTATTAAATAAAGTTAAATATAATATTAATATAAATAACTTTAAAAAAATTAATAAATTTTATTATTATTATTAAATTAAAGAAAAAGCTTTTTAACAATTTAAGTTCACTTTAAAAAACCTAAATATAAAATTTAATTATAAAATAATTATTAATATAATATATTTAAACAAACAATTAGTCTTATATATTATTAATACAATTATTAGTTTTTAAGTAACGCAATTTTTAAGGAACGTTATTATTAAAAAAATGTAAAAAACGTTAAAAAATATTAAATTAACACTTATTTTGAACCACTTAATATTATTTCCTATAATACGGGTACGAATTTTAATAATCCCGAATTTTATAATAAAGTTCGGATAATAAAGGTTATTTATCATTAAGTACTAATAAAAGTCCATTAATTTATTAAAAAAGTTAAAAGATATTACGGTCTTATTTACAAAATATATAAAATTATTATTAATAAATTTAAAGATTTTAATTTAAAAACGTTATATTTTTAAATAACTGTAAAAGAAATTAATAACATTATTAATTTGGACGGTTTTATTTTAACTTTATTTATTTTCAGTATTTATTTTAAAATTAATATAAACTTACTACTTATTATTATATAAATTTAAAAAGCATAAATAATTTAAAAAGCATAAATAATTTAAAAAGCATAAATAATTTAAAAAGCAATAATAGAAATTAAAAAAATTAAGTTATAACGTTTTATACGAAACGCTTTAAACATTTATAACAGCCTTAATATTAAAATAACTTTTTTTATGTCTTTATTTATTAAAAATAAAATATTAGTTTATAAGGAAAAAGGTGTAACGAATTTACACTTAGGTCCGTTAAAATGTAATAATAGGGGTTTTAATTTTAGGTAAATAATAATAATATAGGTTAAGTGTTAATAAAACGTTAAAAGTATTTGTTAAAAAAGCTTAAAGTCTTTCCCCTTATATAAGTTAAATATAAGATTTAAATTAATAGTTAAAGAAATGTAAATAAATGTTTAAATATATAATGGTCTTAAATACCCTTTAGGCTTTCTTTATCCTTTATTTTAAGGTTATTGTGGTTCTTAGTGATCTTATTAATTCTGGTGATTTTATAAAATTATTAGGATTATTAAGATCACTTCCCTTTAATACATTTTATCCATAATTTATCCGTTCTTAAGATCATACGTTTTAAAATCCTTGCTTTTATATAAAATATAATTTTTATACTATTAATTTATAATATTATTTTCCTTTTCTTAGATTTTTTACCTTTAAAGATTTATTAGTAAATATGTTTTTAATATAATTTCCTTTTCTTTTCTTATACTTTTTTATATTAATTTATTAAAATATTAAATTATATGTTTAAATTTATTTTAAAGTAAAAAAGCTATGTTAATTAACGGAAAAGTAAGGAACTTTG